CCTCCAGAACCGGACCTCCAGAACTTACCTCCAGAACTTACCTCCAGAACCGGACCTCCAGAACTTACCTCCAGAACTTACCTCCAGAACCTGACCTCCAGAACCTGACCTCCAGAACCTGACCTCCAGAACCTGACCTCCAGAACCTGACCTCCAAGACCTGACCTCCAGAACCGGACCTCCAGAACTTACCTCCAGAACTTACCTCCAGAACCTGACCTCCAGAATTTACCTCCAGAACCGGACCTCCAGAACTTTGTCAGAACTTAGGCTTAGAACTGATACATTAGTAGTGAGCTCAAAGCTCTTTAAGTACATCAAGAATGAGCAAGGTATGGATGAGAGGGGAATCAGGGGGCAATCCTAGGGAATCAAGGGTAATCCCAAGGCAAGCTCCAATTGGTGGGTTGGAGATTGCTTGGAGATTACATTTGGGTTTGGTTGGGATGTGGGTGTACACCCAACCAAACACAAAGTGCAAACTACACTAAACTAAACTAGGATATAAAAGTACAAGTACAAATTGTGAGATTGAGGGCTAACACCAACAAACTTACCTCCAGAACTTACCTCCAGAACCTGACCTCCAGACCTCCAGAACTTACCTCCAGAACCTGACCTCCAGAACCTGACCTCCAGAACCTGACCTCCAGAACCTGACCTCCAGAACCTGACCTCCAGAACCTGACCTCCAGAACTTACCTCCAGAACCTGACCTCCAGAACCGGACCTCCAGAACTTACCTCCAGAACTTACCTCCAGAACCTGACCTCCAGAACTTACCTCCAGAACCGGACCTCCAGAACTTACCTCCAGAACTTACCTCCAGAACCTGACCTCCAGAACCTGACCTCCAGAACCTGACCTCCAGAACCTGACCTCCAGAACTTACCTCCAGAACCTGACCTCCAGAACTTACCTCCAGAACCTGACCTCCAGACCCTGACCTCCAGAACCTGACCCCCAGAACCTGACCTCCAAAACTTACCTCCAGAACTTACCTCCAGAACTTACCTCCAGAACCGGACCTCCAGAACTTACCTCCAGATTCTGACCTCCAGAACCTGACCTCCAGAACCTGACCTCCAGAACCTGACCTCCAGAACCTGACCTCCAGGACCTGACCTCCAGAACCGGACCTCCAGAACCGGACCTCCAGAACTTACCTCCAGAACCTGACCTCCAGACCTTACCTCCAGAACCGGACCTCCAGAACTTACCTCCAGAACTTACCTCCAGAACCTGACCTCCAGAACCTGACCTCCAGAACCTGACCTCCAGAACCTGACCTCCAGAACTTACCTCCAGAACCTGACCTCCAGAACTTACCTCCAGAACCTGACCTCCAGACCCTGACCTCCAGAACCTGACCCCCAGAACCTGACCTCCAAAACTTACCTCCAGAACTTACCTCCAGAACTTACCTCCAGAACCGGACCTCCAGAACTTACCTCCAGAACCTGACCTCCAGAACCTGACCTCCAGAACCTGACCTCCAGAACCTGACCTCCAGAACCTGACCTCCAGAACTTACCTCCAGACCCTACCTCCAGAACCTGACCTCCAGAACCTGACCTCCAGAACTTACCTCCAGAACCTGACCTCCAGAACCTGACCTCCAGAACCTGACCTCCAGAACCTGACCTCCAGAACCTGAGCTCGAGCTCATGGCGCTGCAGGTGGGCCAGCTGTGCGTGCATCCATGCATGTATGCATGTGTGGTTTCACTAATCATGATGCAGAGCCACACCACCCGAACTCACACCGTTGCCTGCGCACCCGTCTGCCGCTGCTGGAGTGCACGCCTCCGTCCATCATTCCTTCCCTGCCGCTCCTTCTGCCCCTTGCCTTCTCAAAACTGCCCCTCCTTTTGCCTGTATGTCCATTCACCTGTGCAGCTGCGAGCCAAGGAAGCAGAGCTGGACGCACTGGAGGAGCGGCTGGCTTAGGAGAGGGAGGCGAGGCTGTGACCGCAATAACAAAACGGCTGCTTCCCTTTCCGCCATTCCCCTTTGCCTGTATGTTCATTCACCTGTGCAGCTGCGAGCCAAGGAAGCGGAGCTGGACGCACTGGAGGAGCGGCTGGCGCAGGAGAGGGAGGCGAGGCCGCGCGAGGCAGTCATGGCAGCAGAGGCCCTTGCCAACCCGCACGCGCTGCACCCGCACACGCCCTCCTCAGCCCTGCGCACGCCCACAGGCGGAGGCCCCATGCTGCGCCGCATGTTCACTCTCAGGGGCCCTGGGGGGATGGGTGCGGCCGCCTCTTCTGTGTCACCGGCTGCGGTGCAGCAGCATGCGGCTAAGGGACAGCTCAAGGTGGGGGGGGGGGGGGGAGGGGGTCATAGGGTTGCGAGAGGTGATGAGGCGATGGAAACTTGTGAGTTTGATTTTCTCTGTTACAATACAAACAGTCTTGCCAGACCCACCTCTCTTTTCTCTTTCCCGGCAAGGGAACAGTGCCAGCAGAGTGGCCTCACTCCAATGCCATCTCTCTCCTCTGCCTGTGCTCCCCCTCTGCTCGCCGCTCTACTCACCTCTCTCTACTCACCGCGCTTGGAACCTCCCTCTACTCTCCCTACAGGTGAAGGTGGTGGAGGCGAGGCACCTGGCAGTGCCGGCGGAGTGGCTGCGCCCTGCATGTTTGGATCTCCCCTTTCTCAGTCACCATCTTTGCTTTACTCACCTCTCTCTCCTCGTCCCTCTTACTCTTCCGGCCACCTGCAGGTGAAGGTGGTAGAAGCACGGCACCTGGCAGTGCCAGCGGAGTGGCTGCGCTCAAACACTTCTGCCTGCACTCCCCCTCTACTCACCACCACTCTACTCATCTCTCGACTCACCGCTCTCTCTCTTCAGGTGAAGGTGGTGGAGGCGAGGCACCTGGCAGTGCCAGCAGAGTGGCTGCGCTCGGTGCACCGCATGCACGCCTTTGCTGCGCTCTCCGTGGTGTCCCCCTCGGGCACCAGCACGCTGCCTGTGAAGACGCGCGTCATCAAGGGCAGCTTTTTTCCCAAGTGGAACGAGACTTTCACCATCAACGACACTGCCCTCACCTCGTCGCTGCGCGTGCAGGTATGGTTGGACTCATTACATGATTGATTCTGGTGCAGGGTATTGACCGGGTCGTGTCACCTGTGCAGGTATAGGCAGGGTCAGAGAATGTTTTGTTAGAATCCTGTGAAGGATGACTTGAGAACTGAAAGAAGTTGATGCTTGGATTGAGAATGACAAGGGTATACATAGTAGGGGGTTGGATGCTAACCTAGGTTGGCATTATTGGACCCCAACCAAGAAGTTGGATTTGGGTGATTATTGGTGGGGTCCAATAATGTTGGCCAAGTTGGGGTTGGGCCAACATTATTGGAGGGGACCAATAATTCTACCCAACCCAACCTTTTGGGGTCCAATAATTGGACCATAGTTGGGTTCCAACCTACAAACTGGGTTACTCCTGTTTGTACACCCAAACTAAGTTTGGGTGCTTAACTCTAGACAAGCGAACTAGCATATGCAGGATAAATAGAATAGAGGTTTTCTAACATGTTTGTGCACCGAATGCATGCCGTTCCTTGCTGTTGTGTCCTCCTCGCGCGAATCACGCATGGTTTTTTTTTTTTTTTTTTTTTTTTTTTTTTTTTTTTTTTTAGGTGTTTGACAAGCCAAAGCTGGTTCATGAGTTGACTAGAAGTGTGTCTCACCCTCCTGGACGTGCCCCGTGCATCCCCTGCAGGTGTTTGGCAACCAAAGCTGGTAGTTGAGTTCACTAAATAATCGCCTCACCCTCGTGGCCATTCCCCATGCATCCCATGCAGGTGTTCTGCAAGCCAAAGCTGGGCAGCCCGAACCTCCTGGGCGACTTTTGGGATGTCTCAAAAGTCCTGTCACGTGTGTCACCAACTTTCGTCCCACCCTCCTGGCCGTGCTCCGTGCATCCCCTGCAGGTGTTTGACAAGCCAAAGCTGGGCAGCCCCAACCTCCTGGGCGAAGCTACAGTGGAGGTCACCACCTTCAAGGTGTGCCCAGCAGCCAGCTACACTCAGGCTCAATCCATGGCAATTTCTTTTGCCGTGTTGTACCAAGTGGTGTTCCGGTGCTCATTTTGGCAGCAGCTAATCCTGCCTTGTGTGTTTGGCTGCTGTTCTCTGTCTGCTGTTTCCCAGGATGGGTTGCCACAGTACATGCTGCTGACTCTCAAGCGAAGTGCAGGAAAAGAAGGGGTGCGTAACTGCCTGCTCCTTCCTCGTTTCCTTTCGCCCATGTCCCCTGTCAATCCATTCCCTGTTCATCCCCTCCCACCCACCCTCAAACTTCACTCACTCTTCTTTCTTCTCTTTCCCTCCGCAATCTCTGGTCGTCTTTTCTAAAGCCTGCACCTTGTGCCGACTGCATGCCGGCCTTCCTTTCCCTCAACTGCAGGAGCAGGAGGCGGTGGGTGGCAGCATTCGGCTTCGAGTGCACTGGATGGTGGACCATGGGAAGAAGGCAGAGGAGAAGACCGGAGTCAACTTTATGGTAAGACAGAACGCTTTCACTTGAAGATCCAAGTGACACGCTCGTTCACTTTAAAAATCCACCCTCGTTCTTTCTGCCGTTCCTTCCCTTCCCTCCCCCAAGGCACCACTAGGTCCCTCACATGTTGCCGTCCTCTGTTCGTCCCTGTCATCAAATTATTCCCCTATCTGTCACCAATTATATAAATTCTTGCCTCACCTTGAGACCCCCTCTCTCCACATTTGCATCTCATTCTCCTCCAATCTCCTCCCTGCCCATTGTCCCTTGCTTCATCTACCTTCTTTCCTCGCTTTCTCCCTTCTGCCAACCTGTGCGACGCACCGTTCGAATCACGATCCTCCTGTTTCCGCTCGTTGTCCTCCCTCGTTCCCCTCTCCCTTCCCCCTCCCTGCTGCTCGCCCCCCTCCCCCTTCCCCCCACCCGCCCACCGCCCCCAGTTGAACCTGCACGGGATGACCCTGTCCATAGTGGACCGTCTGCCCCGGGAGATCATGCTGGTGCTGCTGGAAGACATCTGCTGCTCCTGGGAGGAGTCGGTGAGCTGCACGGGCACAGAGGGAAGTTGGACGGGAGAAAGGGGGGACAGGGGAGTTGGCTATGCTAGGCTAGACAGGTGGGGAGGTGGTTGGGTTTGTTGGGCTATGTGAGTGAGATCATGCTGGTGCTGCTGAATGGCATATGCTGCTGCTGTGTATCCTTCAAGCTTCCTTTAGTGAGAGAAAAAAAAAAATTTTAATGAGAATGTTTCTGCTGTGTGTGTCTCTCATCTCGTCTTGTTTCTTGCCATGTGTGTGTGGGGGGGGGGGGGAGCAGGTGAAGGAGGTGGCGGGCAAGGTGGAGGTGGGCAAACTGCAGGTGGACAACCAGCTGCTCACTGCTCGCAATCCAGTCGTGCTCTCTCGCACCCTGGTCAGATTCCCTTCTTTCTATCTATCCCCTCCTTTCTTTCCACCTATCCCCTCCCTTCTCTCCCCTCTCAATTCTGAAATTTTCCTGTATTGAACTCGCATCAATTCTTGTATTTCTTCTATGTTCTCACTGCCCTTCCTTTCTTGAAGCTTCCCAACCTCAAACACCCATCTCTTCCTTCCCTTCCCCCACCACCCCCCCCCGCTTCAGCCTCCCGCTCCCTCTTCCAACCACTATATGCCTTCACAGCGAATGCTCCCTTCCTGGAGCAGGGCAAGGAGCCCACGAACCAGGCAACGCTGGGCAGCATGCTGCTGACTTCTAAGAAGTAATCCTTCTCTCTCTACATCCCGATACATCCCCCGTTGCTCCCTCCCAGGCCTTCCCAGCAGAGGCGCTCTTTCTGGAGCAGGGCAAGGAGCTGCTGCGCTAGCCAGCAACCTGACTTCCAAGTCAACCCCAAACGTAACCCTCCCCCGCGCATCCCCACCTTGTTTAATCCCTCCCAGGCCTTCCCAGCGGAGGCGCTCTTCCTGGAGCAGGGCAAGGAGCTGGCGAACCAGGCCTCGCTGGCGGGCATGCTGAGCGCGGACCCCAAGGAGAAGGAGAAGGCGTTCGTGTCGGTGGAGTTCACGCGCCTGCTGCAGCACCCCTCCATCATCTACTACCGCCGCTTCCTCTTCCAGCTCCAGGAGTTCGACCTGGTGTTGGAGGAGGATTTCGTGGACACTGTGGTGGCGTACCTGCAGCAACTGCCTATGGACGACCTGTGGCAGGAGAAGGATAAGCGGGGCGGGGAGGAGGAGGAGGAGAAGAAAGGCGACGAGGATTTGGTGGAGGACATGACTGGTGCTCCCATCACCAGGACTTACCTGGTCAGTGGGGAGCTCACCTGTGTGCCGGCGTGTTTTTTTGCGACCTTTGCACCGCGCCTCAACCTCTCTCCATGTACCTGTTTTCTCTCAAGAATCCCTCAGTGAAATCATTCTTCCCACTCCCCTCTTAAACTTCTTTCTCCTTGTGCCCCCTCCTCTTTCCTCCCCACCCCCTCCAGACGCGAGATGCCACCATGGTGTCCCCCACATCCCGCCGGAACTTAGTTAAGTCGGAGCAGATGCTGGAACCCTTAGTGAACCGCAGCAGCTGGGTGGCGGGCAACCAGGGCCTGCGGTGGTACTTTGAGCGCTTCCAGGTGCAGCCCATGCGCATCAACGTCACGCTCGTGATGAACCCCATCAAGGGCGACGCACCGCCGCCTTCCGGAAGCAGCTCCGAGTGGCACCTCCGGACCACCGCCTCCTCTGCTGGTTTCCCGCTCATTTCGCTCACCCGAGCTCCGCTGAGACTCAACAGGTGCGTGCCAGTCTGACGCTGGACGACACATTTCAGAAGCAGACTGCACTGCAGACGTACGTGCTTCTGCCTTCTCTGAAGCTCCCTCCTTCCTTAACCCCCCCCTGTGCTATGACCCCCCTCCGTCCCTTCGCTTCCCTGCATGTGGCAGTCTGGTGCTGGACAACGCGTTCCAGAACCAGAGCACGCTGCAGACGTACGTGCTGCGCCACTACGGAGTGCAGCTGCTGCAGGGCCTCCACAAGATCCTTGGCTCCGTCGAGCTCCTCGGCGCCCCGGTATGCCTCCCTTGCTTTTCATTGATGCCCCAATGAAGTGGAGTGGCAAGGCCTGATAGAGGCCGACAAAGTTGCTTACGCGCTCAAGGCTGCGGACGAGGAGTCTCAGCGTTCCTCAGAGGCACATCAGATAAACTCGTCGACGAGGAGAAATCATTGGGGCTGGCAGGAGACGAGGAGCCAGTTGCATGGCACGCCACGGCGACATGACGGCCCAACGCCAGGCGGAAAAGGCGACAAGAGTTGCAAGAGATTGCAAGGCTGAAGAAAAAACCTATGAATATGAATTTGATTCCTCGTCTTCATAAGCTTTTTCTTCAGCCTCGCAAACTCTCGCGTTTTCTGTCGCCTTTTCAGCCTGTCATTGAGCCGCCGTGCCGTCGTGGCGTGCCATGCAACTGACTCCTCTTCTCCTCTTCTCCTCATCGACAGGATTGTCTGCTTTGCCGCTAAGGAACGCTGAGGCTCCTCGTCCCGTAGCCTTGAGCATGCAAGCAACCTTGTCGGCTTCCATCAGGCCTCTCCACTACTTTTCTACTGCTTTTCGACTCCTCCATCCCCTCTGCCTTCTTCTATCCGAACCCCATTAAAACTATGTTAATGAAACTTTTGTCCCTCCATACACTACCCCTGTGTCACAAATGCAACCTTCCCCAGCTATCCCTGGTGGACAATCTCGCCACGGGAGTCATGGACTTCTTTGTCGAGCCCGCTTCTGCCACCACGTGAGTGACTGCCTTAACCCCGGCCCTCTTGAACCTTTCAAATCTCGTCTCTTCCCGCTCCCATTCTCGTTACATGTTTTCCTCTGGTAATGGTTCTCCCATGCCTTTCTGAACAGAGACCCTCCGCACTCCTCTCCTCGCAGCCCCTCTTACTCCTTGAGGGCTTCGCCAACACGGTGGTGATAGGCACAGAGCGTTGTCAAGTCATGAAGTTTCAAAACCTTCACCCTTTGCTTGGCCCTGATCTTATCCCACTCCCCCTGTCCTCCTCTCCCTGTCTTACCCTCCCTAACACCTCTCCCTCTCCCCATCTGCACCCTCCCCCTCCGCCCCTCCTGGCAGGCCGGAGGAGTTTCTGAGCGGCGCCATGAAGGGCACGGTGAGTCTGATGAAGCACTCATCGTACGGCGTGCTGCACTCCATCAGCTCCCTCGCTGGCGGCATCGGCACCGGCTTCGCCAAGCTCACCTTCGACGACTCCTACATCCAGAGGTAATTCTTGAGTCGCCTTAAAGACTATCTGTTAAGACTCCTTCACCCGGTGGTACACTGGAGGGCTCTGATAGATTCAATAATGAACACAAGGTAATCTCTTGCGAAGAGTTCAGGGAAGGTGGTTTTTTTTTTTTTTTTACAGAGAGTTAGGTAAACCGAAGGGCGAGGCACATAAATACCTCTATTCTTCCAACCCCAAGCCCTCCCCCCAATCCCTCTTCCCTCTCTCCCACCGCCAACCGCTCTTCCAAAAACACCCCTTCAGGTTCAGCCAGCGGCCGGAGGGAACATCGCAGCAGGTGCTGCGAGGAGCACAGGACCTGGGGCTGGGCTTCGTAGGGGCAGTCACAGGGCTCGTGCTGCCCCCCCAATCGTTCCCTGTAGTCACCACGCAGTATTCCCCTTCCCCTTACCTCCACCCCCGCCCCTCCCCACCAAACACCCCCTTCAGGTTCAGCCAGCGTCCGGAGGGAACATCGCAGCAGGTGCTGCGAGGAGCACAGGACCTTGGGTTGGGCTTTGTGGGGGCAGTCACAGGGCTCGTGCTGCAGCCGCTGGAGGGCGCACGTAGAGAGGGGGCTGTGGGCGCAGTGAAGGGCATGGGCATTGGGGTGGTTGGGCTGGTTACCAAGCCGCTGTCGGGGCTGCTGGGGTTTGCGTCGACGCTGACTGAGAGCGCCGGCACGGGGATTCGGGCGATTGGGGGGGATGTGACGCGGCGGACTGTGCCGCGGATTCGACTGCCGAGCACGTTTGGGCGGAATGATGCCATCGCGGTGAGTTGCGGCTGCCGTATGTGAGAACCTTCGTGTTTGTTCTCTCCGTTTTGCCCATCCTCTTTGCTCATCCCTTCACTCGCTCCTTTCTTCAAGCCCCTTGTAGCTTGAGCCAGGAACAGTGCACAGAAGAAGGTAGTCCTACCAGCCTTGGCTTTGCAGAATAACTAGAAGAATTCTTAAAAACACTTTGCAGATCCAGCCTTGAATGCGCTACCACAGCAAGCATCGCTTGTACGTCTTTCCACTCCCCTCTCAATCTTGCCTCCCCTCTTCCCCTCCAGCTGTAGCCGGAGGACAGTGTGGAGCTGTAGCTGGTGCTGGCCATCCTGGACTTCGGGCGGTACCGTGACGAGCAGCTTTTTTTACGCCTTTCCACCCACACTAACTCCTTGTCACCCCTTCACCCCACCCCCTTCAGCTGGAGCCAGAGGACAGTGTGGAGCTGAAGCTGGTGCTGGCCATCCTGGACTTTGGGCGGTACCGTGACGAGCACCTGTTGGACCATCTGCAGACGTCGGGGCGCAAGGCAGTGCTCTTCACTGTGGTGCGCCTCATCTTCTACGACTGCCAGCGCAACGTCTTCTACTGGCAGATCCCCCTCAAAGGTAAGTTCACGAGATGCTAGTGATTGTTTTCATAGCGTTGAGGGGCCTCAGAACGCTCAAGGCAGTGCTCTTCTTCACCGTTGTCACTTGCTCTTCTACGACTGCCAACGCAACGTCTTCTGGCAGATCTCCCTCAGGGGTAGGTTTAAGGGTGAGTTTTTCTCACACGATGCTTGAGTTTTGTCCCGCTTGTTTGTTTTGTTTTCTCTTCTATTTCGTTGCTGACCTGCAATGAAACCATCCTTCATCAAATTTCTCCTCACCTCCCTTTTTTTATCTTCGCCTTCCCCTTGTCCACTGTGGCTGCAGACATAACCTCAGTGATGGGCATGGAGGGGCGGCTGGAGAGCATTATCCTGTACGAGGCAGACGTGGTGATCGCACGGAAGAAGCTCCCTCTGCGCGTGCCCGCACGCAAGGTTATCAAAACCACCACTCGCGAGCTCCACATGGCACTCTTAGTTAAGCTCAACCGGCACTTAGCCCGCATTCGCGCCACACTCCCCTCCTCCTCCTCTCCATCGACTCCCCGCCACGCATCCCATGAGCCTGTTGCTGCCGGCGCTGCAGCTGATGGGTCACTCTCCTCCTCTCGCCCCCCCTCTGCTACCTCTTCTCCTGCTGTCTCTCCCTCACACTCCCTCCCCTCCCCGCTCCGCCTTGCTCAATCCCCTGGGAACGTGTCAGAGCTGAGTGCTGGTGGCGGCAAGGCAGCAGGGAAGCTTGGGAAAGCAGCTGCTGCCAGTGTTCGCAGGTCGAGCAGCGGCGGTGGTGGTTCTGATCATGTAGCTGGGAGAGCGTTGGCGGGCAACCAGTTTCCGCTCACAAAGAGTTTACCTGCGCAGAACGGGCAGGAGGAGGGGGAGAAGGATGAGGAAGGGGATTCTGAATCGGCTCGTGTGATGGGTGTGGCAGGAGTTGCTGCTGCAACGGGAGCGACACGGTGGAGGAAGCACGCCCATGGGAGAGGTGCTGTAGGCGCTGCAGCTGACAAGGGGAAGTCTCCTGTAGACCAGACTCACAGCGGGCCAGCTCCTGTCAGAGCTAAGAAAAGCAGCTTTCGCAGAGGAAAATCAGGAGGATTGGGTGGAGGTGACAAGTTGGGGAAGCATGGTGGTGTGATATGGGAAGATGTGGATATGGAGGCAGCACATGCAGACCAGGACGACAGTGACGAGGATGATTATAGAGAGGATGGAGATGGTGTGGCGGCAAGGGTGGCTCAGTTGGATAGGGAGGAGCGGCAGGAGGTGCGGCGGAATCTGGATGCTATTCTGACGACTTGCCAAGTGGCTAGTGCAAGTGCTGGTGGCCGATCCGACCCTGCTTCAGCTCTGGTTTCTGTGAAATTCCTTGCACTTGCGGCGTATTCGCGCGTACAGTCACATAGGGCCCACCAGGCCACGCTAGGAGTAACAGCTTCGCGAGGGGTGCGGAGGGGTGATGATTCGCAATGGGAAGAAGACGTGTCGGCATTGCTTCGCACTATGGTGGCGTTGACTGAGGGTGGTGAGACTGGTTCGTCGAGAGACCAGACACAGATCTTGGGAACGCTAGAGGCAATCTGCCACCAAGCCATTGGCCGGGTCTCCGGCAACTGAGTATTATTATTCTTTTGCATGCTTTAACTACGTCATGCATAGTCTAGGTTCTAGGTTGTAGTCCTCTAGGTAGGTAGGATGTGGTAGGCCTGTATATTAGCTTTGTGTTTTTTGTGATTTGGAAATAAGTGTAGATGTGCGTAATCTCGAATAAAGCACTCTGGCACGTCAGCCTCGATGTGATCCAGCCCAGATTTTGTCACGCGGCTCCTGCGCCTGCACACCAGTTTCCCGCCTTCACCTCGAAACCGCAACACACCGACTCCTCTTCGCGGCAGAACACATGCCTTTTCGCCTGGAAAAACAATGGCATTCTTGCTCTCATGCTTGGGTAGGATCAAGGCCAGCGACCAAGGCGGCCAGTGTAGGTCAGGTGGACTTGTGTAGTTTCTTCTTTTCCGGACGATCCATGGTCGTGCAGTGAAATTCAACGCTTGAGTTTACTACGTCGCATCCCATAACTTGCGCCGTTAAACGAGCCAGACTGTCACTACTCTCACTCGAGGGGATTGTGCTGCTGTGATTTGTTCAGTCATTACCGTTCTTGCCGAGGGAGTCTAATCAGCTCTCGTTTCCTCTTTAGCAGCCATCGTCATCGCCTTCTGTGGTGCCATGACCGCGTGTGCCTGCCTCTCGCGAGTCGCGATCCGTGGAACGACGCAGCTTCCCTCCGTCGCGTGCTGCCCTCGGCGACAGCAGCAACAATCGCTCTCGCTTTGGAAACACAACGACCATGCGTTGCTAAGCGTCGCGTGCGAAGGTCGATGTTGTCGATTTCAACATACAAGCGTCGGGGTGTTGGGGTCGTCGAGACGGCAGCGTAGCGGTGCAGTGCGGTGCTCCGCGGCGTCAGCAGATGATCCAAGGGCCACGATTCCTTCCGTCGCGACCGTATCTGGCGATAATGGATCGCTTAAGGTTAGCAATTCGTTTAATGCCTTTCTGACTTCCTGCCTTTCTGACTTCCTGCCTTTCTGACTTCCTGCCTTACTCTATCTCCCTTAGGTCAGCTCTCGTCCCCCCTCTGCGCTCATCGCCTCACCCTAACATACGCCACAGCTTTCTCCGACCGTCCCCCGCGCCTCACCATGCCTACCATCACCCACTGTACAACGGACGCAGAACCCGAGTCAAGCTGCGGGACAGGATGACATCTTCTATGGCCAGCTTATTTAGGCTCCTCAGAAGTGATCCCCTTCGTCTCACCGGTGCTGCCACCCCACCGTCCCCCGCACTGAGCTCGAGTCGAGCTGGCGGGCAGGGTTTGAGGCGCATAAAAACTGTTAATTCGTGTCTCACCAACCATTCCCACCACCCCACCGGCCAACACGCAGAGCACGAGTCAAGCTGGCGCGCAGAGGGCAGCGCGGGAGGAGAGTGATGACGACGACGTGCTGATAGAGCTCAAGGACGTGTACAAGTCGTTCGGAAGTAAACACATCCTCAGAGGCGCATCGCTCAAGGTAGGGTTCGTACTGCCTGTCTGCCACTCGTAGATAATTTTTGGGTCGTCTCAAGACGTGCTGATAGAGCTCAAGGACGTGTACAAGTCGTTTGGCAGCAAACACATCCTCAGAGGCGCGTCGCTCAAGGTGCGGGATTTACCGCCTGGCCGGCCCTCTCTACGCATCCAGGCGGCCTTTGCCTCTGCGTGTATCTATGTGTCCTTGCATGCAGCCATTCCATTCCTTGTTCCACCACACCTACCTTGCATTTCTAACCGTCCCTTCCTTCTCCCTCCTTCCCTTTGCTCCCATCCCACCCACCGTCCTGAATGCACAACTGCATGGTGCAGATCCGGAGGGGCGAGGCGGTGGGGGTGATAGGTCCGTCTGGCACGGGCAAGTCAACCATTCTCAAGATCATGGCGGGGTTGCTTGCGCCTGACAAGGTATAGAAAGGGCCCATGCCCGTTCCTATCCATTCATCACGTTTTTTTTCTAAGCGCCCTAATGCATCCCATCATGTGCATCCCATCGTGTGCATCCCATCATGTGCATCCCATCACATCCATCCCATCACATCCATCCCATCGCATGTTTTGTCTTCCCACTTGCCTCCCGAACGCCCTGTTCCCTGTCTGCCCCTCCCTGCCAGGGCGAGGTGTGGATATGCGGCAAGAAGCGAGAGGGGTTGATCAGCGATCAGGAGAACGTGGGATTGCGAATTGGCCTGGTAAGGTTTTCAACGGACTGAGGGATTGCATTTATTAATGAACAGCCTTTAACTTGCTTGTGCATGTGAGCTGAGGGACGTGTAACCTTTTCTGTATCATCGCATCTCTCATGATCCTGTTTTCACTTTATTGATATACTTTTTGTTGCCTTTTCTGTTCATGTGTGTTTGACTCAACTCAAAGCACACCTATTTCACCCATATCCCTCATTAACGTTCAGGTGTTTCAGAGCGCAGCTCTCTTTGACTCCTTGACCGTGCGAGAGAATGTGGGCTTCCTGCTGTGAGTCTTCCCGCCTCTCTAGACTATCCCTGTCCCTTGTCATGTGATTGCTCTTGCCTGCGTTTCATACCTCCCAAAGAGTCCCTTTTGCACTGCACTGAACAACAGACATGATCCCATGCAACCCAGCTGGCATTATTGAATCTGCTCATGCCAGCTGTCAAACCTGGAAAATCCCCTGACCTCGTTTGTGTCACATCAGATACGAGCACTCGCGGCTGTCTGAGGAGGAGATTCGGCTGCGAGTGAAGGACAGCCTCAAGGCAGTGGGGCTCAAGGTGAGAGGCAGTGGGCTCAAGGTGAGGAGCATGTATCCATATATCCATCCATCCATCCGTCCGTCTGTCCATCCATTCATCCATCCATCCATCCATCCATCCAAACCCCCCACCCACCCACCCACCTTATCCTCCTGCCCTGACTGCCCTCCGCCCCACAGAACGTGGAGGAGCGATTCCCCTCAGAGCTGTCAGGAGGCATGAAGAAGCGCGTTGCACTGGCGCGGGCTATTGTATCGGACAGCGATGCACCACAGCTGGAGGAGGAGGTGGTGATGTATGATGAGCCGACCGCTGGGCTAGATCCGATTGCGTCCACCGTGGTGGAAGATTTGATTCGATCTCTGCATGTGGGGTCGTCGGTGCCGGTGCCTGTGACTGCGGAGATTGCAGCTGGGTTGGAGTCTGATTTTGAAACTGAGTCTGAGGATTCTGAGGATGAAGAGGGAGGAGGGAGAGGGGCGGGCGATGCTGCGAGTGGGAGCAGCAGGGATGGTAGCGGCAGCGGTGGTGGCTCCAAGGCTAGCAGAATGGCATCAGTGTCGTCGTACATTGTCGTGACACATCAGCACAGCACCATCCGGCGAGCTGTTGACAGGTCAGCATGGCAGGCTATCCTATCCCTTGGCGATTGCTGTACCTGTGGTGGGATGAGTACTGAATATGCAGGACCTGCGAGTTGAGCTGACCTAAGTTCTCCGTATAGGCTGCTGTTCCTGTATGGAAGTTAGGAGTAGACATCTCAAACTTCATTCTCTCACATGTCTCAGTGCTCCTGCCTGTTTTGAGTGTTGCCATGTGTGTTTTGTGCAGGCTGCTGTTTCTGTACGGAGGGGAGGTGGTGTGGGAGGGGCCCACAGAGGAGTTTGACACCACAGACAACCCGATCGTGAGACAGGTGAGTAGTAGATGCAACTAGTGATGCCTGTCAGAGGAAGCCCCTTTTAGCACATGTGCCTGTGCTGCTGCATGTGCTCGTGCTGCTGCATGTGCATGTGATGGTGCATGTATGTGTGAAGCTACACTGGATGCTCTCACTTCTTGCATGACCAGTTCCCACTTCTCTACTGTTCTTGCGTGTGCTTGCAGTTTGCTGTCGGCAGTCTGGATGGGCCTATTCGCTACTAGTGTGTGCTGTCGTGTCGCTTACAGAGAAGCCAAGAGAAAGCTAGCCAGGCATTTACCGTACAGTACAGGTCTGAAGTTAACAACTTAATTTCCATGTGTACACCATCCTTCCCACGGGCATCCATATTGTATTGTGCACTGTTTTTTATGTAGTTGCTGCTGCCTCTCAGCCATACCTGCATACTTCACTTCAAACCTGAAACTGCACTATTGCACCATATCTTACATACAGGAGGGAGACCACACTGGGCTGACTACAAGATAGCATCTAAGGTGACCGTACACCCCAAAATTGCAGCTCACGGCACGGTTTCCTAAGTACAACTCGCAAACTAAAGGCGACATGGAATCGAGATTCCTCTACTTGTCCATGCCTTTACAGACCACGTATTCCAAAAGGTCGAAACCTTGACTCCATGCATCCTCCACCACTCCCCGCCACCTGGCCCCCATCGCCTTCCCCAACGTTTTCAAAAATGCTGTTCTGAAAATCGGCGTATCGTCAGCAGCTACACCGTAATTTAGATGTCTACACCCCAGCGACATGAATTTCGGCGTGACTTTTTTCTCGACCGCATCCGCGTCGTCCATCTGCATGATCGCCTCGCACATGAGCCCGAAGGCGTGCGTCGCGTGCTCCTGCAGCCGCTTGTTCAGCGGCGCGGGCTCCGTCGAGTTGCGCACGTAGGAAAAGAGGTTACGGCCGTCGGGGGAAATGTCGAAGACACTGGTAAGAGAGCGGGGAAAGGGGGAGGAAGCAGGACGGGCGGAATGCGGAAAATGGGAGAACAGGGTAAGGGAGACGGAGGGGGGATGCTGGTCGAGCGAAGTGCTGCGAAAAACAATTACGTTTCGCTACAGATGGGTCTATGAGGCTGGGCATACATGAGGAAGAGGATGATGGCGTGTTGATCGGCGTTCGGCAGAATGAACTCGGTGAATGTTTCCCGCACGATCCGGCCCTGATCTGGTGTCAGCAACGGCGGCCTCTCGTCCGTGGAACTGCTACTTATCGGCGGTCCCGATATAGACGGATCCGCTAATGACGCTCGCATCACGAAGTCCATTCTGAATGTCTGCCTCTCGGTGGGATTCCAGCGAGTGCAAGGTGCACGAAGTCGTCAGTAAGAGGACGCTGCGTTTCTCGGAGGATCTACGAAACAGCTCGCGGAGGCTCGTATTGGCTGTGCTGCGATGAGGAACAAAAAGAGCAGGAGGAACGCGGTAAGTTCTAGACGTTCGAGCGAACTGGGAACTAGAAGAAAGCGCAGGGCGCGAGCGTGGAGATCGTTCAGACTGAATACTGTGGTTGTCAACTCTATTCACACTGAATGTCCTCCCTCGCAAGTGAGTTTATGTACGTAAGTTTGAGGTCGATGGCCAGAGCATGAGGATAACCACCATTCATAGACAATGGCGCACGACATGATCCGTTCATGACACCCTGGCCGGGGCAGAGGTGCTCCCCGGCCACAGCACATCACCATCTGACAACCACCACCAACCAAACCCAACTCTGCTGTGCTCGGCCCTTCAATGTCTCCGTTTCGCGTGTGAATTTCAGCACGACTGGCGATTCGGCAAACAGCCAAGAGACGCGCACGATGTTTGTTTTGCCCCAGCGACGAGGTTTGTCGGGGCTTGGGCGGACGTCAGCAGCCGCGCTGGCGTAACTGCAAGTGACGCTGATTGTGCGCGGGGATTCCGTGGCGGGGGGGACCGCAGCTTTGCCCGTGCTGTGCTGTGATGCCAGCGTTGCGAATGGAAGGGGGGGGGTGCGGCGGATAGTTGCACAGCGCAGGAATCCAGCACGCGCAAAAATCAGGATCCAGGATTGTCCGCCCCCCCGCTTTGCTTGCCCTTTGGCTACGAGAAGTGGCTCTGGCTCCTCAGCAAGCAAAAGGTCCAGACTCTGGAATCCTCATAACCCATTGAGAAAATTTTTATATCGCTCGTCTTGCAGTTAGTGCTTCTCGAGTGTACAAGCTCCTATTTATAAACTTTATCGAGACGTAGTTTCGGAGGAAATATGCTCCACTGTTTTGCGAACGTGACGAGAACAAGCCATATTGCCTGGACAAAAGTCGCAAGCATCGCATCCCAACGGCATTTTTGCGCGAATAACTGCGAGTCCGTTTGTTAAATCGCCTAGACAGATCTCGTGTTTCGAATTCGTCAGCCAATGAAATAGCTTCGCGGGCTCCACCTGTTTCTGTCTGACGACAGGCTTCAACTGCACCACTTTTATCAGGCTGTCCAAAAAAAAGGCGGCCATACTTTACTCGTGTTTCCATCGACTTGCTTGGGACATTGCTCACCGCCACTTATCCGCGCTCAGGTCCCCTTATCGCAGCCACTGGATATCAAGCCATGGATGTATGCTTTAGACTCTCGAGCTGTGTCAGCCTTGTTGTCAGATAACTTAACGCGCTAGGCAAGACACATGACTGATCACCGTTCAACCACCGAACTCGATACCCTGTATCACTCCACGGATCGTTAGTATTCGTAATTGTTCGTAGTAGGTAGCTCATTGCAATTAGAACATCGAGGGGCTCGACTCGATGTCGTCTTCTGGTCACAGAAATGGCGATCTGCATATCGGCACCAGCAGAGACAACACACATATCCTGTCCAGCGGAGCTCAATTCTCTCCCTCCTACTCGCAAGCAACCGGCAGAATGGGAAGCGGATTCACTCTGGCAGCGAGCCACAAGAAGCAGAGCGAAGCGATAAAGCAGAAGCAGAAGCAGAGGCCTAAGCAACGCCCATCCTTCTCTCGCCGACCGCCGCTCATGCTTCCCAGAACATGGAGATTGCTACGGTTTCTCTTTGTCGCCGTCGTCATTGCGGTAGCTCTCTCGTCATTCTTAATGTCCGGGATCGCTCCGTTTCTAGGAAACCCTAGCGCGATGTGGGCGTTTCTGACGACTCGCCGAGTCCGTAGAATAGCGTTCGGATCTGGGACGACTCCCGAGAACACGTCGCAGCCGGTGTGGACGCGAGGCGTCATTCCGTCCTCGCCTGACGTGTGGATATGGTGAGCCACGTCAGTCCCTCGGGATTGGTTCTTCATGTAACCCTAACCTTCCTCAATGCGGAGAGACCGTTAATCCCAAATACGATAGTTTGCGTGGAAACCCTAAATTTAAAAAGCTTGTGGCTTACGTTTTCCCGTCCTACGTGGCATCTGATCAGGCTTGGTGACATGGCGTATCTGGATGAACCCGAGGTGAACTGTACACGATGGCCGTTACATCCGCAATGTAACTGTACCAGCGACTGGTTTCAACAACGGGGCATTTCTTGTGTCAGAGGTGAGCTCTTGAGGTGTTCCTTTTCGGAATTCCTCAATTCTAAGATGAACAGTGGCAATTTTTTCAACTCTGAGCGAAAATCTCTTCCTCTTGGAAGCTTAAGCACCCCATCCCAGTCCACACTCGCACGTGTTCCTGTCATAAATCTTGGACCCGCTCTCTTCTGACTCGTCCTGTGACTTTTCAGGAAACAGCAAGTATGCCGTCACCCGGATGCAGCAGCAGCTACAGAACCCGGATTATGTAAAGTAAGGCCGCATGTCCACGTTGCATTGCTCGTATTTCCTTCTCTTTCCAACATCAGCACTTTGCCCTGCTCAAGCTCTGTGTTCTTGTGCATGCTCATGCCCTGCTCTCGTTCTTCCCTCCTGGTCTGACTGCTCATGAGCTGCAACTCTTCTTGGTACCTGAGTGGCCGCAAATTGAGCACCACATCACAAGCATCCATGCGCTGTCGATGCCTCTGCCTGTCACTGTGGGGGAGTGAGTGGTGCTTGTGCTGGGTGGACTGGATTGGACTGGAATAAATTTGATTGTATGTGGGGACATGGGTTTGGTTGGATGGGGGGTTGGAATGAGCATGTTGCAGTTTCTGCAGTTCATGTGTCCACGATACAAGCCCAGCAACGTGACGCCGATCCCTGATGGTTCTGATCCATCTGCGTGTCCACGCAGCATCCTGGGCGTGTATGATGACCGGGACTTTGGCTGGTGCGTTGCTCCTCACCCACACTCTCTCACTCACGCCCCTCACCTACTCACTCTCACTCATGCCCCTCACCCACACACTCACTCGTCATCCACACTCCTCACTCACACTCCACGTTCCCGCCACCACTATCACCACCATGCGAGCAGGGCGCACGGGTACAAACGGCCGATGCACAAGGACCTGCTCAAGACCGTCTTCCTGGATGCTCTGTCCCACTCTCACCTGTCACTCCTTCCTCAAACTCCTCACTTGTCTCCCCCACCGTCACCTCTCTATGTGAGCAGGGCGCACGGGTACAAGCGGCTGATGCACAAGGACCCGCTCAAGACGGTTTTCCTGGACGCCCTGGGCGCGCCCAAGGAGGACCCACGGCGCGACCGGGGAGATGGCATCCAGGCCGTGGTGAGTGAAGGTAGAGGGGAAGGAGGAGCGCGCTGGGGTGGGAGAGGCGAAGGGATTGGAGAGGGAGAAGTGGAGAATGGGGGGGGACAACAAGAGGGGGATGGCTGGCATGCAGGCCGTGGTGAGGGGATGGTAGCCAGGCAGGCATTGACTGACTGTTCCAGCCAATTCATTGCTCCACACCCCTTATCGACTGCGCCCTCGAGTTGGTGTTCTGTATCCCTCACCACCATTGCCCCCTCGCCTGCAGTATCACATGAACGAGGCGCTGCCAGGTCAGCAGATAGACGTGTTCCTATTGGACGAGCGGTACTACCGGGAGAACCTGCCGTGCCACGTGCGCCGGGAGTTCTGCTCCTCCGTAATGGACCTCGACAAACCGCACAGCTGGCGCTCGTGGTGAGCGAGGGGTGGAGGGAGAAAGGGGGCTAGGAGGAGTGGTTGAAGAAGGGGGTGATGTGGAGCGGAGCGGTTGTGGAGAAGGAGAATGGGTGTGGGAGAGATAAAGCTCTGTAGCCCACACAGCTGGTGCTCGGGTGAGAGATGAGGGAGGGGTTTGGTGGGGGGAAGGGGGAAAAAGGGGGATGCAAAAGAAAATGTTTGCGGGAGAGTCGGACGTTGACAGGCAGCACAGGTGTCACTCGTGGTGAGGGAAGGGGGATGGAGGGAGAGAGGGGGGGATAAGGGAAAGAGGGCTGGGGGAGGGGGGGGAGAAGAGCAGGCGGAGGTGGGTCTGAGTGGGGAGTTAGCATTGGGAAGGTGTTTGTCAGGCCACATAGCTGGAGTAGGTATGAGCATGGTGAGGGAGTGGCAAAGGGGACACATTCGACGTGATCATGTGTGACCAAGTGTGACCAAGTGTGACCAAGTGTGACCAAGTGTGACCAAGTGTGACCAAGTGTGACCAAGTGTGACCACGTGTGACCAAGTGTGACCAAGTGTGACCAAGTGTGACCACGTGTGACCAAGTGTGACCAAGTGTGACCACGTGTGACCAAGTGTGACCAAGTGTGACCACGTGTGACCAAGTGTGACCAAGTGTGACCACGTGTGACCAAGTGTGACCAAGTGTGACCAAGTGTGACCAGGAACATACCATTTGGTTCTGACTGCATTCTCTCCGTTCCCCCTTGCTTGGATCCCCAGATATTGTGCGCGCTTTTGCAGCAGAAACCCCTTGCTCCTGTGTGTCTTCTTCACTGGCAGTCCAGTCCACGCCTGTAACTTGAGTGGTTTGTTTCTGTTTCGAACCTGCTGTGCAGGTGCGGGGACTTTCTAGGCCGGGAGGTGCCGCGGAATCGGTGGTCGTGCTGTGACAAGGACGAGAAACTCTTCCAAGGTGAGATAATAACGAGGAATAATTTAAATTGTTTCCAGGTGAGATGCTTACAAACAAGGATGTGAAAGCTTTTGGGATGGCCTTAGCAAGTGCCAGCCAGGACTTTGAGATTCTTCAACCGCTGTAACTTCCCCTTCTCATCTCCTCTCTCTTCCCTGCGCTCCTTCTCCCCGTTTTGACACGGCTTGAGAGATTGACTGTAATGCCTTTCAAATCAACCTCCGTAACTCCTCCCGTTTCCCCTTTCTCCACTCTTTTCTTCATTGCCTCCGCCCATCTGGCACAGAGCAGCGTGCGGGAACGAGGCGCATGGAAACAACTTCCTCTGGGAAGAGGAGTCTCTGGTCTTGCAAAGCAACCTCCAAAGCCCTTCCCCCTTCTCCCCCATCCCTCCTCCCCCCTCTGGCACAGAGCAGCGTGGGATGGTGCGGGCACGAGGCGCACCCCAACCACTCCCTGTGGGAGGAGACTTTGGTCTCTCAAAGCAACCTCCAAGGCCCTCCCTCTCCCCGTCCCCCCCTCCTCCCCCCTCTGGCACAGAGCAGCGTGGTGTGGGCAGGAGGCGCACCGCAACCACTCCCTCTGGGAGGAAGCCTGCAGCCCGGCGCACGAGGCATTCGGATCACAGAAGATCAGCGTGCGCAAGAAGGGCAAGGACCCCGCTCTCTGGGACATCTACATAGAAGAACAGCCGGAGCCGCATAATTCCCAGTACTGTGAGGTGCTGGGGCGGCAGCAGCGCCTGTGGCTGCAGGATGAGTTGCACGACTCCAATGCGCCCATCAAGGTCATTGTGTCGCCCTCGCCGCTCTTCACCAATCCGCTGCCTCAGCCCTGCTCGCCGTTCCCGAAGCAGCTCTCCACTGCTGCCACGCTTACCGGGCCGTATGGGACCGAGCCGCCTGCCGAACCGGATTCTGCAGGCTCGGCAACAGCAGCAGCTCCTTCCGGTGCCAATGGTTCGGTTTCCGAGCCTCCTGCTACGTCTGTTCCTCCTGTGGCGCCAGTTGCGGAGGACCCGGTTACCAACGTAACGCAGTGCACGTGCTCGGGGGACGATTGGGAGTGTTACAAGCCGGCACAGCTGCACTTTCTGGAGATGCTGTCGCGGGTGGAGAAGGGGTGTGTGATTCTGCTGACAGGCGACATGGGGTACTCAGACATCAAGGTACGGCTCTCATCAGCTGCTCCTTTTTTTTCCCTTCTCTTCTTTTTCTTTTGTTTTTATTTTCTTGTGTGAAATTTGTTGGGTGCTTCTGCCGTATTTTCATGCACTTGATCATTTCTTCTGGCCGGTTCTTGAAAAGCCTTCTTGTCCCTGCCTGTGTGTCTGTTTGCTTGATTGCTTGCATGGCTGCGTGCATCCATCCTCGTGGGGCCCACCAGGTGTTTCGGCCGGGTCCAGGGCGGCCATACACGGATCTCTACCGCAGCTCACAGCACTATCGCCCCATCTACCAGGTCGGTCTGTCAGCCCCTGTGCATCACCCTTGCATTGGCTCAGAACCCTACTGTGCCTTGGAGCATTACCACCTCGTCTACTACCCCCCCATGCGGCCAGCCGTTTTTGCGTAGCGTATGGTTATTGTGATGTAAATGCCGTGTTTTCTTTCTGACTTGTCTGAATTGGCAGGTCATGGCAAGCGGATTGACAAGGAGACCACGAATAGACACGTCCTGCAGTCCAGGTGAGTCAATCTGATGTCAGAGTGAATCAGTCTGGACTCAAGTCAATCAGTATGTCAATCTGATGTCTCCTTTGAGAGCGTTTTTCCGAGCTTCGTGAAAAACAATAGTAGGAGTGGAAGGGAGCATGCAGCTTCTTTGGAGTGCTCATTCCCTGTGGCTGTGTGGCTGTGCGTGTGTGTGTGTGTGTGTGTGTGTGTGTGTGTGTGTGTGTGTGTGTGTGTGTGTGTGTGTGTGGTGTGTGTGTGTGTGTGTGTGTGTGTGTGTGTGTGTGTGTGTGTGTGTGTGTGTGCGTGTGCGTGTGCGTGTGCGTGTGCGTGTGCGTGTGTGTGCGTGTGCGTGTGCATGTGGGTGGGCAGGCAACGCGTGGACACATGATCCACTCAAGATGCGGCATCCCTCCGAGTGCTCCATTGCCCCCGCCCCCTCCTTTGGCATGGTGGAGGTGAGTGGCAGTGGGGGTGGAGGTGCTGCGGGGTCGACAATTGAATACCATAGACTACACTACATATTGTTGGTGAAGTTGGTGGCTTGCTTGTCAAATTTAGCTCACATTGTTCTCTTGATTATTGTCGTGTTTGTCCCATTTCCCCACATTGTTCTCTTGATCATTGTCGTGTTTGTGTAGGTGGACTGGGATAGAGAAAAGTTGGTGAAGCTACAAGTGAGGGATGGGGATACGAGCCAAGTTAGAATAGAGCTTGTGTTGGACTTGGCCGAGTGCCTAAACCATTGATGAATAATGCTGCAGGTCAGATTTGCAAGCTTTGCAATATAATCTTGAAATTTTACTATGTATAATATTATTTCATTCCTAGCCGTTTCGTGTTTACAGATGCTCCACCAGCTACTCCATCGGTTCCTCCTGAAGCGCGTACACCGATTCCGACAAGACTTCTACTCATGATCAGTCGCCTCGCGTTCAGGTCAGACCCGCCACTGCTGAAATGGAAGGTGATTACTAGACGCGACACCATCCGTCACTACCCATCCACTTCTCCTCCAACGCTTGCCAATCATTTTTCAAAAGATCTCAAAGGATATTGTAAGAGCTTGAAGAATCTTCGACGACCGTCGAGAATAGCGCAGCGATGCTCTTGTAGGCATGCAGCGTCACCTCGTCTCGCGCGCTGCCTCGCGCGCGCTTCGCTTACGACGACAGCAAGGCACCAGATGGGGCGTTTCAATCAGCCGTACGGGCCACGTGGCACAAGATGAACCGGCGAATGATACTGCGCAGCTGAATACGTACTCCCCAGCTAAGTACGCAAGAGCGCTTCTTCCGCGCACATGGCTTCCGCCCAGTGGCGCGGCTACTGGGAGCGGCGGGATTTTCAGCCCGGAGTGCAGTTCGCGGGAGTTAGAGGTTCGGGGGTGGCGAGGATTAGCTAGTTCAGCGGAAGCTGCGCCAGCGGCGGATGCGGACGAGGTAACGCGGATGGCGGAGGCTCATGCGCCAGAGGCTGCGGCGGCGGAGGGAGACGCGGAGAAACACGGGGTGCAGACCCGCGCGGAGGGCGGAGGGCGGAAGGGCGGGGGCAAAGGCGGGGGAAGCGGGTGGTGGGAGGCGGAGGAGAGGCGGAGGCAGAAGCGCGTGCCGGCGTGGGTGTTCGGGGAGTTCGAGCATCCCATCCGACGTGGCAGCCTGCCATTGCACGCGTGGATCGCGTTCAAGGTTCTCAAAGATGCCGGTGCGCGCCCTGCCTCATCAACAGCCCTATCTCCCTCTTCCTCTCTCCTTTTCACTCTCTTTATCTCCGTCATCGCAACCACTCTTCTCCTACCCTTCTCCTACTGCCCATTCCCCTATTTCCAACCCCTGAACCCGAATCTTGCACCTTCAAAACCCTCAACCCAGGCCTGGAACCCTACCTGGTGGGCAGGGCTGTGCGCGACCTCTTCCTGGGGCAAATCCCCAAGGACGTGGACATCATCTTGGACGCGTCTACACTTTCCAAACCCCTGTGGACCCCTCAACCCTGTGTTTATAAACCCCGAACCCAGGCCTGGAACCTTACCTGGTGGGTGGCGCAGTGCGCGACCTCTTTCTGGGGCGAATCCCAAAGGACGTGGACATCATCGTGGACGCGTCACCCGCCCACGTGGCACGCATCTTCCGCGAGCGCAAGTTCCGCCCCGTCGTGATTGGCCGCCGCTTCCCCATCTGCCGCGTCTTCCTAAAAAACGCCGTCGTGGACGTGAGTGAAAGGGCAGTTGGTCCTTACCCACCCCTGGGGTTCGTTCTCTTACTCATCCAAGCAGTTCTTGCTACTTCGCATGCTTGATGCATCTCATCTGAGTGCACGTGTATGCATTGTTCATTTTGCATGCATGTTTTTCAATGCGTCTGCCCATCCATTCATCCATGCACCCCCATGACATCAACTCGTTCTCCCTGTTGCTCCACCTACTGTTCGCACGAGTGCAGATTTCCAGCTTTGACAGCGAGCCAACCGCAGTGATTCCCCCTGCTGTGCCGTCAAAAGACGATGCACTGTTGGCAGCACCGGCCGATCAGCCCTCCTCTGCGTCAGAAGCAGAACAGCTTGCAGCAGCAACAACAGCAGCAGGGGAGGATGGGAGCACAGATGGGAGCACAATAGGGTCTGTGGACGGGGCACAGGAGGCAGGAGGGGTGGGAGAGAGGGAGCGCTGGGAGGGGGTAGATCTGGTGAAGGTTGTATCTGTGGAGACAGATGGCTGGGCGGATGAGGGGGATGAGGAAGGGGAGGAGGGGGGAGGGGAGAGGGCAGCAGGGGTTCCAGCAAAAGCAGTGCAGAAGGGGTTGGGTGAGGAGGAGGGGGATGCTGCTGCTGCAATTGCTGCTGATGCTAGCACTGCTGGGGTTGCTGCAGCAGCAGGTATTGGTGGTGCCGCTGCTGATACCGGAACCACCACTGGTCGCACTGCTGCTGCTGCTGCTGATGAGGGAACTAAAGCTGGCGGCGCTGCAGCAGCAGAGGCGGAGGCTTTGTGTCAAAAGGAGACGGATGGGGTTCAGGTGGATTGGAGGAGCGCGGCAGTGCGGCCAGCGGTGCAGCGGCATGCGTATGTGTGGTTGGAGGGGGATGAGCGGCGCTGGCGCAACGCCATGAAGCGCGACCTCACTGTCAACGCGTGAGCTGCCAGTGCCGGGGTGATGGGGTGCTGTGCTTGTGTCATTTGTGCTTCCATTGCTGTTGGGAGTTCTTAATAGGGTCGGAGGGCGACGAGCGGCGCTGGCGCAATGCCATCAAGCGCGACCTCACTGTCAACGCGTGAGCTGCCAGTGCTGGGGATTGCTGGGCTGCTGCTGCTGCTGCTGATGCTGATGCTGATGCTGATGCGCTGATGCTGATGCTGATGCGCTGATGCTGATGCTGATGCGCTGATGCTGATGCTGATGCGCTGATGCTGATGCGCTGATGCTGATGCTGATGCGCTGATGCTGATGCTGATGCGCTGATGCTGATGCTGATGCTGATGCGCTGATGCTGATGCTGATGCTGATGCGCTGATGCTGATGCTGATGCTGATGCTGATGCTGATGCTGATGCTGATGCGCTGATGCTGATGCTGATGCTGATGCTGATGCGCTGATGCTGATGCTGATGCTGATGCGCTGATGCTGATGCTGATGCTGATGCTGATGCTGATGCGCTGATGCTGATGCTGATGCTGATGCGCTGATGCTGATGCTGATGCTGATGCTGATGCTGATGCGCTGATGCTGATGCTGATGCTGATGCGCTGATGCTGATGCTGATGCTGATGCGCTGATGCTGATGCTGATGCTGATGCTGATGCGCTGATGCTGATGCTGATGCTGATGCTGCTGCTGATGCTGATGCGCTGATGCTGATGCTGATGCTGATGCGCTGATGCTGATGCTGATGCGCTGATGCTGATGCTGATGCTGATGCTGCTGCTGATGCTGATGCTGATGCGCTGATGCTGATGCTGATGCGCTGATGCTGATGCGCTGATGCTGATGCTGATGCTGATGCGCTGATGCTGATGCTGATGCTGCTGCTGATGCTGATGCTGATGCTGATGCTGATGCGCTGATGCTGATGCTGATGCGCTGATGCTGATGCGCTGATGCTGATGCTGATGCTGATGCGCTGATGCTGATGCTGATGCTGATGCGCTGATGCTGATGCTGATGCTGATGCTGATGCGCTGATGCTGATGCTGATGCTGATGCTGATGTGCTGATGCTGATGCTGCTGCTGATGCTGATGCTGATGCTGATGCGCTGATGCTGATGCTGATGCTGATGCGCTGATGCTGATGCTGATGCGCTGATGCTGATGCTGATGCTGATGCTGATGCGCTGATGCTGATGCTGATGCTGATGCTGATGCGCTGATGCTGATGCTGATGCGCTGATGCTGATGCTGATGCGCTGATGCTGATGCTGATGCTGATGCGCTGATGCTGATGCTGATGCTGATGCGCTGATGCTGATGCTGATGCTGATGCTGATGCGCTGATGCTGATGCTGATGCTGATGCGCTGATGCTGATGCTGATGCGCTGATGCTGATGCTGATGCTGATGCGCTGATGCTGATGCTGATGCGCTGATGCTGATGCTGATGCGCTGATGCTGATGCTGATGCTGATGCGCTGATGCTGATGCTGATGCTGATGCGCTGATGCTGATGCTGATGCTGATGCGCTGATGCTGATGCTGATGCTGATGCGCTGATGCTGATGCTGATGCGCTGATGCTGATGCTGATGCTGATGCGCTGATGCTGATGCTGATGCGCTGATGCTGATGCTGATGCGCTGATGCTGATGCTGATGCTGATGCAGATGCTGATGCTGATGCTGATGCTGATGCGCTGATGCTGATGCTGATGCTGATGCTGATGCTGATGCTGATGCTGCTGCTGATGCTGATGCTGATGCTGATGCGCTGATGCTGATGCTGATGCGCTGATGCTGATGCGCTGATGCTGATGCTGATGCTGATGCGCTGATGCTGATGCGCTGATGCTGATGCTGATGCTGATGCGCTGATGCTGATGCGCTGATGCTGATGCTGATGCTGCTGCTGATGCTGCTGCTGATGCTGATGCTGATGCTGATGCTGATGCGCTGATGCTGATGCTGATGCTGATGCGCTGATGCTGATGCGCTGATGCTGATGCTGCTGCTGCTGCTGATGCTGCTGCTGATGCTGATGCTGATGCTGATGCGCTGATGCTGATGCTGATGCTGATGCTGATTCTGATGCTGATGCTGATGCTGATGCGCTTGCCGATTCAAATGACCCCTCTTGCACCCACCCTCATCGTGACTTACAATTTGCCTGATCTTTCCACTTCCTCCCCCTCCGCGCAGCCTGTTCTTTGACCCACATCGGCACATGCTGTTTGATTATGTGGGGGGCACCCGCGACCTCTACAAACAGACCGTGAGTGCCATTGCTTGCTTGCATGAGGAATGCATGGCATTCTGTTGAAGGCCTTGCCTTGTGACTCTCTCTGCTGTGCACCCTCTCCATTGCTCTCCCCACTTGCCGCTCTCCCCACTTGCCGTTCTCCCTCCCTCAGTTCCTTCCTCCCTCAGTTCCTCCCTCAGTTCCTCCCTCAGTTCCTCCCTCAGTTCCTCCCTCAGTTCCTCCCTCAGTTCCTCCCTCAGTTCCTCCCTCAGTTCCTCCCTCAGTTCCTCCCTCAGTTCCTCCCTCAGTTCCTCCCTCAGTTCCTCCCTCAGTTCCTCCCTCAGTTCCTCCCTCAGTTCCTCCCTCAGTTCCTCCCTCAGTTCCTCCCTCAGTTCCTCCCTCAGTTCCTCCCTCAGTTCCTCCCTCCCTCAGTTCCTCCCTCAGTTCCTCCCTCCCTCAGTTCCTCCCTCAGTTCCTCCCTCCCTCAGTTCCTCCCTCAGTTCCTCCCTCAGTTCCTCCCTCCCTCAGTTCCTCCCTCCCTCAGTTCCTCCCTCAGTTCCTCCCTCAGTTCCTCCCTCAGTTCCTCCCTCAGTTCCTCCCTCAGTTCCTCCCTCAGTTCCTCCCTCCCTCAGTTCCTCCCTCAGTTCCTCCCTCAGTTCCTCCCTCCCTCAGTTCCTCCCTCAGTTCCTCCCTCAGTTCCTCCCTCAGTTCCTCCCTCAGTTCCTCCCTCAGTTCCTCCCTCAGTTCCTCCCTCAGTTCCTCCCTAGCCGCTCTCCCCACTTGCTTTTCTGCTGTACTCCTTTCCAGCTTGAGGTTCACTTTCTGTTGCTCTGTGTCTGTGTGCCTGTCTCTGTGCTCGTCTGTCCTGCCGCCATCAGGTGCGAATCATTGGCGACACGCGAGCTGCACTCAAGTCAATCAATCATCACACTTGTGCTCTCTTGTGTCTCTGTGTCCACTTATGCCCACCACCATCAGGTGCGCATTATTGGCGACACGAGAGCCAGCTTCCAGGAGGACCCTGGTGAGTTGCACGCTAGTCAAGTCAAGTCAAGTCAAGTCACAGTCAAGTCAGGTCAATTCAAGTCAAGTCAAGTCTAGATCGCCCTTGTGGGCTCTCTTGTCTTGTATTCCCGCTCTATGCATTTTTTCCCGAAAATAAGGGCAGAGTAAAGAGCACAAACATAGATAACCCGCAGGACTTGAATGGTCTCCTGAACAACCTGCCTTTCCCCTCCCCTTCCCCCTCTTTTGACCGCATCCACCAGCGCGCTCCTGAACACCCTTCTGAGAAACCTCCTTCCTTCCCCCCCACCTCCCTGTTATTGCCCTGCGCTCACCAGCGCGGTGTGTGAGGGCCATTCGCCTGGCAGCGTGTTTGGGGTTCCGTCTGAGCACGGGGGTGACCCGTGCCTGAATGCTCTCCTCACCACCCTCCGTTCCCTCCCCCACCTCTGCCCCAACCATGCATCACCGCACATCACCGCGTCCACCAGCGCGGTGTGTGAGGGCCATTCGCGTGGCAGCGCGGCTGGGGTTCCGTGTGAGCACGGGGGTGACCCGCGCGCTCAAGGCGCCCTCCACCCTGCCCGCCCTCGCCTCTCTCCCTCAGGTGCTGCCACACTCAATCACGTGCTGCCACACTCAATCAGGTGCTGCCACACTCAATCAGGTGCTGCCACACTCAATCAGGTGCTGCCACACTCAATCAGGTGCTGCCACGTGCCTCCCTGCAATCACTCTCACTCATCTCCTTGTTCGTCCATCTTTCTCCTCTGCCTGCTCGCCTTTCCCTTTCTCTTGCATTTTGATCCCGCCTGCCAGCCAGTTTCATAATCACATGTCATGTGTCTCACCCTCTTCCCTCCGTTCCTCCCTTTTTCTCTGTCCTTCCCTTCTATCCTGCTGTCCCACCCAGTCTCGCATGCAAATGGAGCTGGTGCAGATGATGTCTCACGGCGCATCTGAGCTGTCCGTTCGCATGCTCTGGCAGTTCAACCTGCTCCCTCTGCTGCTGCCGTTACAAGTAAGTGCTGCCAGGTTCTGCCAGGCACTACCTGTTTACTGCCTGCTCCAGATACTACCTCCACTGGTGGCAGTCCCTTCCCCCGTCCTAATCCCAACTCCTCTTTTCCGGTGCCCCTCCCTCTCCCCGCTCTCCCTCCTCTCTCCCCACCAGGCGCAGTACCTGCGGGCAAAGAAGTTTTCTCAGAAGGCGATGACAGACCGCCCTGACCTCATGTTTGTGAGTCACTCACCAACCATCTGCCCGTGTGCCTGTGCTACCGGGCCTGACTTACAGTCAGCTTCTTTTCAGCTCTCACCCTTCTGAAGCATTGTCCTCTGCTATCTGATGCCACCATCCCCTGCTCTCACCGACACCGTTCCACTCATCCCTCGCCCCATTAACACCCACTTCTCTCCCATGCCTCGTCCTCCTAGCCGCCATTCTTCATGACCTTAAACAACCTTCCCCCTGCCGGCCTCTGCTGCCCCGCCTTCTCCTTGTCTCTTATGCAGGACTTGCTACACGAGCTGGACGCACTAGTGCAAGCAGACAACCCATGCCACCCATCCACGTGGCTCTCTCTCCTCGCCCTCCACCTGGCGGCCTCTGATTTGCCGAACCACCTCCGTCCTCTCGCCCTCCTGACAGCTGTCCTCGCCGCCCACCCCTCCTGCCCGTCCGCTCGTATCGCGGCACGTGTTGCCATCTCCTTCGCCCAGACCTCCCATCCAAACCTGTGCCGTAGGCTCGGTATTCAGGGTCTGACCTGGCCGAGTGGGGAGACGCCGAGCCTGACTGGTGAAGGCTGGAGGGAGAAGGAAAGCAGGTTCGGGCCGAAGCAACAGGGGGGACAGATAGGAGAAAGCAGTAGTGATGGAAGCATTGGAGGAGGAGAGGAAGCAGGAGGAGGGAAGTGGGCAACAGAGGGAAGCAAGGGGATGGAAGAAGTAGATTGGGAGGGATTCAGGGAGGTGGAGTGGGGAGGAGAGGAGGGGATGGAGGGGGTGGGGCGAGGGGAGGTGGCGAGGGCAGTGAGGGGGGCCGTGGGGGCTCTGAAGGCGAGGAGGGAGGCGGTACTGCAGTAAGAGCTGGCAGCGGTGGAGGGGCAGCTGGGGGAGGTGGTATCTGAGATGATGCTCCGAGGCGGGGGGATTGGTAGGTTCGCTGCTAGACTTGAGGGGGTAGGAGAAGGGGGAGGGGAGGGGCTATGGGAGGGGGATGGGGAGAAAGGGGAGAAACAAGATCATAGGCAAGGGATAGAAAATTCGGGGTTATTTCTTTCAGGAGAGGGAGGTAGAGGGGAGGCAGAGGGGGGAGACAGGGCAGCAGGGCAGGTGTTGACGCCTGGTATGGCTTCAGCAGTGGCAGAGAGTCTGGGGAGGGTGCGATCATGGGGGCAGCAGTGGCGCGAGGAGCAGCAGATGCTGACTGATGTGAGCCGGTTGCTGGTCGCACTGGAGGGCACGGGAGGGATGGGCGGAATGGGGGATGTGAGGAGGGATTGGAGGAGAGGAGGAGGAGGTGGTATGGGAGTGGAGGGAAGCGAGGGGGATGAGGGGAAGGCGGGGGAGGGTAGGAGGGGGGAAGATGTGGTGGCAGGGGCAGAGGAAGGTTCTAGTGGTGATGGTGTGAGTGATGGTGGTGAGTGTGACAGTAGTGAAGGGGAAGAAGGGGCGATGTCTGCTGCTGGTGATGCTGCTGGTGATGATGCTGGTGATGATGCGCATGGTAGTGGCAGTCAGCGGGCGGCAAGAAGGAAGAAGAACGCATGGAGGCCTACCACGGAGGAAGATATCATCCGGGCGGCATCTCTTGTAAGCTAGCGTGATCTCATGCTCCCTCCCCACCCATGCTTCAACACATCGCCACCCCGTCTCATGCCTTACGTTCCCTGCTCTTTCAAATCAAACCGTTCAAGGCAGCTCTCTTTCACTTCTACCCCCTTCTCCCTTCCTTGCCCCTGTGCATGCTTGTCCTGCATGTGTGACCGTGCCCCTTCGTTATGTGCATATATCCGCAGCTAGCAGTGAGGTCGTCACAGCAAGTGCACCACATGGTGGACGACAGGCTGCTCATATGCACTGTGTCTTCCCTTTCTTCTCATGTTCCCTCTGCTCTTACATATCCTCTCTCTCTCCTCGCAGCTAGCAGTGAGGGCATCGCAGCACGTGCACCACATGGTAGACGACAAGCTTCTCTCAGCCACACTGCATAACCTCACCAGCTTGGAGCGCCACGACAATGTACGGATGCGTGTGGTGTGCTGTGCTCTCTCACTACCATTTCTGTGTAATTTTCCATTATTATGTTTTGCTGAGCATATGCATGCACCGCTTTTCCACGGGCTTTGGCTGGTCATATTTCTCACTAGTAAATCATTGTCAGGGAGCTTGATCTTTCCCTCTTAGCTTCCAACCCCTCTCGTACTTGCATTGCTGCCGTGCATGAATCAGGTGTTCATACAGCAGAAGGTGGCGCAATCCACTCATCAGCTTTTCCACGAGATCATATGCAAGTCGGAGGTCAATGAGGACGAGCATGCGCTATTGCACTTGAGGTCTAAATCGCTCCGAGTTCTTGAGGATGGGCCTGAAGGCTGTGGGGGAGATGATCCGCGGGATGTAGAGCAAGTGGAGGAGTTGCTTTCTCCGTTGAAGCAGGAGCGCTTTAGTAGCATCAAGTTTGATTTGAATGAGGTGGCTTCGATTTTGGTGCACGTGGTTTTAAGGGCTGCTTTTGTAGAACGTAAAGAGACAAACAAGCCTGCTCGTAAGTGAGTAGCTTCGTGTTTAGATGTTTTTTAGTGCAAAAAGTGTCTGAAACTTTTATAGCAATGTATGTTACGTTACGTATGCTGGCAAAAAACAGGTTTCCCTTCAATCGCCGCAAAAGTTTCGCGCCATTTGTCCAAGCGAATCCTCTGACAACGGGGTTTGTTTCAGACCGTGCCAGTGCTGGTCATTTGTTTCCCACTTCTGCGTCTCACAACATCGAACGCTTGCAGTGTGACACTTCAGAAAAGCAAGCCAGTGCGTCGTAGTTTGCGAAACGGGTGGTTCGGTGCGGGCGCATGTTCCGAAATCAACGTTCGACGTCCGTTTGATCCGTTCATGGAGATCGAGTTGCAGCAGCCTCTAGCTGCCGGCGGTTCTGCCGGCAGCGCTGACGTCGTCCGTCTGGTCGCGGCGGAGCATCAACGGATTCTGGTACGAAGATTTCCCGCTGTTTTCGAATCGACTCGAAAGACTAGGACTCCTGCTTCCAAGCGGAAGCATTACCTTTCTCTAGTAGACAGAGCGACGGCCACTTTGCGAATGTTAGCGTCAGTCTGTTCGTGCAGGCGAGCCAGTGGATCGCATAGCTTCACATTGATGCTGCGAATGTTCTGAAATTCGCGAAGCTCGCGAAGGGTGCGAAGGCTGAATAGGCTGCGAAACCGACAGCCGTTCGGTGGTGATATGGGGCTGTTGCAACAAGAACGCGATCGTGGACTGTAGAGAGATTGTGAAGCAGCGCGCTTCACAAGGCTCACAGGGCTCGATGCTTACCCGTCCCCTCCCCCTCCCCTCCCCCTCCTCTCCCCCTCCCCTCCCCTTCCCCCTCCCCCTTCCCCCTCCCCCAGAACGCCTTCCGCAAGGCCCTGGAGTCCCCGCTCCCCCCCAGCCAGCTGGCGCTGCCAACCCTAGCGGAAGCGCTGCAGCTCGGGGGAAGTGTGGGGAGCGGTGAGGGAACCGGCAGCGCAGCAGCGGGGACGACCTTGCCGGTAACCACACAGCCGTCTCTTGTAACCACCATGTGGCTCCTGAATGTATCAGGTCCTGGTAGTGCTCCATATTGGCTGCTGCTCCACCCTCATTTTCGTCGTGGGTTATGGTTGGTATTTTTCAGTGCCAGTTGTATGCTTTTTCTTCGGTTCAGAGATTCGTTGGCCCCATTGTCCTCGTTATTGCATGCATCGTTATCGTCCTCGTTGTTATTGTGTGTGCTCGCTACTGTACAGAAGGAGGGCAAGCTGACAGCGGAGCAGAACCAGCTGCTGGAGATCGGCTTGCGCTCGCTGCTGCAGAGCCTCGTGGTGAGAAGGGCTGTTGTGAGATGCAGTGCGGTGCAAAGGGTTGTTGCAAGACACTGAGAAGCAGAATGGTGCGAGGCAAGTTGTCGGAATTTGTCCTCAATATAAATCAAAGGCTTATCTGTTGTTCCCCTCCCAACCCATGTTTATCACCCCATCCATACCTCACCTCACCCCCACCCCCGCCCCTTTCCAACTCCAATGGTGTCATGAGAGCAGGAGAGTGCAGCAGCGCAGGGCGTGTCAGTGCTGAGTTACAACCCCACAGGCCCGCCTGGTGGGCTAGGCAGCTCAGCAGCGGTCATTCGCCTTCTCGGTGGGTTGCCTGGCTGCTCTTTGTCTCAGGCAATTAGTCTCTTATGCTCATCGTAATTGCCATTCCTCTGCGCCTCCACTCCACTCTCATCATCCGCCTCGTACCGTCTCCTTTACCATCCCATCCTTGCTTTCCCAACCCGCCCCACCCGCCACCAGACGTGGTGCTGCATCTGTGTGAGGCGGGGCGCATGGAGGGCGGTGTGGTGTTCCAGCTGTTGGAGGATCTCATGGACCAGTCGCCCATCGCCGACTGTCACCTCGTCTTCTCCTACATTGAGTCCAAGCAGCACGTCCTTGCCAAGGTGACAAGGTTTCAGCTGTTCTCTAGGCGCTCCTAATGTTTATGGTAACACCTCATGTGCGATCGATGGGCTGCGATGTGATGGATGGGCTACAATGTGATTTATGGGCTGCGATGTGATGGACGGGCTACAATGTGATGGATGGGCTACGATGCGATCCATTGCATCGTAGCCCGTCCATCACATCGCAGCCCATTCATGACATCGCAGCCCACAACTACTGCATGTCTAGTCCAAGCAGGCGCACCATCCTGCCAAGGTCTCCTTTTTGTTCTTGCTGCCGAGGTGACTTGTGAGCTGATTCAATGTAATCTCTGCCCTCGTCCTCCACGCCCCCTTTCCCATCCCCGCACAGGAGCACATACTGCAGCGAGGCAAGCTGGTGCTGCTGCGCGCATGCAACCAGCTCTTACGACGGCTTTCCAAGGTGAGACCACAGCAGGGAGGCGATTAGGGGGCTGTAGGGTGAGGTAAGTGAACAGAGGCGGCTGAAGGGGGACATTAGTTGTGGGTGAGGGTAGGGGGGTCTAATCAATTGCCCCTTACACCCGCCTTGCTTGTATGTGTATCTTTGTGCGTGCATGCATTTACTGTATGCGTGCATATTCTGTTTATGTATGCGTTTGGGTATGCGTGTGTGCATGCATGCAGGCTAACGATCTGGTGTTCTGTGGGAGAGTGCTCATGTTCCTCGCATACTTCTTCCCCATCGCTGAGAAATCAGGTCTGTTGGCTGACTGTACCACTGCAATGCAAAGCTCCCTCTCATCCCTCCAGTTTCTACCACTGACCTTGCTCCTCAATCCTTGTCGCTCACTCTCTCTCAGTTTGTGCCACGTTCATCCGCGTGTATCTCCCCATTTTCCGCAACCTCCTCACCCACCGTCCGCTCTCCCCGCCACCAGCGGTGAACATCAAGGGCGCGTTCAACACGTCCAATAAGACTGACTATGCTCGAGAGGCCCCCCAGGATGGTGAGGTCCTAGGCCTGGACATGGGATTCTGGAGATGCTGGGATGGTTGTTGCAAGTGAATAGCGTTTTCCGAGTGTCAGTAGACTGAGGCGCTGGTTCTGTGCTGCAACTCGGACAAAACCAGTTAACGGGTTCCGTCCATTCAACTGAGGCTGTACTTCCAGTGCCATATCTTCTGTTGCTGTGCTGTGAGGCCTACGCTCTCTCTTGTGTTCTTGGCTCGTTTTCTCAGTTTCTCTCGGTCTCTTTGTTCTTGTGCTCTCTCTGCATGCACAGGTGGTCCTCTCCTGGACTTCACGTTCTACACCACCTTCTGGAGCTTGCAGGTGCGCCCACCTGAATCCTACCTGAATTTCACCTGCCTTCCAGTCGTTTTTGCGAGTAGCAGCCAACCCACTTGACCTAACCTCCCCTTTCCATGTTCCCCATTCCCTCCTTCATGCCGTCCCTCCCCACCTCCCTCTCTCCCCCCTCCCCGAAAGTGCTTCCCCAAGCAACCTCCTCTGGCAGGGGGAAAGAGGCATAGTTTGATTCCATTCTCGCTCCTCCCTCCCTCCCTCTCTTCCCTGCCTTCGCCCCTCTCGCCTCCCACCGCCAGGAGTATTTCAGCAACCCAGCTATAGCACTACCCAAGTGGGGAGTCTTCTCGTCACACCTGTGCACCGTTCTCGACACCTTTGAAGCCCAGCCACTCGGCACTGAAACCGATGCAGGGACAGAGGCAGGGACGGGCGTAGGGGACGACGCAGGGGCAGGGGCAGGCGGGGAAGGAGCAGAGGGAGCAGGTGCATCGGTGGGAGGAGGAGCAGGGGGCGGGGAGCGGGGAGCAATGGGGGCAGGGGGAACAGGGGGAGCAGCAGGGGGAGGGGGTGGGTCAGGGGAGGCGGTGGGGGAGATGTTGGGGGCGTACAACATGAAGTACCTGACGAGCACTAGCTTGTTGGAGCTGGAATTGCGAGATGGCAGCTTCAGGCGCCAGTTCCTCGTGCAGTGCCTCATCCTCCTCGAATTCCTCATGGTGCGTGTTCTGCGGTGCTGTGTGGTTCTGTGAGGTGAGATGCTAGGGGAGGCGGTGGGGGAGATGTTGGGGGCGTACAACATGAAGTACCTGACGAGCACTAGCCTGTTGGAGCTGGAGCTAAGGGACGGTAGCTTCAGGCGCCAGTTCCTCGTGCAGTGCCTCATCCTCCTCGAATTCGTCATGGTGCGTGTTCTGCGGTGCTGTGTGGTTCTGTGAGGTGAGATGCTAGGGGAGGCGGTGGGGGAGATGTTGGGGGCATACAACATGAAGTACCTGACAAGCACTAGCTTGTTGGACCTGGAGCTAAGGGACGGCAGCTTCAGACGCCAGTTCCTCGTGCAGTGCCTCATCCTCCTCGAATTCCTCATGGTGGGTGTTATGCGGTGTTGTGCGGTGCTGTGCGGTGCTGTATGGTGCTGTGTGGTGCTGCTTTTGAGTCTGCTCAAAAGGTAGCTTCCGTTGCCAGTTCCTCGTGCAGTGCTTCATCCTCCTCGAATTCCTCATGGTGCGTGCTCTGCGGTGCTGTGCGGTGCTGTGTGGTGGCGCTCTCTGCTGCCCTTTGCTGCTTTTTGTTGCTCAGTGCTCTGCGCTGTAGAGTGTGAGTGGGCCACAAACTCAGCTTATTATCCTCTCTGACTGTGCTGTGCGATGTGTGAGCTGCAGATTCCAGGGAAGTCAGAGAAGGACGACAAGCGAGAAGCCATGGTCAGTGTCTCTCCCCTTTAAGCCCTTCTTATCCTCCAGTGGTGCACTCACTTGTCGCTCAACCGAGCACACTCTCTTCCATCTCACCCTTTCATCCCCCTCTCCTGCGCTGCCTGCTCATTGCTCAGAGAGCGGAGGCCCGGGAGTTTGAAGCTCGAGTGAAGAAGCTCCTCAGAAGATTACCGCCGGGCGGCGAGGACTTTCTGTCGACTGTGGAGCATGTGATGCAGAGGGAGAAGCACTGGGTGCGTGGAGGGAGGTTGAAGTGGGGGGGGATGTTGAATTTGTGGGTGAGGTAAAGGGTTGCAGGTTGTGGGCGGGGGAAATTAGGTTGGGGATGAAAGTGGAGGAGGGTGGAGGGGATAGGCGGGAAGGGGGTGATGTGAATACTCCATTGAAATTGTTGTGTACTACCAGTGGCTTTGATTTGGTTGTTATTGACTGCGTTCACATTTTTTTAACCCCTCTGAACCGCATTGCACCTCTGTCAGGTGGCATGGAAGAAGGAGGTGTGTCCGCCCTTCGACCGGCCCCCAGCTGACCTCACTCCCCGTCGGGACCCAACCCCCAAAAGGTACTTACCCCTCCCGAGCACGTGTTGTGTGCTACAAGACTCTGAGCACCTCTATATCTCGGAGTTCCTTCTCCTTTTCCTGATGGGTCCGCTTCACAAGACTTCCTCTCCTTCCTCTCACTCCTCCAACCCACGCTATCTGATGGAAAACAATAAACTGATTCGCTAGGCGTGTCAAGATGTGCTGTTTCCACCCTTACTCACAACCCCAGGCCACGTTACCTGATGGGCAACAAGGAGTTGGACAGACTTTTCAGATGGGCTGACAAACACCCTGTGAGGCCCTCTTCTCCTTCCTGATCCTTCCTGCTCAGCCTGTGATTCTTCTTTCCGCTCGTCCTCGGGTCAACAAATTCTGCTCTCTGTTGAGCCTACCTGCTGCAACCAGTTAGTCTAGTCTCTCTTCCCGCCAACCCTCGTTACCACCTCTTCCTATCATCCATCCCGCACCCGCATTTCCCTTGCACACCGGCCCTCACTACCCTGCCTTACCCACCCCTGCCTTTCCCACGCCCCCTGTCCCCCACCCCTTGGCCTGTCCTTGCGTGCAGGACGCATTGACGGACCCGGAGCAGGTGGCAGTGCCAGCATTTCGAGACTTCATCCAACCACTGGCGGATGATGTGAGTGCCACTGACCTTGGGTGTGCACGCTACACTCCTTTCAACGTGGTGTATGTGTGAGGGTGAGGCCGATGCTGCCATTCATTCGTTGTGCACTTTCTGAACCGGCCTCGTGCGCTTGTTTGTAAATGTGCACCTTCTTCCCCCTGTTACAACGTTCGCCTTGTCAGTTGCTTATCCCTTGCTGCTAATGCTGCAACTTTGGCTGCTGCTTTCTTGCCTGCGTGCTTGCTTGCGTGCATGCAAGCAGATGGACCCCGAGAATTGCATAGAGGCGGAATATCACCGGACCAATGACAAGGTGAGAGGCAGCACAGGCGGCACATGTTGTAGCACAGGAAGCAGGGGCTGCAGGAGAATTTTAGGAAGCAGCGGCAGCAGGGGGTGGAGTGGTAGCAGGGACAGCAGGGGTGGTCGTCACAGTTCGGATGGTGGCTGTTTGGGGACTTGCATTGCTAGATTGTTTCTTTTTTCCTGAACTGCCATTCACCCTCTTCCACCCTAGGGGTGCATCCACCCTCTCCTTCTCCACCGTCAGTCTCACTTGTCCCGTCCGCCCCCATACCTCCCCTCTGAACCAACACGCTCTGTAGGTCTTCTGTTGGAGGGCGTTGCGCCTTGCTGCTCGATCCGACATTGAGGCTTTCAACCGGGTGAGCTGCTCATGCTGTCAATGGGACGTGCTTCTTGTTTCCAAGTGATGCTTGTGGAATTCCCCTCATTCTCTGAGTACTGACTCTTATTTGCTGCTGAGTCAGTGGAACAGCTGCTGGAGCAACCTGTGAGACTCCCTTTGCCTCCCACCGTGGCAACTTGGGCATGGAGAGCCTAGCATCCCCCACTTCCTTTCCTTAACATCCGCTTCTTCAGCTCGCACTTACCTTCATCTCCTCCTTTCCCGCCTCCCTCACCCTTGTCCCCAGTTTGGAGATCTGGGCATGGAGGGGGTGGTGCCCCCGGACATGCTACCAGACGAGGTGCGGGTGAGGCTGCACAAGAGCAAGCCCAAGAAGGACTCTCATGGTGATAGGGATGCGGCCAAGGATGCTGGTAAAGGAGCGGCTAATAAAGAGGCTGCGGCCGATGCAGGGAAGGATGCTGCCGCTGGTAACGCCCTGCCTCCTGCACCAAATGCAGCTACGCCTGCAACTCCTCCGCAAGTTCCCCCCGCTGCTGCTACGGCTGCCGTCCCTGCTTCTACCCACCCTTTGGATGCTCCGTCCACGCCTGTAGCACCTGCTACAGCTGCTGGGACCCCACTCGCTAGTTCAGCAGGCGGAAAGACTGGCTCGGTTGTAGCGGCAGGTGGAGGGGACAAAAAGGGTGAGGGAGGGGGTGATGGGGATGGCACACCCGGCGCAAAGGGGTTTGTGTTTGATCTCAATATGGATGCTCCAGATGGCTCCCCTGCTGCTGCTGCTGCTGCTGGTGCGGGTGCGAGATCAACGCCTGGGAGTGCTGGTGGTGGGTCTGGGAGGAAAGGGCATGGAGGGGAGGGGAGTGCGATGGAGGTGGAAGGGGAGAGGAGAGCGGATGGGGAGGGAGAGGGGAGGGTATCGGCTTCGAAGAAGCGGTCACGTGCAGATGAGTGAAATGGCAGTCTGGTGGTGAGGTGTGCTGTTACCTCAAACACATTCATTCCACCATAACTTAGCATTTTTGTATGCAAGAGACGTAGGAAAGAATGTAGCATAGTATAAGGGCGTGTCCAGCGCGTACACTTTCGGGTTTTCACTAAAATTTTACGTATTTTGGTGCATGCGCAAAAATGGTACCGCCAGGCGTAGCTTGAAAGTTTCGCGTCCAAAATATAGAGAGAAGACACAATTCGCCATTGAGTACAACTAGCACAGCAATTTCCGCGACAGTAACGACGGTTTTCTAATGTAACCAGATTCGTCTGTGCAGTTCGCTGGAGCCGAAATTGCACATCTCATAATTCGCGGGAGTCACCTGATTTAGGCGAAATTCACGGTTGACTTCGCTGAACGGAACCCTGTTGCGAGTCGGACGCATACACCTCGAATCAGGGGGCTGTTACGTGCGTTGCGCGTAATTTGCACGAGCCGATGCACGTGTTCGGTGTGTCCGTACTTTACGTCCACGAGGTGTACAATGTCCAAAAATAGTGTAAAACTGTGGTTACATAAAAAAAATGGTAACCGTAGCGGCACATGTGGTGTAAACGTACGCGCTGGACACGCCCTAAGAATCTGATTTGGCACCGTGGAACATCATATACAGCACGGAAGCCTTCCGTTGTGTCAAGACTGCCCAAATAGATTCTGCCTCCACAGGCACGTGGTTAGGGGACACCACATACATGAGCACACACTGCACACATGGTTAGGGGCCTGCAATAATGAAGATCACCATGAGAACACTATACAAAAATATCAATCACCTAAAAGATAGGCTGAGGACGTTAAATTATGACTGACAGGTGTTGAAATCGGCACAGCTTATAAGGAACAACATGGGGCAGAACATGTGTAACGGTATTCGTGCTTCACGAGCGAAAAATCACTCTAGGGCATTCGCGAGCAGGAACTACTGCCCGGAACTGGCGCGTTGGTGGTTAGCCACCGTTGCCTCTTACTGCTGGCTTGAACCCCCTAGGAAGGTCGGTTTGAGCATAAATATGCAGTCACCATTCCTGTCGGAAGCCTTCCTAAGCCTTAGATATCGAGATTCGAGACTTCGCGTCTGCCGTTGCTTGCGGCAGGATCATGGCACCACGATGAGGGCTTTCTCTCTGTGGGACGGCTATGTCCCACTTAGCTCCCCGTTCCCCCCACGATGACACCATGGCTCGGAACGAGTGGAAGTTCCTGTGTGCCGTTGTGAATATGCTGCCGTGATTCTGCGCGCCACGCACTCGATACATGTGCGGGACGCTTCCGTGGCAGACCTTTCAAAAGTCCACCGAGGTGAGCTTTTCTCTTCCATTATCGAATCGGCGTACTCACAGTCTGACGATTGTCTCATGCGGCAAATTCCGCGTCTCCCGCGCGATGCCATCTCACCGCCGTTTCTGATGGCCCCGCGCTGCACTCGCTGCAGTCAGACGGTGCGCCGCTGACGATGGATAATTTCTGATGGGAGCCGTGCTTTCGCCTCCATTAGTCTTTTCTTCAGATCCAGTTACGTAGTAGACCCTTTTAACAGCACATGTATCTCCTTTCATTTTTCTTATTGTGCTACTGGTCACGCCCGTGTGATGAGTGCTATTACCTGTCCTTGTTGAAGTCTGACGCCACTCTTACGGGTTGGCACTGGCGACACGAATGCTCCCAACTGATGGTCGTGACTTGTTTATACGCGTTCTAATGTCGTTCTCGTTGTTTTGTTTTAGCTTCTATGCTTTCAATGTGCGCTGGTCATTCCTGGCGATGCCTGTGATGAAAGAAAATTGAGTGGTAGGAGCAGCGGTTGCGGGGGTTGCTGCGAAAGCAGCTGAACCTACCCCTGCGCTTGCCGCTGTCTCCGATGCCGCATCCTCCGGCTGAGGCATCGCTTGTTTCTCCTTTTACCAGCAAATCCGATCAAATTTCCGAGTCTGCCAGCTTATTTTTCTTTCTTTTCATATTCGCTGGGATGATTTAAAGCCGCGTACCAGCCTCTCTTGCTCAAGCTACCAGGCTCCGTCGTCAAGAGGGTCCTTATCACAGCAGCGGCCAGATCGCACTCCAGTGACTGCTGCATACCCGTTTCGCACCAGCCTTCTCTGCTGGATGCGAAAGAGCGTTTCACACATTCGGAGACTAACCATGGCGTTGACACTCACTGAGCCTCTGCTTTCTTCCTTTCGCTCCCCTCCATTCCAGAATCGCAGAATCACTGTTGCCCTCAGCGGTGCTGGATTACTGCGCGTCTTTCCGATAAATGGCTTCATGCAACCAGCTGGTTCTCGGAGCTATATTTGCTGTTTGACCTACCATTATGTATTATTGCTATATTTGGTGTTTCGTTGATTGGGTGTATAAGATAAACTACCATGATGTATTATTGCAAATAGGCTGTAACCCACAAGGAAGGCCTGTTCTTACTGATAACCCCAATCAACAGTAATCCTTAACAAGAGATATCACCTAAGTGCTCAACAAAACTTCATGGCTGCTGATAACAAGAGACGGCTCCACCCAACCAAACTGATCAGATCAGTACATAGATCAGATTAGCCAATTTGCTTCAGTGCAAATTGATGCTCTTGCTACACCATACGGTGTGAGATGGGTGGCTGGCATAGTTATATTGGTAATTGACAAGCTGCAGAGATACAATCTGCACCTCACAGGGAAGCACAGGCGGGCCCAGCAGAGATGGCAAAACAAGGAGGCTCGTTCCGAGGTGTATACGTAGCCCCCAGCAACTGCATTCATGCACTGCTCATGCTCCCTCAATTCATGTCTTCTTCAGTCACTGCTTCCTCAGTTAATGCCTTATCAGTTGATGCTTCACTCAGTTCAATGCTTTAGTTGTTGCCTCCCTCAGTTCATGCCTTGTCAAGGTAATGCCTAAGAACCTTTTCCAGAGCTGCCTTGCTGACAGGCTTGGACATGTAGTCTGGGTGCAAGAGGGGAGGAGAAAAAAAAGCAGGGAGGAGCAATGGGGAGAGGATTCGCGAGAAAGGGAGCAGCAGATACTTGTATAGCAGTCATAAGCGCACCTCACCCTCACACACAGCTGATGCCCCATACCCTCACCTGTCAGCCATGCTCCCACCTCTCACACCCTCACCTGTCATGCTCACCTCTCACTCCCTCACCTGTCATGCTCACCTCTCACTCCCTCACCTGTCATGCTCTCACCTCTCACTCCCTCACCTCTCACCCCCTCACCTGTCATGCCGGCAGCCAGGCACTGCTCCCTGTCGCCCTTGAGAGCATTGGCCGTCTGACATAGGTGCACACGTGGGGGGCAAGCGAGGGGGGCGAGGGGTGATGAGCGCAGGGTGGGCGGGCAATGGTGCGAGCATGCGCAAGGGAAGGATGGGGGGACACAGAGAAAGGGAGAGATGCTGGTAGACGGGAGATGGGTTAACAAGAGAGAGGGAGAAAATGCATAGAGAAGGGCGTATGGACTCGGAAGAGGGGCACAGAGGGCAAGGGGAGGGGCAAGCAAGGAGAAGGAAGGGCATGGGAGGCGAGGAAGCGAGGGAAGGGGAGAGGGAAAGGGGGGAAAGGGAGCGGGGGAGGTAAGGAAAGGGGCTTACAAGAGCGACGATGGTGACGTTGGGCTGAGCCTGCTGCGCCTCCAGCTCCCTGATCTTGCGACTCGCTGCCCACCCATCCATCTCCGGCATCTGTGCAGCACAGCACCCACGTGCACATGATTGGTACCATTGCCATGAGCATCAGAGTTACCGCATCAGGGAAGCAGCTGTGTGAACCAAAGCGCGACTTGCATAAGTGTGCTGATGTGCGTGCTGACCTGGCAGTCCATGAGGATGAGGTGCTGACCTGGCAGTCCATGAGGATGAGGGTGCTGACCTGGCAGTCCATGAGGATGAGGTTGTATTTGTTCTTCTGGAAGAGGCTAACAGCCTCCACACCATTGTTGGCGATGTCTATGCTCACGCCCAGCTGGGCCAGCATCGACTTGGCCACCTTCTGGTTGATCTGTGAGTGCCAGCGACAAGGAGCGAGGAGAGGAAGTGGCAGGAGAGAGGCGATGAGAGTGCGTGGGGGAGTGAAGACTGTTGCGATGGTACCCGTACTTACTAACTCACCCTGCCTGCCACCCTGCCTATCGCCCCCCCACCCACCAGGTTGTCTTCAGCCAGCAGGATGCGGCCACTCAGTTTTGGGCCCCATGCTCCTAGCAGCGGGTCGCGGCTGCTGCCTGCTATGAGCGCAGAGAGTGCCCTTACACTCACACATGACATCAACACCGCCTGCCGTCCTGCCACCCTGCCACCACACCGCCCTCCCTGCCACCCACCAGGTTATCCTCTGCCAGCAGGATGCGGCCACTCAGCTTGGGTCCCATGCTCCGTGCAGCGGGTCGCGGCTGCTGCCGGCGCCGCCCCGACGACACGAACAGCCCCTCGCCGCCCGGCGTGCTCTGCATCGCCGCTTCCATGGCTTCTAGGAGTGCCTTGGGGCGCACCTGGTGGCACACAGGGGGACGTTCGGGTAGAAAGGGGAAGGGGAACGGAGAGGGGTAATGGCGGAGAGGGGAGAGGTGAGTCTGGGATCATGAACATGGGCAGCATTGAAAAGGCGGAGGGAAGGAGGGGCGCTGCCGCCATGATTGAGCAGCACGCCATGCTGCCATGCTACCCTGTGTGCGTACCATGGGTTTATTGAGCATGGCGGGGCAGCGGTCGCGCCAGTAGCGCACGGCCTTGAGCTCACCCTCTGTCTTCTCCGACACCTGCGACCGCTTCAGCAGCACCACCACCCCCACGCGCTCCCGACCCAGCATCTCCAACACCGCCTGCAGGGGGAAGGTGGGAGGGGCGGAGAGGGAGGAGAGGCATGAGACAGGAGCGACATTCATAATTCATTGGCCTGGGGTCATCAGGAAAAGCGAAACGGGACGGGAGATTGTGAAACACTACGTCAACATTCTCAGCACGCTACAGCCCACTCACGTAGGACATGGGGTCAGCGAGCTGCGGCTTGCAGGAGAAGTCAATGATGACCAAATCAGCATCCTCTGCCTGCCCCTTGCTTGAGTTTGACTCAGGAGAAGTACGCTACAGCCCCCACTCACGGAGGACATGGGGTCGATCAGTTGTGGCTTGCAGGAGAAGTCAATGATGACCAAATCAGCATCCTCTGCCTGCCCCTTGCTTGAGTTTGACTCAGGAGAAGTACGCTACAGCCCCCACTCACGGAGGACATGGGGTCGATCAGTTGTGGCTTGCAGGAGAAGTCAATGATGACCAAATCGTAATCCTCCGCCAACCCCTTGCGCGCCGACCCATCGCGCCACGTGGCAGGCGCTGGTTGGCCGGCCGGCAGGGACGGCGCGGGCGGCAGAGAGCCGGCCGGAAGGCGTTTGAGGAAAGCCTCTTCTGGCGTGCAGGTGAGACAGGCGTGCGGCACCTTCCATGCCTCTAACTGCTTCTGCATGGCGCTCACTGTCACCTGAAGGGGGGTGGGGAAAGGAGTGGGAGGCGTTTGAGGAAGGCCTCCTCTGGCGTGCAGGTGAGGCACGCGTGTGCACCTTCCATGCCTCCAACTGCTTCTGCATGGCGCTCACTGTCACCTGAAGGTGGGGTGAGGCGGGGGGGATATGGGAAGAAGAGGATGAGGGGACATGAGAAGGGATGGGTGAGGGGGCATGAGGAACGATAGGGAGGACAGGAGGGACCAGAGTGGTGGCAGGCGTGTGGCACCTTCCATGCCTCTAACTGCCTCTCCATGGCGCTTGTGTCACCTGGGGTTGTCTGGGGAGGAGAACTAGGAGGGTGAGGGGCAGGGCGAGGGGAATGCAAATGCGGTGGAACCGCAGGGAGAAGCAACCACAGCGCAAGCTGCAACGACAAGGCAGCCAGGGATGGCTCACCTCGAGCGGGCTGACGAGCAGCACGCGGATAGATTGAAACTCTGGCGGTACAACCAGTGGCACGGGCAGCGGGCCGGACGAGGAGGGCGGTGCCTTGGAGGGCGTGCCGGCCGCAGCAGGGGACTCGGGGGAGAGCAGCGACGCGGAGTGGCCAGAGGAGGAGTGCGCGGCGGAGGGCGTGGAGGGCGTGGGGAGCGGCGGGTTGAGGGCGGCGACGGCGGCGTAGGCGGGGTGGTGCGTGTTGACGGGCAGGCGCACTGTGAAGGTGGACCCGCGCTTGAACTCGCTGTGCACTGAGATGCGCCCCCCCATCAGCTCCACCAGTTGCTTTGAGATGGCCAGGCCGAGCCCTGTTCCGCCGAACCTCCTTGTTGTGGAGGCGTCCACCTGGGGGAGGGTGGTGGGGAGGGGAGTGGGGTAAGGCACAGATGGGAGGGAATATACAAGTGAACTCGCTGTGCACTGAGATGCGCCCCCCCATCAGCTCCACTAGCTGCTTTGAGTTGGCCAGACCTAGACCTGTGCCTCCGAACCTTCTTGTTGTGGATGCTCGACCTGAGGTGGGGGAGAAGATGGCAGGGATTGCTCGAGCAGGAAAGCCATGCATAGTGAGGAAGAACGCCAAGAAGGCCAGGGCTGAGAGTTTGGCTGAGAGAGAAGCTGCGGATCGATCATTGATGCCCACCTGGGAAAACTTGGTGAAGAGGCGCCCGATGCGCTCCTTGGGAATACCAATCCCCGTGTCGCTGACGTGGCACACCCAGTACAGCACCCCCGCCTCCTGCGCCGCTGCTGCCTCTTGCGCGCGTGCCCGTGCTGCCCTCGCCTCCTGCTGCGCTGCCAGCATCGCCGCCCCTATGCTCCCTGATGCCCCGTGCGCGGGACTGTCCTTGCCACTCGCACCACCAGCAGACGCTCTTAATGGGGACCCGGACGCACCCCCAGCTGCCGCAGCACCAGAGGCACCAGAAGCAGAAGCAGCAGCAGCGGCAGCAGCGGAAGAGGTAGAGGTGGAGGAGGGGAGCTGCAGCAGGCACGGCGCGCCAACCTCCGCTTCCAAGCGGAACTTCACATACCCCTTCTCCGTGAACTTAATCGCGTTCGAAACCAGATTAATCAGCACCTGCAGCGTGCGCCCCGCATCCCCCACCAGAAACACGGGAGTCTCCGGCTCGATCTCGATCACGATGTCGAGTCCCTTGGACTCGGCGTTGTGGATGAGCAGCTCGGCGACTCTCTCTACCGCTTGCACGACGTTGAAGAGCGTCTGCTCCATGTCCAGCTTGCCCGACTCGATCTTGGAGTAGTCGAGGATGTCGTTGATGATCTGCAGCAGCATGTCTCCCGAATCGCGGATGGTCACCACGCGGTCGCGCTGCTCTGGTGTGAGGTCTGTGTCCAGGAGCAGGGCCGTCATGCCGACCACCCCATTCATGGGTGTCCTGATTTCGTGGCTCATTGTGGCGAGGAAATCTGAAGGCGGGATGGGAGGGGGAAAGGGGGGGAATGGAGAAAGAGGGTGGTGAAGGGAGTGCTGTGCTGTGCTGTGCTGTGCTGTGCTGTGCTGTGCTGTGCTGTGCTGTGCTGTGCTGTGCTGTGTGCTCAGTCAACCTCCAGCTTGCCAGACTCGAGCTTGGAGTAGTCGAGAATGTCGTTGATGATCTGCAGCAGCATGTCACCTGAATCTCTGATGGTCACCACGCGGTCGCGCTGCTCTGGTGTTAGGTCCGTGTCTAAAAGGAGGGCTGTCATGCTGACAACGCCATTCATGGGGGTGCGGATCTCGTGGCTCATGGTCGCAAAGAAGTCTGAAGAGGACGGGAGGAAAGCAGGGCGTTTTGGAGGAAGGTGGAGAAACGTGTTGAGGATGATGCATGGGAAGGTTGATGGAGGAGAGGGGGATGCGGGAATAGCAGGAAGAAAGGAGGTCACACAAAATGAAACCCCATCGCACCTGCTTTGGCGCGCGACACCCTCTCAGCCTCGTCCTTAGCATCCATCATAGCCTGCTCCGCCACCTTCCTGTCAGTAATGTCCGTGTGTGTGCCCACAAACCGCAGCGGGGAGTGTTGTGAAGGAAGGGGGGGGAGGCGGTGGGTGGGGGGTGGGAATAAGGGGACCAACACCCCTGCTCACCTGCTTTGGCGCGAGACACCCTCTCAGCCTCGTCTTTGGCATCCATCATGGCCTGCTCCGCCACCTTCCTGTCTGTGATGTCCGTGTGCGTGCCCACAAACCAGTGGAGAGTGTTGTGGGAAGCCGGGGAAGGAGTTGGGTGGGAGGGGGGAGAGGGGGGCGATAACCCTGCTCACCTGCTTTAGCGCGCGACACCCTCTCAGCCTCGTCTTTAGCATCCATCATGGCCTGCTCCGCCACCTTCCTATCAGTGATGTCCGTGTGTGTGCCCACAAACCGCAGCGGCTCGCCATCGTCCGTCTTGGAGAGCAGCTTGCCGCGGTGCAGGAACCAGCGCCACGACCCGTCCTTGCAGCGCAGCCGCTGCTCGTTCACAAACTGCGCCGTCACGCCGTCCAGATGCTCCTTCAGGTCCGCGTACGCTCGGTCCTTGTCCTCGGGGTGCAGCAGTCGCTCCCAGTCGTCCAGTGTTGACCCGATGTCGCCAGGCTCATAACTGGCGGAGCGGGGGAGGGGGGTGTGGGGGATGAGAGAGGTACAGTCCAGAATCTCCTTCAGATCTGCGTATGCTCTATCCTTGTCTTCCAGGTGGAGCAGTCGCTCCCAGTCGTCCAGTGTTGATCCAATGTCTCCAGGCTCGTAGCTGGGGGAGGAATATCCATGGGTGGGAGGAGGGCATGAGTAGGAGGGGCGCATAAGTGGGGGGGTTGCGGAAGCAGATTACAGTGCATGTGGCGCAGTCCAGCTGATCCAATTGAACTAGACAATTGAACCGGACTCAACCCATCATTTGCTGCCCAGCATCCACCCCACCATGTGCCTCCCTGCAGTCACCCCATCCACCCTCCACACCACTGACCCGAGCATCTGCTTCCAGCGGTCGGAGAAGAACATGGTGTTGTCACGCACGTTCCAGTCCCACACGCCATCATCGCTGCCCGACAGCGCATACAGCCACCGCTCCTCGCTCTCCTGCTCACATGCATCGGGTGGTGCCGGGGCAAGAGTGAGTGGGAATGTGGGAATGGTGAGAGGCAGATCGAAGAGGCCTAGTCCCACACGTGATACGCCTGATATTGTGTTTTCTAACAACCCTTGCTCTCACCTTGAGCTTCTTCTCCGCTTCAAGTCGTTCAGAGATATCCCTCAGCACGGCGACGTAGAAGACGGTGTCATAGTTGCCCTTCGAGAGGGAGACCACGTGCTCTCTGACAACCCCTCCTTCCTGCCTCGACCTTCCTCTCACCTTGAGCTTCTTCTCTGCTTCGAGTCGTTCAGAGATATCTCTGAGCACAGCCACGTAGAAGACGGTGTCGTAGTTTCCCTTGGAGAGGGAGATCTCGAGGGGGAACGTGCTGCCGTCCGTGCGGAACCCCGTGCCCTTGTGCACCTGCCCTGACGCGTGGTCCAGACCTGGTAGAGGGGGAGTGGAAGAGAGGGAAGGTGAGAAAGTGAGGAGCAACAGGAGAAAGGGCAGGATATTGAATGTCCCAAGAAACGCCGCTCACCCGTCCAAGCCCCAAGAGTAAGTCCCACTCTTCCCCACCATGAGTGACCCCCAGCAGCACCCACCACCCCACCTTCCCAACAAAGCACCCACCGCCAGCAGTGAGCATGTCACTGTGCCCATCAATCTCCACGAGCAGGTCCTTGAGCTGCAGGTTGGCGGGGGCTGCCACGCCCTTTCCAGAGCACGAACATGCATGCCAACTCCAATATAGCACAGCTACCCTCCCTCCAACAGATACGCACCTCCAGCAGTGAGGATGTCCCAATGACCGTCGATCTCCACGAGCAGGTCCTTCAGCTGCAGGTTGGCGGGCGCTGCACTTTAGCCCCAACAGTTAGTTCCCAATCAACCCCCCCCCCCCCCCCCCCCCCCCCCCCCCGCCAGCAGGGTCCCGTTCCCCCTCCCTAGCAGCACATACCGCCAGCAGTGAGCATGTCCCGATGACCATCTATCTCCACGAGCAAGTCCTTGAGCTGAAGGTTGGCAGGCGCTGCCACGCCCTGTACCCCACAGAGGAACCCCATAACACTCAAGAATCCATCCCAGCACAACACATACCTCCGGCCGTGAGCATATCCCGATGCCCATCGATCTCCACGAGCAAGTCCTTGAGCTGCAGGTTGGCAGGTGCTGCCACGCCCTCGCGCATGCTGCCCGGCAGGGGCGCGTCCCCCGGCTGTGCGAAGCCAAACATCTGCCGCGCTGACAGGTTCATGGAGGTCACATGCCCGCTGTGCGCCAGGGACATTATGCCCTCCTTCGCCACCTGGAAAGGCGAGGGGGGTTGGAAGCAGGCGATGCGGGGAGAAGGAAGGTGAGACGAGAGTGGGCAAGAGAGGGGTTCATGGAGGTCACATGCCCGCTGTGCGCCAGGGACATCATTCCCTCCTTCGCAACCTGGGGGGGGAATGACGGAGTAAGGGGGGGTGGATATGCAGGAATTGCGAGTGAGTGAGAGCAAAGAGAGAGTGCGGAGAGTCAACACGAGAGAGGGAATGTAGACATTGCAGTGAAGGAAAACAGTGCGGTGCAGGCAAAGAGAGTACCAGGCAGTAGAGGTGAGTGAGAGTCGATTTTTAAGTCGACTTAAAAATCGACTCATCACACGCGGGTTATACGTGGAGAAAATGTTTGTTGCGTGGAAAATTGGTTGTAACCTTCAGAGGTTACTGGTGCGCGCGCGACTTCCGAAGTTGCCCCTTGGCGAAAATCTGAACCCAACCCTTCACGCTGACACTTTCGAGGAAGTTGAAGACGTGGCTGCCTGAAGTTTTCGAGGGTGGTCTGGATTGGTCCCCGTCATTTGGGTGACCTGGGTGTGGATAGCCTAGAGTTCGCTTTCTTAGAGGCCTTGCTTCTCTTTAGAGGCATTGCTTAGCCCTTCTTTCTCATTGTTGGCACTGATGAAGGTCTGATCGGGCCTTTCCCCCGTAATAGACCGAAACATGTTTGTCCCTGTTTTACTCTACTGCTAAGAATTTGGGTTCTAAGATCGTTCTGAGCACTTAGTTGGACATAGAGCGGAATTTTACTGCTGTTTTTTCCTTTGCTTAAGCCTACTGCACGCACGCAGCTCACTGAGCCATGTCCGGATCTTGCAAAGAGAGTACCAGGCAGTAGAGGTGAGTGAGCGCAGAGACAGAGAGCTATGCATACGAAATATTGCCCAGTCAGAACAAAAGTCACTGCCTGCCTGTCTCACCTGCACAACGCTTGACAAGTGCAGCTCTGCCTCCTTCCTCCTCTTCCGCTCATTCACAGCATAGATCATCTGAGCGATGGTCATGGTGAGCGGCTCAATCTCCTTCACCAGCTGCTTGTCATACCCCGCTGCCCGGTTGGCCACGACAACACACTGCACAGCCCCAGCACATGCGCTACAGCTTGCCAGTCTCACCTGCACAACGCTTGACAAATGAAGCTCCGCCTCCTTCCTCCTCTTCCGCTCATTCACGGCATAGATCATCTGCGCTATCGTCATTGTCAGCGGTTCGATCTCCTTCACCAGCTGCTCGTCGTACCCCGCCGCGCGGTTGGCCACAGCAAAGACGCCGATGAGCTCGGTGCCGGTGTAGAGGGGGATGCCCATGAACTTGTCGATTATGGGGTGGCCTGGGGGGACGCCCCTAGATCTAGGGTCGTTGCGAGCGTCGTTAGTGAGCACCTGGAGGCACGGCAGGGCAGGGCAGGGCAGGGCAGGGCAGGGCAGGGCAGGGCATGGCACAGCATTGGCATTGGCAGAGGAGAGAGTGAGATAGATTGAGTACGTGGTTGGCAACAGGAAAGACGCCGATGAGCTCAGTGCCGGTATAGAGGCCCATGAACTTGTCGATTATGGGGTGGCCTGGGGGGACTCCTCTCGCCCTGGGGTCGTTGCGAGCATCATTCGTGAGCACCTGGAGGCAGGACAGGGCAGGTTACAGCATGGGCGGTTTGGAGAGGAAGTAGGTTGGACGCTCGCTGGCTGACTGCGGATCCGTCCCTCTCACATGCTCAAAAAAGAAGGAAAGAGAAGAGCATGCCTGCCACCTGCTGTCCCTCTGGCACCACAGTGCCACCCACCTGCTGTTCCGTGAGCACCACAGTGCCGTGCAGAGTGTTGAGGTTGGTGAACACGAGGCCCTTGTGGCTGTTGGCCCCTGGCTTCCTGCTCACCTGGGACCTGCTGTCCGGTAAACAGCTGAGTCATGCCAGCAGCACGTGCCTGGCATGCACCTGCTCTCCCGTCTCGCCCTCAACACCAACGCACCTGTTGCCCGGTGAGCACAACAGTGCCGTGCAGCGTGTTAAGGTTGGTGAACACGAGCCCCTTGTGGCTGTTGGCTCATCTGTTGCCCGATGAATAGCTGCTGCCCTATCAACACCACAGTGCCACCCACCTGTTGCCCCGTGAGCACGACGGTGCCGTGCAGCGTGTTAAGGTTGGTGAACACGAGCCCCTTGTGGCTGTTGGCCGCGTACCACGCCCTCAGCTCCTTGCTCCACGCCACGTTCGTCATCGCGTGCGTCTGCGCTCCCAAGGGAGCATGCACGCGTGTGGGATGGGAAGGGGGTGAGGAGTGGAAAGAAATGGAAGAAAACAGACATGAGGGGAAGGAGCAGAAACGCAGTGATGGGGGAAGATAATGAGGAGAGTAGGAGTGGACATGGTGTGGTGAGAACACAGGAGCAGAAGCGATCGCACCATGCACAACCCGTTCCGCCCCTCACCCCACCCCACACCAGCTCAGAACCACATCCAGAACCATCCGCACCTTGAGGTAGGGCGTGCCGTCGGCCTTGAGCAGAGCAGACGAGATGAATCCGAACATGGACTCAGTGACCTCCAGCAGCGCGGACAGCAGGTAGTCAAACACCAGGCTGCCGTTGGGCTCCTTGTCAATGAAATACACCTGGTGCGCGCGCGTGATCGCCGCTAGCAGCTTCCGCTGCAGCACCTCCGTGTTGCTCATTGTCCGCGCCAGCCCGCCTCCTCCCCCGGGTCCTCCGCCTCTCCCTCCCCCTCCGCCTCCGCCCACTCCCCCCATCTCCAGCCGCGCCCGCACCTCCTGCAGGGCGCTTTCGTCGAAGATTCTGTTCCCCTGCGCCTGGTACTCGCCCCCGCCCCCGGGGGCGTGCCTCCCGCTGTGCTCCCCGCTGCCCTCCCCGTCCCCCCCGCTGCTGCCGCGCAGGTGCGGGCACGCGTCCGGGCCTAGCCCGCCAGTGAAGGTGCTGGCGGTGGTGGTGGAGGCGAGGGGGGAGGCGTCAAAGGAGTGGCGCTTGGAGGAGGGGTTCAGGGGGGACCCGCCCCCGTGACTGCGCGCGTCCACACCCCCCCTCTGCACATCCCCCCCTCTCTGCTGCTGCCAGGAAGGTGCGGAGAACCTTCCGCTGCCGTCCGAGTGGAGAGGGGAGGAAGCGGGCTGGCTGGCGCTGCTGCTGGGGGGGTTGATATTGATACCGCAGCGCTGCAGCAGAGCCATGGCTACAGGGTGGTCGGAGAAATCGTCCCTGGGACTGCCACAGCGGCGGCATCGCCACGTAGACTCCACCCACGCCTTGAACGCCGCCCATTCCTCCTCCTTCATCCCCCCCAGCACCTCCCACGGAGGTACCGCCGAGCCTGCCTCACTGGCTTGGCGCCAGGGTTCCGAAGCTGCGCCCGAGGCTGTGCCGTGTGGCGTGGGGACGCCCTGCGAGGGGTAGTAGTCGCGCGAGGCGGGGTACGCGCCTCGCCCCATGCCCTCGTCCTGCTGCGCCTTCGCTTGCGCTCCCCCCGCGCCCGCGGCGGGCATCCGCGCGTCCCTGGGCGGAGTTGCTCCCCCCACTGCCCCCCCATCGCACCCCCACCCAATGCGCTCATGTTTCCTCCCCCCATTGGGCTAGTTCCCCCGGGGCCCGCTCCGCCCATGCCCTCCTGCGCTCTGCTGCGCTCCGCGCTTCTCCGCCCTATGACGGCGGCGGCGGAGCCTCCGCCCGTCCAATGGGGAGCCTGCATGAACGGCGCCTGCTGCTGCGGAGGGGGCGAAGGTTGCGCCTGCGCCTGCGGTGGCTGCGCTTGCGGTCGTTGCGCGGACTGTTGCTGCTGCTCGTCGCGGGCCCCCCCCTGCAGGCCCCCCTGCTGCGCCCCCGCGCCCATCGGCTTCGGGGAGAGCTGCGCGGGCGCCGCCAGCGGCTGCTGCGACGCCTGCGGCGAGCGTTGCGCCGCCTCCTGCGGTTCCCGCTCCCGCCGCGCGTCCCATGACACGGGCTCCGCGCCTGTTCCCGGTGGTGCCTCCGCCGCTTGCGCTCCCCTTGGAGAGGAAGTTTCCGCCTCTCCGCTTCTCCGCCGAGCCTTGCTGAGATTGCGCTGCGAGTTAGATTGAGTCAGCGAGTCGCCCTTCTTGCCGCCGAATAGGTTGTTCCAACCCATGATGGCCGGCAGTGACGGCGGTTACAAGAGACAAATTTGAGAGATGAGCTGCTGGTATACGTCGACTTTAGAGACAACACGAGAAGGAGGCGAGAAGAGGAATAGGAAAACAAACTGGTTGGGGCGGTTGCGTTAGGAGGAACTTAGAGTAGCCATTCTATCGAGAGACTCGTTCAAACGTAAGGTAAATATGCGGGAATAAAGACTATTAGTATTTTTTTCTGAAGAGCAATGCGGCATGGAGCGTCGTGGAATAATCTTAACGACCTTCAGGCGATTCGACTACCAAGCTTTAGGCTCGACGACATTCCAATGTTAGAAAGCTTATTCCTAAAGCAGCGCGCTGGGTCATGATTGGAGCACCGCAGGCACCCCGCCGCATACGCAGTGGATATTTCAAGCAGCATCCGCTGCGCAATGATTGGCTTGTTGCAGCAGGCAGGACAACTGGACGGGACAACCTTTTGCAGGCGCCGTGCGGGAGGAGAAGCAGTAGGTAGCAGCAGCTGGCGACGTTGGTAGTCTCGGCTCGCCTTCAGAGGCATAGGGCGTTTGGTGAGACGATTTGACGAAGTTCCACGAACATCAATTGTAACGCGGCAGTGCCCGCGAAAATGGGAATGGTGGGGCTGGCTGTCAGGTCAGCGGCGTGGTCAGATGGCCAGCTTGCAGTTCGGTTGGGATTGCCGCCGCAGTCTGACAAATATCCAGCCAGAATCAAGAGGAAGCAGTCAAAGGTACAGAGCGGTACGTATGATGGTTTGTTTAAACCAGTATTATGACTCAATAACACACTACTGCAGCCTAAGCTTTTAGATCAGCCTAAATTATGCATGCTGCTCAAACCAAACATCTATTGTTTAAAGAGCATTTCCAGGACAACCAAACAGCCACATCATTGCTCACTGCCCCCTTTTCTTGCAGTCATCAAGATCCTGTGCAGCTCCTTTGCCTCTGCAAGAGCCCCTTTTTTGCAAGCCAGCTTCGCAATCGGAAACAGCGCTCCATCATTCAACAGCACCGCAGGCGCCACAACCCCTGTGGTAACCAGATGGTGCAGAGTCCACAGCGCCTCCTCCCGTGCCCTCTCAGACTCACTCTCCAGCACATCCGATATCACTAGAGTCCCTTCCACTGCCAGCAGCGCCTCTTGCCCGCCACGTGTCCTCGCAAGATTGGCCAACACAGCCATAGCTTTCTCCTCAACCCCAGGCCTTTTATCCCCCAGAAGATCCACTAGAATGCTCACGGCGCCTTCCCTCACGATCTCATTCGCACACGACAGGTCCTGCGAGAGGGAGAAGAGCGCAAGCCCCGCGTCCTTTCTGCACCGTGCCGTCTCATTCGTGAGCAGGCGGACAAGCGAGGGGATTGCCCCCGCAGCTTGAATTTTTGTCTTGTGGATATTCCTGCTCGGACCAGCGCCATTCCCATTCCTGCTCCCATTCGCTGATTCGTCCATCACGTCGTCCCATGAAGCAAGGGCAAACAGCGCCGCAGCTGCATTCCCTTTCACCATGCTTGAAATGCCTGCCGCCCCCCCTGCTGGTGACACTGTTCCTGCCGTGCCAGCTGGCCCGGTGTGAGAGAGCACGTCCACAAGGGACGGCACGCCGCCCACATCAATGAACTCCGCAGCGCCATCGCGCGACTGGCACAGCTGCAGCACCACGGCCACAGCACAGTCCACCACCAGTGCAGGATCCATCACTCCCCGCCCGCGCCCCTCCCGCCCTGGCACCCTCCCACCGCCTCCACCTAGGGCTGCAACAGCCTCATCGAGAAAGTCAAGAAGGATGGGCACGCCGTCTTCTCGCTCCAGCAGCCGCTGCCTGTTCTCACAGCTCTCCTTCACTGCTGCTCTCAGCTGCACCACCGCCTCCACCCGCTGCTCTGCTGTCCCTCGATCCATCGCCTCAACCATCCCATCAACGGTTGTCATTGCACGTGGCGGAGATACCTGAGGTCCCTGCTGCTGCCCTGTATGCCCGTGCTGCTGCTGCTGCATCACCTGCTGAACCTGAGGGGACAGGGGAGGGAGGGCGGCGCCTGTGCTACTGCCCCCACTGCTGCCTTTAGAGAGCCTGTGCTTGGGTGAGCTAGCAGTTATCGACCCTGACCTTGGAATCCCAACTCCTGCCAGCAATTCTGCTGCTCCAATCGCCCCTGCAGCCGCCGCGCCACTGCCCCCCCTGCCGTGGCCCCCGCTTGACTGCTCCTGAGGTGACCACACCCCGCTGCCCGTCCCTTCCCGCGCGGGAACCCTAACTCCCGCCCCTGAAGTCCCCCCACCTGCGCGCGGCGGCAGCTGTGGAGAGGCTACCGCTTCAGGATTGGCAAGCGGACTGGTGGTGAGCAGGCCTGAGGCTTGTAACGGGGACAATCTGCGCTGCCTGCGCGCTGCTAACGAACTAGCCCCACTGGAGGACGGCCGCGGCTCTCTGCCCGGATGCGGGCCTGATTTCGCAACCGGGGACGCTGCTCGATCGTACACCACAGCGCCGGCCAGAACAGACGGGTCTAGCCGGCCGGCAGCCAGAGGGTCGTGGCTGCCGTCCCAGCTCATAGTGCGCCGGCGGTCAGGGCGCAAATGCGGCGCCGCAACGGGTCCTTTCTTCCGCTCCAGCGGATGCGCTCCCCCTACCGGCGCAGTTCCCGCGCGCGCCATGCCCGGGGCTCCCGAGTCCATGCCTGCTGTTCGTGCGGCCGTAGAATTTAAACCCAACCCTGCACCCCTACCCCCCGCGGAAGCGAATTTGTCCGATAACGAAGCAGGGCCCCTGCCGTGACTGGCTGCGCCTGAACCCTCGTGTGCAGCTTCCCTCGACCCGGTGACGGTCATTCTCTGCTGCTCGTGACTGCGTCTACGCTGCGCGTCTGCTTCTCGACCGCCAGGAGCCTCGCGCTCCCGCGCGGACATTGTCGAAAGGGACTGCCGCCGGTTGCGCGCGGCCATCTCGCTTCCGCTGCTGCCCCCGCCTTCATCGCTGCTCCGCGGCCCCTCGCGCGCACCAGATGGGCGGAGCGCACTGGCGGAGTTGAAGTTCCCGAAGAACGCGGAATCTGCTGCGGAGCGAGTTCTACGATGGCCTTTCACGTGAGCGGATTGATCGCCTTGCTCCTGCGATAGTGATAACATATGTCGAACCTCTTGATTGCCTGCGGTCTTCCGACTAACGGCCTGCTTCTGACCGGCCGAAAGTTTAACGTTGTGTTTGGCGCACCACTCCATGATCAATGCCTTGAGAGCGACATTTGGAAAGTACTCGGTGTGGCGAACTTTTTCTCCTGACCGCGGGCAGGTGACGTGACCGGCGTCGAACCAGGCTTGGATGTACTCGCGCTCGTACGTCAATCCCGAGGCGATAATTACGGGCTCCGCCATAACGCGATCCGATAAAGGGCAGATGAACTCGAGAGGGATCTCCAGGTCGGCATCGTCTCCCCGAGACATCGCGGTGAGAATAACCTGAACCTGTCTTTCAAGGGATTATAGCGAGCGAAATCTTAACGACAGAGAGTCTTTAGCAATCCATCCATACATGAGACTGCGGGTGATAAAGATTCCCAGCATTGGACGACCAAATAACTTCACTCAGTATTTTTGTTGACTAAAAACGTTGCCTATGCGCTGACAGTGGGCTGAGAGGCAAAGTGTGGAGGGGAGGGAGAGGATGGGCCGTTGAGCAAGGGCGGTGAATGACGTGTCTCGGTAATCCCGAGGGAAAGCACTTGTGACAAAGGAGGACACAGGGTTCAAGTTGGCGACATGAAGTGTTTTGATAACCGCGCCCTGGGACAGATGTCGGGATATTCCGCACTATTGAATCTTCCAAAATCGAAGCAGGTAGGGGCGATCGAAACGTGCTGGGAGCCACAAGAACGCCGACTTTCGCCAAAGGTTTCGCCCATCATTCGCGATATTTAGCTGGCAACAACCAGAGGCTCGAGTGGCGACGAACCTTGGGATTGGGGCAGGCCGCAGGCCAGCCTCAGACCTCATAAATTGGCGGGAGGCCGACCAGACTGGGAATTCGGGGGCAACCTGCAAGTCCGCGTTTTCACTCATTGCGCCCGATGGATGCTGGGGTTAGGGGAAATTTGACAATTGGGGGAATTCGACAATTGGCCAATCACCAATGACCAGGCTTCAGATGCGCCCGCCAGGTCACAGAGGCAGACCGCCGCGGATGCATCCCCCCTTCCCCAGCACCTTTTGGCGGGTGCCATCCGCCAGGCTGTTCTGCTCAGAGCCAGCCTCGTTAAAAAAAACACATTTGAATACTTTGCACTACATACACAACATACACACTACGTACACAACTGTTTGCTTGTCATCCACCAGTCATCTCCAACATCATCATTCCAGAACAGATGGATTCATGGTTGAACAAGCGTTTCCATGATCATTCCCGTGCGTGAACATGCATGCGTGGCCGTGCGCTTGACCGATCCCTCGTCGCATCCGACCGGAACTGGTCTTTCCAGATAGCCTAGCAGCTCTTACCAAGGCAGCTCGTATCGAAGCAGCTTCTTACCTTTGAGAAAATCCGCTAAGTTGTACCATTCGCTGGGAACGCCACGCCAGCAGTTATGTACAAGCCACGTGTCAAAGCGCACAAGTCCAAGCATCTCCATCACTCCGACGGGGCGCGGGGATGGCCCCCGAAAGAGGCGGCGGCGTCCGCCGCTACCCACTCCAGCGGAGAATGGAGCGGAACCGCGGAGGCCGTGAGCGCCGGAGACGCGCACTTGGCGGAAGCCGTCGGCGGAATGGGCGCGGGCGGAATGCCGGTGAGCAGCCCGGACATTCTTGGGAAGGGGTGCTTCAGCTGGCGCGGCGTGTTTCACAAGGACCACGGCGCGCGCGTGCTTAAATTAGAAGGCGGCGGTGTAGCGGAGGTGCTTGTAGTGGATCCTGGGCGGAGAGACGACGAGGTGAGAACACATTACGGGTACACCGTGGGGGATTTTAGTGGAAAGGCGGAGCACGCGGGAACGGCGGGCGCGCACGGACAGGGGGAGGACGTGGGGGGATACGAGCGCCGCAGTGATAGGGTCGGGGGGAGAGGTGAAGTGATGGCAGGTGCGGGGAGGGAGCAGGAGAGGGCGATAGGAGCGGAGGAGCGGGGTGGTGTGGGTGGCGTGTCTTCTTCTGCTGCTGTCGTGGCGTCCGATGAAACGCTTGACCTGTCAGTGCGTACGGACGTCACAGTTTCATCCGACGTAGCGACGGTCGGCAGCGTTTCATCTGCACGCCTGAACCCTGATGGCGTTTCATCCAGGCGCGCGGCCGCGGCGGACGGACCGGGAGTGTCGGAAGCAACCGTGGTGTCAGTGCGAGTTGACCCTGCAAGTTCATCCCATAAAATTGCACATGAGGGGGGTGGGGGCGCGGGGGACAGGGACGAAGCAGCTCGAGCGAATGTGGATAGTGACTTGCTAGTCAACGGGAATTGGGCGGCGGGATGCACTGATGCTGTCACTGGCGCCAGTGGGTATTCTTCTCTCCCCACCACTGCACCAACTCAGCTCCTCCCTCTCTCTCTGGATTCCTCCCCCCTAGCGCCGCTTCACCCGCCTCCCTCCTCCCTCGCACCTCCTTCGCTCACTGCCTCATCGGGTTCCTTCTCTCTCACTTGCCCTCCCCACGCGTCCTCACTATCTATCCACTCTGGAGCAACCATTTCTTCCCCCTCCGCCCTCGCCTCCGCCCTCCCCTCCGCCCTGGCTTCCCCCCTCTCCCCCACTGCGCAACCCCTCTCCACTGCTCCCCCCACCGATGCCACGCCCTTGGGTGCTCCGCGCTCTATCACCCCCTCCGCCACCGCCCCCCAACCCTCCGCGCCTGCTGCTTCCACCTCCTCCGCGCCCCCCCCTCGTCCCCACACCTCTGCAGCTTCCTCCCTCCCCCGCCCGCCCCACGCCCTCCCCCCCACTCCCGCCAGCCGCGGCAGCAGCAGGGAAGGGGGGCACCAGAGGGGGGCGCGAGGGGGGGTGAGCAGGGATGGGCGGGGGGGAACGGCGGGGCGGGCAGTGGGCGCAGTGGGGTGTCTAGCGGGGGGAGGTGGAGTGGGGGAGGTGGGGGAGGCGGGGGAGGGGGGTTCCATGCGCGCAAGCTGTCCACAGACGACAGCTTCCTGGGTCTTTCCTCCCGCAGCCCTCTAGACACCTCCGCCTGCACTGCCAGGACGCCCCGCCTCTCCCCCCACCCTCCTGCTGCTGCTGCCACCGCCGCCGCCACCGCCGCCGCCACCGCCGCCGCCACCGCCGCCGCCACCGCCGCCGCTGCTGCTGCTGCTGGTGGTGTTAGTGGTGCAGTGGATGGTACCGGCAGCATCACGACTCCATCTGCTCCAACGTTCAACCCCAGTCTGCCTCCAGCCACCCCACCCACCACTGCCTTCCCCCCGCCCCCCTACCCCACCACCCCCCTCACGCTCACCTCGCCCTCGTTCCCCCTCGTCCACTCAGACACTGCCACGTCACCCAGCATCATCCACAAGTCGCCGTCCACGCCGTCCGTCTCCACCGACGATGAGCTGGCGCCACTGCCCGGCCTTGGGATTGCCGCGACGGGGGCGAGAGGGGGAATGGAGGGGGGAATGATGGCGGGAATTATGGGCGGAATGATGGGAGGGGGCGCAGCAGAGAGGGGAGGTCTGGGGGAAGGGGAGGGGATGGAAGGAGGGGCGGGGATGGGGCAGTACGGGAGCGCTTATATCCCCAGAATCGAGAGTGTGGGCAGCAGCAGTGGGTCAGTGGCAGCAGGAGACGGGCTGGTGGGGGTGCCAAGGCCGGGCACGCTCAAGACATGGAAGTCCATGCACGCCCACCGCCATAAACTCGCCCGCGGGCTGCTCTTCGCTGGTACGCTGCACCATAAACTGCCTTTTTGAATGTGTATACATGTGTGCACCACGTGCACCCCACGTGCACCCCACATGCACCCCACGTGCGCCCCACGTGCACCCCACATGCACCCCACGTGCGCCCCACGTGAGCCCCACGTGCGCCCCACGTGCGCCCCACGTGCGCCCCAATGGCTCGCACTGGTGGCCGTATGGATTGCGTTGACTGAAACCGATTGTCTCCCTGCTGGTTTCCGTACCCATCCTTTGCTCCCCGTTTCCTCGCTCTCACCCCCTTCCACCCCCTTTTTCTCCACCACCCCGGGGTGGCATGGCAGCAGGCGAGAGTGGCGAGGAGGGCGGGATGAGCCCAAGGGGGCTGGCGTTCATGGCAGGCACCCGCCTTTGCCCCTCGTTTCCTTGCTAACCCCTATTTCCATCTCCCCTTTCCCCCACCACCCCGGGGTGGCATGGCAGCAGGCGAGAGTGGCGAGGAGGGTGGGATGAGTCCCAGGGGTCTGGCGTTCATGGCAGGCGCCCGCCGCCGAGGGCTGTGGCGCCGCACCGTCACACCCAAGGAGTGTGAGTGGGGGGGATTGTAGTGCGGTTGAGGGGGGTGCACTATTGTGCTGGATATGCACCTAAGGAGTGTGAGTGGAGGTGATTTAAGGCGGTTGAGAGGGGTGCAGTGCACTATGGTGCTGGATTATGCGCGCAATGAATGGAGGGGTTTGTGAAGTGGTTGAGCTGGGACGTGTGGGGAAGGTCGTGAGGCTGACTGATCAAGATGAGTGTGTTTTGTTCTTCTGCGCACCTGCCACCTGCTCACCACATCCGCTGCTCGTCTCGTCTCTCCTCCCCTTTTTGCTCATTTTCACTTTTCAATTAAAATATCTTTTTGCCCCATGCCCCATGCCGTCCGCTCACACTCCCACCCCACCTTCCCACCTCTATCCCTCCACCAATCTTGTCCAACACACGTCCCGCTTGCCCCTACACCTTCCGCCTTCCCCCTTCAGCTGTGAAGCGCCTGCTCATGTGGCCCCAGGCGGGATCTCAGGTGTCCCGCTGCGCCCCAGGTGATTCCTCTGCTGAAAACTCCTGGTCGCCCGTGGACCCTGCGTCCTTCGACGTGCGCGGAGAAACTTTTTTATCTGACCGTCGCAAGGTGCCCGCCTGCCCGCCGGCCATGTACGAGCCATGGGGCGTGGACGTGTTTCACACACCACTCAAAATCCGCCACGTGGCAGAGCATGTGGAGCTCCCTGCTTGCCTCTTTCAGAGGGGGAGTGGGGGAGAGAGTGGGGAGGTGCAGCAGGAGGGGGTGGAAGAGGGGGAGACAGGGCAAGGTGATGAAGATGGTCGCATGGATGGTGTGTGTGGGGAGGTCTATGGGATAGGAGAAGAGGGAGAAGGAGCAGAAGGAGGAGGAGAAGAAGGGGAATGGGGAGAAGCGTGGGTGCTGCCTGAGGTGCTGGTGGTGAACCTGCAGGTACCGCTCTACACCACTCTGCCGCTACTACAGCAGGAGCAGGACGGGGAGGGAATCAGCCTGGTGCTCTACTTGAAGCTCAGCCCTGCCTATGCACGCGGTGTGCCACCGTGCCTCGCTGCCATGCTCGAGGTAAGCACAGCCTAGTTTCCTGATTACCATGACCCGCTTACGTGCTACAACTGCGACGAGTCATAAGCTGCCACGTGTCGTGCTTCATGCCTCGCGCCGACCTCAAGATCACACCATCGTCTGCTCCATCTTCCTCCTCCCCGACTGTTCACCCAGCTCCCATCCCTCTTTTCTTGCCCTTTCCCCTCTACTCCCTTGCCCCCTCTCCTCCTCTGCTCTCCCTCCGCTCCTCCTCCCCTGCTCTGCCCCTCTGCTCTGCTGCCCTGCCGCATGGCTCCCATCATTCCCACAGCCGCTGTGCCAGCCGCCACCCGCACATCTATCTTCCCAGCCGGGGATTGGGAGCAGCACACATGTGCCCACAGACACAGATGCTGTCAGGGTTGGTGCTCCAGACGCGGCTGTAGCAGCTGTAGCAGGGCCTGGGGGGGGCTACAGTGCTACAGATGCGAGTCATTCGCGCTCTAGCAGCAAGGGGAGTGCCACGGGCAGTAGCAGCAGCGGCGGGAGGGGGGGGAAGGCAGTCGGGGTCACTGAGGCTGGGCGAAAAGAATCTCCGAACGCTTTTAAGTGGGATCGGCCGAAGCTGCTGGCTCGGGTGGTGAACGAGGCTGGCATGGGCCTAGGCTCGGGTACGAAGAAGACAGTGCAGAGCTGGAGCGGGCAACCCATCCTCACTCGTTCACACCACTCGCTCATCCGAGTGAGTGATTCGTCAAGCCTGATGTTTCTCAGCCTCCATTCTGCAAGTCAGCTTGACTTTTAACAGTCACAAAAGGTCCACACAAAGGTGCTTGTTTCACGCCTAGTGTGGCCCGTGTGGTCCTGCTCTCATCGATTCCCTCCTCCTTGCATGTGTCTGTGGCAGGGTGAGAGCAAGCCATATGTGGAGATGGATATTGATGTGCATCGCTTCCCCAATCAGGTCAAGAGGGGACTCCTCCCGCTGCGCCGCCACCTCTCCTCCTGTGTCTTTGACATCGCCATCATCCTTCAGGTATGATTCACTCCTTCGTTTCTCCCGTCGTTCATGCGCTTTTCTGCTTGGTGTTGCTGGTTGGCCATGTTCCTCATTGTATATCTTCAATGTTTGTTTTCTTTCTGCTACGTCACATAATTCCGGCAAGCAGGGTGTCAGTCCAGAGGAATTTCCGGAGCCGATTCTCGCCTGTGTCCGTCTGCATCGCCTTGACTTGTCACAATTCGGATCACTGGGCTCGGGATTGTGACATTCATACGCATTATGCATACAGGTGACTCGTTTGTAGATTCGAATTCTGGTGACAGTCGTTGTAGAATGCCTCACCTTGTACGTAGTCGAATTGTTTTGTAGCGCGAATGCAGTACCTCGCGGGGCCACCAACTGCTTTAGCACGGGCCATTTTCAGGTGCGATCCACACTTGCCGGGAAAGCTACTCATGTGCGATCCATGTTATTTTGCAAGTACGAACACCCGAGTCAGTTTTCAATTTTGCCGTATAAAAACTCATTTATCCGAGATCCGATTCAAAATTACACAAACAGTCGGAATCAGGATTGATTACGAATCACGCCAAGAAAAATTCGAATGGTCACATCATTTTGGCACAATTTCGACGACTAATTCTGCTTCCCACTAGAATTTCATGAAAGAACAATTATGCCGGATCAGCTGTATTGTTGAGACACATGACGGACGCTGCGCAGGGCAAATCAGCATTCCCTTCATGGGCGTGCACCACGAAACACGAAAAAAGTGCCCGGGTAATTCTAAATTTAACCCTTGCCGTACTATATACCCCGCTGATTTTTTTTCGCACTAGACCACGCTACATTAAAAAAAACCATAAAGACCCAGTAAGCATTTTCGGGAAGAATCAAACCTAAAATGCTCCAGGTTTTGTAGGGGTTAAAAATATATATTTTTTTATGGCAGCGTCGTTTACTGCGAAAAACAAATCCAGCTGGTTATTTTTAGGGTAAAATTCATTATCACCCAGACAGTTTCTCGTGTTTTGGGGTGCACGCCCAAGAAGGGAATGCTGAAATGGCCTGCGTAATATCCGTCACCTGTGGCAACAGTACAGTTGATTCGGCATAAAAACTCCTTTACAAAACTTCTTAGTGCGAAGCAGAATTAGTCGTCGAAATTGTGCCAAAATGATGTGACCATTCGAATTTTTCTTGGCGTGATTTGAAATATCTTCTGATTCCGACTGTTAAAGCAATTTTGAATCGGATCTCGGATAAAATGAGTTTTTAGATAGTAAAATTAAAAACTGACTGGGGTGTTCGTACTTGCAAAATAACATGGATCGCACATGAGTAGATTTCCTGGCAAGTGTGGATCGCACCTGAAAATGGCCCGCTTTAGCACCCCCGCTTTTCCCCCCTTTTTGCACAGCTGCATGCCAGTGCACGCGGCGCAGATCGCCGTTGCAACGAATGCGTTCGCTACAGTGCCAGCGCTCAACCCCTCTTCGCCGAACGAGAAAATGCAATACCGCACTTGACCCTGGAAAGAAACCCGCATCCTTCCAGCTGGGCACACCAACAACACCATCAGCAAAACATGTCACATCACATCACACGTCCAATCCGTGCCATCCCATGTTGCGCGCACATTGCACCACCCAACGCCATGACGAGGGGGTGGGTGGGTGGGTGGGAGATGGGAAAGGGATGAAACTGGCCCTTGCTTGGTTCGCCTCGCCTCTCGTCCTCAATTCGCCTCCTTTTGGCAGCACTCCAGCTCTCATCAGACCAAAGTATCTATGCGGGATAAAATCACGACGAACCAGGTTGGCGGAAAGGCGTTTAGAGACGTATTAAAGGTGGTTTAACTTAGCGGCGTCAGTAGCATTGTACAAGTGGAGCGCATAAGCGTGCTCGTCGGAGGTAGCTTTCAGCTCGTCGTATTCCTCTCGGTAATGGCGCTGTTGCCAGGGTTCCTGCAGCGCCGATTGACCACGCGGAGTTCCCACGAAGCGCATAGGGGGTTGGAAGGGAAATATGGGGAGGAATTGGGGGACGAGGCGGAAAGGACGGACGATGATTGGCGGAATGGCGGAGTCTCGGGGCTTGCTACTATCGCGGACGTAGTGGATGAGCTGGACGGCGAATGGGAGGACGACACGTCAGCGGGAGTTATTGAGGCTGAACAGCAAACGCATTCTCCCTCGGCGTTGCCGACAGCGAGTGAAGCGCGCACCCCAGGCGGCAGCAGCAGCAGCAGCAGCAGCATCAGATTCCGAAGTCGTCCCCGTCGCGGCGCAGCAAAGGCCCGGCGATGGCATTCATTCTCCCGCTCGCCGTGTGTCTGTCCGCCCCTCTCCGCCTCCTTCCGCCCCATCTTCTTCCGCAACCTCCGCCTCCCCGCGTACTCTGTCATCTCCACTCCCCCTTCCTCCATTCCGCCTTCCCCTGCGCCCTCTTACCTTTCCACCTCCTCCTCCGCCACTTCCGCACCTATTTTCCGCCACAGGTCCGCGGATTCCCCTTCCCCCTCTTCCTCCTGTAGCACTTCCACCTGCGCCTCCCCCACCTCCTCCGCGGGGCTCCCGCATCCTCCCGACGCGGGCATGCCGCCGCTCCCTCGCCAGGTCGACTGGCGCAAGTTCGACTCCCCCTGGCGCGCAATGCTCTTCCGCATCTGCGGGTTTCAGTCCGCCGTGCTGCAGCGGCGCCAGCACGTCTTCGTCATGCGCCACGCGGAGCGCCTCGACGCCGTCGATCCGCGATGGGCGCAGCGGGAGCCCACCAGCCGGCCGTGGGACCCGCCGCTGTCGGAATGGGGGCGGTACCAGGCGTACCAGGTGGGGGTGCGGTTGAGGCGCGAGGGATGGGGGGCGACGCGCGTGGTGTGCGCGCCGTACGTGCGCTGCGCGGAGACGGCGGCGGAGCTGATAGCCGCAATGAGCAGCACGCCTGACATGGACTACGCGCCCTCGGGGCCCGGGTATGGGCGCTCCTCGTCGCCGTGCCTGCCGCTGCCGCGCGTGGGGCGCGGTGGTGCAGAGGGGTGCAGGACGGTGGGGATGCAGCGGCACATCCTTCGAGCCATGCAGGTGCGCAGGACTGGGGGTGGGTTGGGGTGTGGTTGGGTGAGGGGTGGGAGACTTGGAGTTGTTGAGGGGTGGGGGGGGGCGGGGACGGAGGAATGAGTTGAAGTTGTGTGCCTGTAACTAATGAGGTGGGATAAGCAAGCAGGTTCACTTATTGCTCAACAATCTCAAAAATGGATGCAACTGCACCTTGCCCCCTGACCCTTTTCTCTCCCATGATCTGCCCATCGCTCCTCCCACATCCCTTGCTGCCACCAACAGCAGCCGCGGACACCTGCGCAGGCACTGCAGCACCGGAAGCGAAAGCATGCAAGAGACATGGGCACCTTCCTTGCCCGTTCATACCACGACCCTGTTGATCGGATCGCCCAGGAACAAGCATCGGCAGTTGACATGTGGCAAGCAGGCATGCCCGTCCCCTTGCCCCTCATCCGCGCCTGCATTGACTACTCCCTCTGTGAGGTGATCCCGCCCGGAACAGCACGGCCGCGTTTGTCCCATGCGCTGGCGGGTCGGGCGGCGCTCGAGGCATTGTTTCCAACAGAGTGTGTGGAGAGGGTGGGTTGGGCTGTGACAGGAGGCGCGGACTTGAGGGTCCCAAGGGGACCGGAGGAAGTGGAAAGGGCGGCAATGAGACTGGTGACAGCCATAGACCGCATCGCAGAACAGGTACGGGAAGGGTCGGGGGGCAAGTTACAGGATTCGAGTGATCAGTGAAATGTCATGTCATGCACTGAGCACCAATCCTCTTTCGTTGACGCTGTGCTGACTTGTATTCGTGCAGTGGCCTGAGGAGAACATTATCATTATCGGCCACGCAGAGGCATTGCATGCATCTGTGCTCCGGTGTCAGCACAAGGTATGAATGAACCCCTCCCTCATTGAGCCGTGTCAACAGTGCAATGCGTCAGAACCTTTTGCCAATGCCCCTCGTAGTCAGACACCCACACACTTTCGTCTCCACTCTGCTTTTCCCATTGTCTCTGCCCCCCAATTCAGGCCAATGTGTACAATATACTTATGGCAGCATTTGTACATCTACAACGTAATGTATATCAAGATAGGGAAGACGAGGATGAGAGGGGAGTTAGTGAGTGGCAGCTAGCCATAACCTCTGGAATGTCTGGTGTATACTTCACATGAAATGTATAAAGATTGGTCATGATGATCTCTTGCATCTGCATTTCCAGAAACCCTACATTATCACAAAGACAGAGTTTCAACATGCACAGACCTGTGCATCCTAAGCGCACACATAATGAGTTTAGTGTGGTGCCGTAACAGGCTGAAGACGACAGCCTACTTCAGAGATTCGTAGCAGCGAGGGAAAGAAGGGGTCGGACACAGCAGCTAGGCCAAGGTGGCAAACAGGTTTACCCTACAATATCCTAACACCATGGCTTACAAATCATAAGCAATGCTCCAGTGAATGCGCTTACCAGCAGTCTCCCGTAACTCAGCATTTAAAGTCCAGTTGTTCTCGCGCAGCTGCAAGTAAGGCTTTCTCGCAACGACGTTGTACCCCAGCTTGACCTTCAGATCTTGATCCTCTGTGAAATTAAACACCTTCTGGCTAAGCTCCACTGAAGCCTTCGGCTTCCCGGACTGGGTGTGAGGCTGGTAATTGTACGCGCCTTTGAGATCGAGACACAGAAGGCCATTATCTGTTAGCTCCCAGGTCTTCTTTCCTTGAATGCTGTAAGTAACTTCTCGCGACTCAACGTCCACTTTAGCACCAACGTCAATGCTTGTCAGAACTTCCGGAAAGAATTTCTTCTTGAGCTGGATCAAGCAGCTAGGCTTGCCTGTCTGCGTGTTCAGCTTCGCATGGACCTGAAGAGCGATGTTGCCGTCACTCACAAAATTCTCCTTTGCGTGCATGACCAGGCTCCTGTCTTCAGCGTTAAGCCGTAGAGAAGTCTCCATGATTTCAAGTCGCTGAACCTGGACTGGAGCGCCTGCGAGCAATCCGTAAAACGATAGTCGGAAGACCCAGAAGGAAGGCTAGCTATCACGAACCAAAATGTCATATCAAGGAGATGACAGAAATGCAGCCCTAAACAAGGTTGCAACTACCCTGACAATCGCAAAACCATAGATCAAGAGAAAACTGATGAACAATATGAGATCGAGATTTGCCTATAGTAATCAACAGAAACTCACGGAAATAAGAGAACTTGGCCGAGCGAAGAGCGTCAGCTTCGGCGTGTGGTGAAAGGCACAACCAGGTACAGCAGCCAATTTCGTGAGGGGAAGCCCTATGCGGATAAGACCAAAAAGCTGATCAGAACGGCTTCCCAGCTGGTCTGCATGGAAAGATTGGCCATCAGAGGTGGGGGGAAGAAGGTGTTGGGACAGAACGTGCGATGGCAGGTTACATGCCACACAACTTCGTGCCTCCGCGTACGAACTTCTGCTCCGTCGTGCAGTTTCGCCCACACTCCACTCCAAATTTCGCTTGCACGAAGCCTTTCGGTAAATCCCCAACGGTACCCCTCACCACGTCAATGAGCAGCTGGAAGTCTCCGAGGGGTCAGCCGTCTGACAGGACATTTGCTTGACTTGCAACGCAACACCCTGCGAATCTGAATCAAGCTGCTGCTTCTCACTTCACATCACACTCCCAACCCAACCACAATTGGTAATCCAAGTTTCAAATGTTGCTGAACATGAGTTATGTGTGGAATGACTTGGAGGCAGTCGAGTGAATGATTTTACTTACTATGTTCTTGTACTGCACAAATCGCGATTCTTAGCTGCTTCATCGCATTACGTCGGGGTGCAATGTTACGAGCAGCCACCCACCGTCAGTCACTCCACACCCGACCAGCTCCGCCCTCGCCGAGACAGACTCCGATAGGCGTCTCCGTTTTGAGATCGGTCTCCGCGAGATTACGAAGCCGCAGCTTCTGTCAGGTCCGCAATGATGGGACGCAGTCTAGAAACAGCTGGAGCAGCTCCAAACGTAGCAACAGCAGTCCGTTGACTGACAAAATTTGCAGTGATACATGGAGCAAGGAGCCATTGTTCGCGCAGATATCTGTGTCACCGCCAGCACCTGTCTCTCCCCCTTCCCTTTCCGGCATCCACCTCATCGTTCCCAGCATCGTCGCCGCGACTATAGCTGGCGGGGTCACGTTCTCTCTCCTCTCCCTCAATGCGAGCCTGCTCCACGCCCTCTCGTCTCTTCTCTCCGTCGCCTTCTATCCCATCGCCAGCCTGCTTCCATCACCACCACCCTCGCCGTCGCCATCGTCCCCCGAGAGCGCTCCGTCCGCAACTCCCACTTCCGAGAATGGTTCCTTCTTTGCGTACACCAAGCAGGTGGGTTCACTTAAAAGCCATTAAACGCATACAAAACCATTGCGTTGAGAAGTCTCAAAACTGTGAAGTTTCGTTACACTCACACGCTATCATTCAGGGCCACCACAATGCATTTGCCATAGCATTCAACCCACGTCGATCGCATCCGGTTGTGCTTCTCATCTGCTCCACCGTCAGGCGGCACCAGCAGCGCTGGCGACAATGGCGGTGACCTTCCCCAACGCCATGCAGGAGGACACCTTCATCCGCGCGCTGGCGCTGGAACTCGCCAACCTCGGCTTCAAGAGGTACACCCACACAGTATTTACAAGCTCTTTCCAGCGTTAGTCTGGGTCTTAGCATGCCATTGCCTCAATGTACTCGTTTCATTTGCTGTGCTCTGCAATGCACCCCCCTCAAACAAATCGCTCGCGTACGCCAGGGACAACTGCATAGCACTCGTGAACACGTGCCGAGACGAAGTTTGCCGGCCGATAGTGAAGCTGATAGACCGCGAGTTTGGGCTGTCGTTCAACATCGCGGGGCTGGGAGGGCTCGTCAACTGCGGCACCACGGGGTTCAAGGCCGCCATGTCGCACTCGCCGGAGTTTCCCTGCAAAGTCAATAAAGGACAAGTGTGCGAGAGATGTGAGTCGCATGAATGCATGGTGCGCCACATGCATTCGCTCCAGATGCTTGCTCTCTAGCATGCATGAACTCAGCTGGGATGCCTTCCACAATCCTTCACCATGTAACGACTCTAATTGACTTCTTCTGGTCCCCTCCCTTGCTCTCCTGCAGACGTCTTCTTTGGCTTTCCACACGTGTCGGTGGGCGAGTCAGGCCAGGTGGGGTCGCTGCTGAGGCGAGGTCGGGGCAAGCCGTCTAGTGCATGCGGGGCATTGATCGCCATCAAGAATGACATTTCAAAGGGAGGCTTGGTGGAGGATGACGCTGATGACAAGGAGTATGTGCTGCTCAAAAAGAAGATTGCTGCTCGGGTATGTGAGGGGCGTTATTGGTGATGTCTTGTCTTCGGGTTAATAGACAGTGCAGAGGGGGTTTGGAACAGCTGAAACAGCTGTTAAACCTGTTTCACACCCACAGATTTTGTTCCTGCTTTCTCCATGGAATGTCCGCTCCCCCAGGTGCACTCCTTTGGAAAGGATGGTCCATCGCTGGTGCGAGTGACCAAGGCCGCACTGGGGGCAATCACGGAGGACATAGAGAGGCTGGTGAAGCGCACTGTAAACCCCGAGACTGCAGACTATGCCGTCATCACTGGCGTGCAAATACACTCTGGCTATCAGGTGCGGTGCTTGCTGTGTTTTTATGCCATTTTCATCCATCTGTGTTGGTCCCTCTGTTTCGGACGTGCCTTTCACTATTTTTGTCTGGACATGCTTTTATGTTGTTGTTTACTTTGATCAGATTCCAGGGGAGCCGTTTCAGCTGGAGCGTACTTGTGACTACATTGCACCTAGTGCAATGTATGCTGTGGTTCGTGGAAAGAAGCATGTTTTGCATTGCGAAGTGGACCAAATCAGAGACATCACGTCATTACCAGCAAGACACGTGATTGATTAGGTAAGATATGTATGGGACAGTAATTATGTTAGAATAAGCTCTAAGGTGGGTATTTTTTGTTATAATGTACATCGTAGGTCAAAGCTGAATCAACTGAAAATATGTCAATGGGCCTTCACGCTTGGTGAGACGCCTAGGCATCCTTTCGCACTATCCGAAGATGAGCCCGAAGAGTTGCTTTGTGCACACTCTCCGCCATTGCGCTTTGCCAGCGCATCCAGAAACCGCTGCCCCGCCCCTTTACCCTCCGCGCGTGTGGGCATCGTGGCGGACGAAGCGGCGCGGTGTGCGCAGTGATGGTCGGAAGCGAGGCGGTGCTGCAGGCAATGGTCCTTCGCGCACGACCTGATGGGGTGGCCATGACGACAGGGAGAGAAAGCGGTTGCTGGAAGACGTCCAATAGCAGGGATAAGAAAGATTGCGCGCGCTACAGAAAGTCGTCACCTCAAACAACGCAACATAACTAGATCGGGAGCCTACCTGCACTTGGCGCGATTCGAAGTGGTCAGTCGTTGCCGGCAGCCACGCACCGGGCACTTGGTCCTCCGCTCCGCCGATGCCGCCTGGCAGTCGCTACCGCCCATGTGGCGCGCGAGGGCTCTCTCGGCGTCTTCGAATCGCGACGTCCTGAAGCTAGAGGAGCACTTGGGGCAGACGGTGACGGTGACGTCCTTCACGTGGACGTCGGGACACTCGTGCGCGCCGTACGACCGGTGTTCCAGACAAAAAGGCTGCGGAAACGTGGGGATGGCGGAACGACATCGGGGGGATTAGTGGAAGGAAATCTCATGAAAATGCGTGCGGAACGGCTACGTCGGAGAACAGTTAGAGCAATTTGAACTTAAGGATTAACACGTGATGGCGCGTTTCCGGCAGACGTGGAAGGCTCTGTGTCGTTGCAACTAACTACCGACCTGATGGCACGCATCGCATTTGAACGGGAGGAAGTCGAGCAGCTGACAAGAGGGCAGCGAACAATGGCGACCGAGGCTCGGAAACGCCTCAGTCCCTCCAGCAGAGCTCTCTAGTGGCATTTAGTCCGAGAATGGCAGTGGACTAACTGATGGTAGAGAATAATGGAAGCCGGAGCGCTGAAGGCAAGGTAAAGGATAGATGAACTATAACGAAGGGCCTGCTATTATCAACGCGAATCAGGAGGCTGAGGTGATTAGTGCAGGAATCGCTGTGGGGACTGCCAGTGGCATATCAGGCTTTTATGGCAATTCCCAGCCCCATCTGGGATCTGGGAGGTGAAGTATGTCGGTGACAGTGACGCTTGTCGCTTGTCACACGCAACGCCAGCTGCGTTCATTGGGGGAAGAGTATCTGGCGGGAAGTGTGCGCGTGCGCGAGAGCGATTGCGAAGAACATTCCGACGCGGCCCGCACGAAATTGCAGGATGTTTCTCGAAAGGTTTCGCAAACTAACGAAAATTTGATTGACCAGGACATTGCAACAAGTTGCTACATACATCACCTTGTGTAAGGAATTACAATTCCTCGCTGTACTCGCACTTTAGCGAGTACATCCCGAGAGACACACGACGAGCCTGTTCGGCCTATTTCGTCTGCCGAACCACTCCCGAGTCGGCCTCCGCACCAATCGCAACCATCACCGAGCCATCTTCGCCCTACCTCTTCGCCTAGCTAGCATTTCCCCTATTTAGGCCTCGCTACTTCATTGTTTCGCCATCCTTTGAGTTCATTCTCGTTATTCGATATTCTGCGCACTCTGACAAGTTCATTCATAACATTACAATAAATAATATTACAACACAATGCCTAAATGTCAAGCACATAAACAAAGCCCTAACTTTAGGTCGCCCGTGCTTCAGCGACCTCCACTAGCTGCGGATCTCGGCCTTCTTTGTTTCCTCATGGCAACATTCTCCACCGCCTCGTGAATGGTTGCTAGCCACAGCTGCAGCTGCTTGTTCAGCAGAAAGGACAATGGCACACACGAAAATCGACATGCGTCGGAGTAAGATCAGTGTACAACTGCACTGTGCACTGTATCCTGCTGAAAGTACATCATCCCTCCCCCACCCCCCATTCCCGTCCCCCCAAAGCAACACATTCCCCCAGGCCGTGTCAGCATGGGGCGGGTGGGCGCTCACCTTGACGCGGCTGCGAGTGGCACACTCGAGGCGCAGCCCGTACCCCGTGGTGAGGTGGAACACCAGCCAGTCCTCCGCCTCCTCCCCCGCCTCGCCCCCCGCCTCCAGTGTCCCTGCTGCCGCCACGCTGTCCAGAGGTATGCTCACCTCAGGGTCCAGGTCTGGGGGGGAGGGGGAGGGGAGAATGAGGAAGGAGGTTGGGGAGGGAGGAGAGCGGAAAGGGCGGGAAAGAGAGGAATGGAGTGAAAGAGAGAAAGGGAGCAGGAGGAGATCAAGTTTCAGAGGTGGTGTTGGCCAGAAGCGTAGGAAATCCTATGTAGATTAACCTGGTGTGTGTCAGCACGTGGAGAGGTGACAGAGTGGCGCACCTGAGGCCTGGCGATAGCAGGAGACCTCGTTGGCGGAAAGAGCAACGAAGCGTGGCAGCCACTCATCCTCCGCCTCAGGGTCGTCCACTGGTAGGGGCCCCTCTCCCCCCATGGGCGCCCACCGCTGCACACGGGAGGGGGAGTGGGGAGCGGGATGATGGGGAAAGGTGCATGGTTGGTTGGAGTTTTGATGGACCTTAGACCCTGAGAGTTGGAAACAGTGGGGATGCCAGGGTTGCAGGCATGGGTGGTTGCACTCGCTCACTTGCATACATTCATAAAGAAGCTGGCAGGTAAGGTGTGACCCACATGCATACCTGGCGCGTGTGAAGGTATTCCACAAGCAGCGACCGCTTGAGCATGGCATCCAGATGTGACAGCCTGGTGTGTGCCGTGCGGTGCAGAGGTGAAACAGGGATGGGAGAGAGGGAGGAATGAGGGTAGAATGAGACACGTGGTGCAGATGTGAATGTTGACATGGTAGCCTGTCACTGCTGAAGCAGAAGCAGCCAGAAGGAGGAGAGAAGGCAATCCAGGCAGGCACACAGAGGGCACTCACTTGGCTTTGGCGGTCTGTTCCCTCTCCTCTGCTGCTGCCACCTCGTCCCTTGCGTCCACCGCCTGCCACACCACCACAGCATCACACGGCACAGGCAGCAGGGTCTCAGAGCACACGGCACAGTAAAAAATGGATCTACTAGACATTCCCAAAGCAACCTCCCTTCCTGGCCGAAATCCCCCCCAATCCTCCCCCAACTCTCCCCCCCCCTCTCCCACCACCACCCATAGCCTCCAGTGTGTGCCCCCCTGCCCACCTCCGCACTGGCTGGGCTCTCCTTGGCAGCGCCAGTGCTCCACCCAAACAGCCACCCGCCGCCGCTGCCACTGCTGCCCGCACCCTTCTTCTGCCCCCCACCACCGCCGCTGCCAGCAGCAGCAGTGGCAGGACGAGCGGGGATGGGGTTGAGAATGCGTGAGTCTGTGGAGTGGGGCGTGTCTGCTGGAGTGGTGGCCCTGGGGGGAGAGAGAGGGGGTGAAGGAAGGAAAGGGAAAGAGGAATGGGGAAGCGGAAAAGGGGAAGAGAAGAAGGGAGGGTATGAGGAGTAAGTTGCGACATGTTTGGGAAGCGAGGTGGACTGAGGAGTGTGCATTGGAGAGGATGTGCAGGACACAGTGCAATGATTGAGAATGCCGCCACCACGCACCGAGAGCTGGCAGAGGAGAACCCGTCCAGATGCAGAGCACGGAACTGCCGCGGCGGCACCAGCTTCGCCTGCTGCTGCCCTGCCTGCCCTGCATGTCCCGCCTGCCCAGGCCTGAGCTGCTGCGAGTCCATCCCAGCGACTCCCACTGCGGTGGCGGGCCGAGGGCCGAGCTCTGGTGCTGGCTGGCCTGCTGCGTGTCCCGCCACGACGCGCCGGCGCTCCACCTGACTCGCCATCTTCCCCCCACCCACCCGGGCAGCCACGAGGAGTGATGGGCAGAGCGATGGGCAGAGCGATAGGGGCCGAGGGTGGCAGGAAGGGGAGGCAAGGAGGAGGCGCATGTGGAGGGGACGCGAAACGGCAGGGCCGGGGAAAGGCAGAGGGGAGGCGCAGGTTGAGGCACAGGAGGATACACAGAGTAAGGTACATGGGGAGGCACGAGGGGACTCACAGGGCGGGTTATGTTGAAGCAGGTGCAGTGCAGTGGGGGGAGGCGGGGGGGGCAGTTGCATGTTATGTGGGAAACACACACATGCGGGCTTGGCATACGCGAGACACATGCATGCACGTGTGGCACCTGCGGAACACATGAATGCACGCGTGGCATGTGTGGTGTGCTCACCTCGAACGCCACCAGGTCAGCGGGGCGCATGTTGGCCAATGCAGGGTGGCCACGTGTCATGCCCACCAGTGTGATCCCCTCCACCCCCGCCTTCTCAAAATCAGCGGCATACTCTGCCACGGGCCATGGGGGAGCAATTATGGTGATGGGCGATGGCTGATCGGAAATGGGCGATGGGCGATGGGGCAGTGGGTGAATGGGCGAGCGGGTGAATGGTCAAGTGGGCACGTGGGCATCAGGGAACAGAAAGGAGGGCAGAGGAGTTTGCAGCAAAGCAGAGGAGGGAACAGGGATAGCGGGAGAGCAACGTACGGGCGGCGGGGGCGGAGCGGAAGGGCACGGAGGAGTGCAGCCAGTGCAGCACATCGCTGGGCGACCACTGCAGCAGCGACGCCGGCGCTGCCCGCACTACCGACGCCGACAGTGCAGGCGCTGCCCCGTCACTCGCACCCGGCACTACCAACCCAGGTGGCTTGGCCTTCGGGGGGGTGGGCTCCTGGGGTGCGCCACTTGCACCGCTCGCTGCAGCAGAGCGGGCAGTGCGGCCGTCTCCGCCCTCCCCAGCAGCGCCCATGGAGGCGGCGAGGCTGCGCTTCACCTGGTCCAGCGCCTCGCCCCTGCTCCTGCTTGCCCCATGGGGAGATGCGTCCCCTGGCGCTGCTGCACCTGCACCTGCAGCAGCAGCACTGGTAGCTGCAGGTTCAGCACTGGCAGCAGGTTCGGCAGCGGTATCAGGGGCGGCGGCAGTGGCAGAAGCAGGGACGGCAGTGGGCTGGCCGTCAGTCCAGAGCAGGCGCTGTATCGCCTCCGCTGATGGCCCCTTGCCCGCCCCCCCTGCTGCTGCTGCCTCCGCTGCCTCCTCGTGCCCCGTCTCTCCCCTGCCCTCGCCACGTTGCTCCAGAGCAGTGGCGAGGGCAGGGGGGGTGGGAGCAAGGCCCATGCGGTGCGAGATGGTTTCGAGGAGTGTGAGAGGGGAGGCCGTGGTGGGCAGGGGTGAGCCGGCAGGGAGGGGGGCGACGGTGGGCAGCGGTGAGACGGCAGGCAGAGGGGAGACTGTTGTGGTGGTCGTGGAGTCGAGAATGCTGCAGGGGGCGGAGTGTGTATGGGGGGACGGGTAAGGGGGAATTGGGAATGGAAGTGGAAGGATGGGGAGAAGCAATGGGGTGAGAAACGTCTCAGGTTGAAAACAGGGGGATGAGAAACCGAGATGGCAGAGGAAGAAATGGGCATAACAGGGAGCAAGCAGCCATACCTCTCGCACTTCTCTTATGCCACCAGCAGACCATGCAGCTGTCAGGTGCTGCCACGCTCGCACATGTGGTCTAATGAAACAACAGACGCCTCACTTACCTCTCGCCCTTCTCCCAGGCGGCTAGTACGTCATGTAGTTGCATGCTCTTCACTTGGCATGCAGCCGCCAGCTGCCAGGCTCGCATGTATGGTGAGGCAAAACAAAATCCGTCTCACTCACCTCTCGCCCTTCTCCCACGCGGCCAGCAGGTCGTGCAGCTGAACGCTTTTCACGTGGCCCTTGACGTGCGCGGAGGGCGATTCCAGCAGCAGCCCCGCCCCCAGCTCCTCGTATAGCTCCTCCCTCCGCCTCTGCTCCCCCTCCACCCTCTCCCGCTCCTCCCTCTCCCTCTCCTCCCTCTCCCTCTCCCTCTCCTCCCTCTCTCTTTCCGCCCTTTCCTGTTCCTCCATACTCACCCCGCCAACCAGCCCTCCCCGTAACTGCCCCCCTCCCCTTCTTTCCTCTATGCCTTGCCTACCTCCTCCCAACATTCCCAAACCCTCGGAGTCCCAATCCCCTTCCGCCTCCCCCTCCCCCTCTGCCCCCCTGTCCGCAATCACCAGCACATCCGCGCTCCCCCTGGCCCCCCTGGCGCGCCCAGGCTGCGCCCAGGGGAGGGGGAGAAGGGCTGGGGGGACATAATCGCGGAGGCGGGGGAGTGGAGTGGGGAAGGTCGTTTCCACGAAGGTTCCGATGTGAGAGAGGGGGAAGGCTGCGCGGAGGAGGGGTAGGAGGGAGAGGGGTGGGAGGGGGAGGGCTGTGAGGGAAAGTTCATCTTGGCCAGCAGGTCAAGAGACAGTCCTATCTTGTTGCCTGGCCCTGCTGTTCCCCCCCGCATGCTCCCCCCGCTGCCACCCCTGCTGCCCTCCCCCTGCCCCTGTTGCTGCAGCTGCTGCTTCTGCCTCGCGTCCGCCCTGGGAGGCAGACCCAGCGGCACTCGACCGCCCAACCCACCTCCCCCTCCCGTTCCCCCCACGCCCCCCCCACCCGCCAGGTCCAGGTGCTGTGGGCCTGCAGCGGCTGCTCTATCCGCGGCTGCCCACGCGCCTGCTGCAGCGCCCCTCCCTTTACGCGCGCCCCTCTCCTCGTCCAGTGAGACTGACAGGTGGCGATACCGCTGCAGCACTCGCACGCGGTCGCCTGCCCCCCTGCTGCTCTCACCACCCGTGCTGGTGCTCACGGCGCTGCTGCTGCTGCTGCTCCTGGCAGCACCAGCAAAGGCGGAATAACTGCTGGTAGAACTGCTGCTGATGGTGACACTGGTGTCTGCACCTCCTTCCACGCTCAGCCCACTCCCTGGGGCCCTTATGGCCCGCTCATGCGAGGCAGAGAGAGTGGAGCTGCGCTGAAACAAGTCCCCGCTGCCGCCACTGCCCTGCAGCCTGCCCCCCATGCCAACCCCACCAATACTGATGCTCCCACTCCCACCAGCACCCCCGGTGCCGCTGCCATGCGCGTTACCAGCCCCGGAAATGGAGTTGAAGCGGGGGAAGGCGGAGGAGACAACACGACCCCCGCTGGAGTGCGGGCGGTGGTCCTGCAGCATGGCAGCGCGCAGGCGAGGGCGGGCACCGAATATGTCCTCCTCTAGGGAGGAGGGGGGACGCGCGTGGGAGAGGCGGTCGGAGAGAGTGGAGGGGCCGGCACTGGAGGGACGTGGGATGGATGAGTCGAAGGAGGAGAGGAGTGGCGCTGAGCTGCTGCTGCTTCCGTCGCTGCTGTTGGCGGTGGCGGCAGCAGGGGTGGCAGCGGAGGAGGAAGGGGAGGAGGTTAGGATGGAGTTGGGGGAGGTTGCTTGCTCCGCAGTCACGTCTGAGGGGCCTGACTTAGCAGCTGATGCGTGTGTGTGGGTGTCAGCAGGTGCGGCAGCAGGGGAGTCTGCTCCGTGATACCCCTGTGCGCCGCCCACACTGCTGTCTGCTTCGCCGTCGCCGTCGCTGCCTGTGCTCTCTGCATACCCTTCGTCCACTGCCCGCTGTGCACGCCAGGCGGACAGGCAAGAGGAGAAGGATGAAGGGATGCACATGCCTGAAAAGCTGAGACTCTTGAAGTGGGCTCCAAGAATTAGAGAAAGGGATTGGCGGTTGAACATGACTGAGAGAGAGGCTGTGATACTTTGTGGGTGTTTCAGAAAGTCAGTCCCAGTCAACGGCAGTCATACCCTGTCCACGTCAGCAGCTTACCTCGTAGCACAGCTCACAGACCTTGGCCTTCACCCCTCCCGCCTCGATCTGCAGTCAAATGAATTCAACAGGGTCAAGTGAAGTGATCCTGGACAGGTGACAACAGACGATCACAGCATGGGTGACCATAACGAGCGAGAAAATACTCCACGTGACAGTCCAATTGCTCGCGTGCCACGTGTCAGCGTCTCACCATGGCGCTGAGCGGGTTAAGTGGCAGCACGTAGCCGGTGCACTTGCTGCAGTACACGTTGCCGCAGCACCTACAGTGGTGCCTGCGCGCCGAGCACGAACCCCACGCACCATGCAACAAGCAGCAAGCAGCGTGCACCAAGCGTCAGAGAGAAGAACGCACACACGCGGACGTAGGCTGTTCGGAATTACAGGGTAATGAAGGAGCGGAACGAATAGGAACGAGGCCCGACATGACTGCGAGTGATCCACCGCGCCGCACGCCAGCACGTGGTTCTTACTTGCGGCGGCGCTGTGTGAACTCCTTTCCGCACGCGGGATTGGTGCAGCGCTTGAACGCCTCCTCCGGCATCCAATGGCTGCGCGACACCTCGCTGCCCGGCCCCGGCGAGTCCACCCACTCGTCCGGCTCCGGCGGCGACGCGACGGTATCCGCCTCGGGACTCCACATCGCGACGATTTAGCTACTTCACAATAAACCAATTAAACGCGAGGTCTTGGTAAGGATCCTAAGAGGAATGTCAGACATCCATGCGTGGGAGAGATCGCGCGACCAGAATCAGAGGCGGATGCAATGCGTGCGGAGCACACGACGATTATGTAGGCCGAACGTCGCTGGAGTCGGAGTGACGCCAGGCCGCCAATAACTAGGACCAGACCTGTGGGATTCTTCCTGAGTGATGTGATGCTCGGCCTGAGAAATGTGGGACTTTTGGTCTTGTGAGGATGATGGATGGATGGCTGCCGCTGGCTCTGCTCTGCGCGCCGTTCGTTGAAGCGGAGGAGTTGGGCTCGGCGCTACAGTGCTCGCCCGTTTCCAGTCGACAGTCCCAAGGTTGCTGTTGGTGACGGGTGCGGCCGAACTGGCCTGCGGCCTTGCGCTTGGAAATTCGTACGCACTTGGGTGCCCGGTTTGTACGAAACGACCGCCTTGTTATAAGGATTCTACGCAGGATCAAGCAGGAAAAATCCACAAACGGATGCTGATACTAAGAAGCAAAACGTATTCAATTGGCAATGAGGAACTATATCAGGAATTGTGTCATAGCTCTGGTGCCTTCCAGAGCTTCAACTTCTTGTCTGCACTCGCTGTGGCAAGTATGTGCACTGGCTTCGATCCTCCTTCTGCAAGAAACACACGGAAAGGAGAAAAAATGTGTGAACACCCACAACAACCAAGACCTTCAGAAAAAGGGGGGTGCGAGGGGGAGGGGCGAGGGGGGGGGAATAAATCAATTCTCACCAATCTGAACTGGCTTGGGCGACCACGCCATCCACGTGATCACATCTGCAGCATACACCAACGCACATGAACACAAACACAACAGTGAGGATGGTGAGAGGAGCAGAACCTCACACCCAGGTTAGCCCAAACCCACAAACAACCAACTGACCGCTGTGAGCCTGCTCGTCTGCCGTGACAATGCTGCCCCCCTCCAGCTCATACCACAGCAGCGCCGCCCCCACTGCCACAGCCAGCAGGCGGCCGTCTGGACTAACAGCTATTCTGTCCAGCAGCGGCAGCGCTGGAGCTGCAGGCTTCTTGCCCTTCTTGCCCGCTGGGGCAGCTGCTGCTGCCTCGGCTGCTGCTGCAGCTTCGGGCGTGGTGGTGGAGGGCAGTGGCAGGATGGGGAAGGTGCGGCGGCACTTGGGGTCCTCGTCCAGGTGGTAGCGCACTGGGGGAAGTGGGGGGGAGTGGAGGGGGAGTGGAAAAAGAAGGGGGAAAAAGAGAGAATTGATAGGGACAAAGGGGAAGGAGTCGTAGAGATAAGCAGGTGGCGAAGTAGTGCGAGCAGGGAAAGGGCAAAGGAGAGAATGGGATGGAGGAGTGGGGATGAGCGGGCGAGGGCATACCATCGATGTTCCAGATCTTGATGGTGCCGTCCTTGGATGCCGTGACCATGCCCTTGCTGTCCCATGTGAACGCCAGCCATGTCACCGCACTCTGCATCACACATGCACATTCACCCATGGGCAGGCAGAACAGCAGGTCTCATACGGCGATCACTCATAAGGTGCACTGGGCATGTAACCGATGCGTTTGTACGAGAAGCCAGTCCAGGTTGGCTTGGCTCAGCTGAAGTGGCTGAGAGGGCAACCATGAAGCGAGCTGATTTTCTAAACAAGGACTACGGTATCACTCGCTCCTACACATGCATCCTCTACAGCCAGTACATAATGGCGCAAATAATATCTTACCTTGTGGCCCTTGAGCTGCATGACACGTGTCACGCTCTGAATGGCTCCATCCCGTCCGTACACGAGCTCCCATATCTGAAACACACCACCGCAACATGCACGCAGACCAGATCCGAACGGCCCATTGAGCATTGGAAGCAGGCACAGAAGACGGGGCGGTGAGGCATACAGCGACAACCATCCAGCAGCCCTTGATGCAAATCAACAGCAGTGGCATGCACTCGCCTTCACGTCTGCTGTGAAGGCTGCGATAGCGAGGAACCTGCCATCGGGCGAGAGGGCGACCATGGTGTTGCGCAGCTGGTTCGAGTCCACCTCCCCCACCACCTTGCCGTCCCCCGCCCCCCACACCACCACGTCCGTTGCTGCCATGGGTGGACGGGGTTTGCAGGAACGAGCGGAACGATCGGAGAGGGGAGATGTGAGGTGGAACGTGGGCATGCAAGTGAGGAAACAGCAGGGAAGGCGGGGCAGTAAGCAGTGAGACGAGCTCTGCATAAGGCAGTGTGGCGGTAGTACCTTCTGACGATGTGGCGATGACAGCAGTGCCATCACCGGACCCCTGGGAGGAGACAGCGGAGGTGATGGCGATGATGGCCTTGTTGCCGTGCGCTGGCCGCTGCTCCCACTTCACCTCCACCGGCGCCTGCTTGCCCTCCTTGCGCGCCTCCTCCAACGCCCTCCCTGCTCGCCCCACCAGTCATATCACCGGGGACGGGGGGGATAGGAGGGGGGTTGGAAGGATGACAGTATGTGGTGCAACGGTGACAACTGCGCTAACTGGGGTGATGTGGAAGGATGCGTCAGAAGAGAAGGGCGGTGGATGGGCTGACCGGTGGCGGAGTGACGGACGCACAGACCTGTGGCGGGGCCGTAGAAGCGCATGCAGCTGCCGTAGGGGCTGGTGCCCGAGACTGCCACGTCCATGGGCGACATGCCGAACGCCACGCCCACCGGATGCACCCCCGGCCCCGTGTTTATGCGCCGGAACCTGGGGTAAGGGGAGGCGGGGGGAGCAGAGGGCGGGTGGCCGGAAGGGGTGGAGGAGTTGTGGGGGAGGGGCGGAGGATTGAGGCGGGAGAGGGTGGTGGTCGTGTGTTCAGGTTAGATGTGGGATGGACGATGGAAGCAGAGCGAGGGAGCAAGTGGACGTGGCAGCAGAGACAATGTAGGCGACGGGTGCATGGGGTGGATGGGGTGCATGAGGTGCATGAGAGGCATGAGGGGCATGAGGTGCATGAGGGACATGGGTTATATGAGGGGCATGAGGGGCCTTTGATGCAAGAGGTGCATGAGGAGCATGGGGTGATACACAAGAAACGTACTTGATGCTCTTGGCTGTGACGTCGTCAATGGTGTACACTCGCACCACTCCATCGCCACACGCTGCACACACGCAGACACACACGCACACAGGCACGCACGCAAGCATGCATACTCGTGAAGCACCCCAAATGGGCTAGATTTATGCACCATGGATGCGCGAGCGCGTGAACGCATAACGCAGGAAATCGAGTCGACTATTTTCAGGTGCATGCGAGCAGGGAGAGCGCACCAGTGGCGAGCGCGGAGCCATCGTGCGAGAAGCAGAGGCCCGTGACGACGTCGCCGTGCTTCAGCGTGTTCACCTCCAGCGGGTGCCGCGGGCCCGACGGCGCCTGCTCGCAGATTCACGGAGGATGTGAACGGACAAGGTGAGACGCAGGAGAGTGAATACAGGAGGCCGATCGAGGAATACGAGGAAAGTCATATTAGATTATGCTAGTGGTGTTTCGACGAATCGCTTAGCACGAGAGAACGGCCAGATCATTGCTACTAGAATTGGAACTGGTCAGCACAGGGCCGGAGAAGCACAGCGCTACGACCTTTTCAGAAAGCGGTCTCCGGCGAGGCGCTTGCTTCTGGCTCTGCGACTGCTTCTTCGCCTCTTTCTGCTCTTGATCTGTCGCCTTTACCGTCGTTTCAGACTTACGCGATAACAGTATCTGCAGAAGACTGAAAACTACGACGATCGCTACCGCTACCCATACTCGAGGATCTTGGAGCAAATCCATGGCGGTCAGATTCAGGATCAGTTTGAGCGGCGTGGAGGGGACAGACAGACTGAAGAAGGAATTTGAAGCGTTTCGTGAAGATTCGTTGTTGACGGGGGTGCTTGAGTTTGTAACATTTGCGAAAGTCATGAAGTAGTTGACTTGCCTTCGCCCAAATGCGTTACACGGAAATGCACGCAAAAGTGTCTCTTCCGCACGCAATGGTCGTGGCTGACAAATGCCTGACGGATGACGGAAACCGTCAACGTCGTGCTTTCAGCTGCAACCCCCTGATGTGTTCGCGTGGCGTGCTTCAGTCAGACCCAAGCCATGTGCCTTGGGATCGCCGAATCACCACAAAAAGCACCAAAAGGCAGCAGCAGCAGCAGCAGCAGCAGCAACGCCGCATCCGCGGCACGCTCTCGATTCGTTTCTTCCATGGCTCCCCCGCAGCACCTCTTGTAGACCATATCCACGCGTCCAGATCAACATCGTGCGTTACCGATATTGACGATGCCCTAGTTTCCGAGTGCTAAGCTTTCAAAGGTTCGAGCGTTTGAGGCACCGCGAATTTTCGCATTTGGACAGCATGTCACTAGGAGGCGTCCAAGCGTGCGATCTAGCGCAACGGCTAGAGCAGCAATGGGACGCGGCTCGGCAGCTCGCGTCGGACATCCAAACCGCGGTTGCCGGTTTTCTCGCCGCGTCGGTCCAACCACCCTCCCTGATCGATCTCGGTTGCCAGTCATTCACAGCCGTCGATCCCGACTGCGACGCGACCTGTGACCGCGATGACGAAAGCGATAGGATGGGCCGTCGAAGGCACGATGATGGAGCGAGTTCACGCGAGGCGTTCATGGCTCGACTACGTGGCTTTCGATGGCACGCGCAGGTTATCCGGCAGCAAAGCATTGTGCTGGCTGACGTCACCTTTCATCTCTGCGACGTCCTCGAAGCTTCGTGCTCCTTAACCCCCCAGGAGCTTTCTCGGCTGACAGGCGCGGTGCCGTCATTGCATCCCGACGAGGCTTCCTCGAACCTTCTATCTAAGCTCGACTCCCCTCCGCCGCTGCTCAGCAGCCCAGCCACAGAAGCAGCAGCGGGACAGGAGGCGCATGGGGATAATGCGGGTGCGCGCGAGACGGTATCAGGGTCGGAAGAAGGCAGCTGGTCGGGGGATACACGAGAAGGGGAGTGGGACGAGCGGGAGGCAGGCGTGGTGGAGCAGATCAGAGCGGAGCCGCAGGAAACAGCGGAAGGCGAGGATGTGGGGGACGGGGGGGCTGCGCTGGCGGCGTGGGGAGCGAAAGGGCAACGTAAGAGGCGCACGCGGCGGCGGTTCTACCCGGATGAGCGCGACGAGCTGCGGAAGGCGCTGCTGGAGCACCTCACGCTGCTGCGCCTGGAGGAGGCGCGCGCGGAGTGGGCGGAGCGGGGGGAGAACGAGTGGGGGGACGGCGCATGGGAGGTGGAAGGGGACAGGGACGCGGACGGGAGACAGAGTGGGGGAGAAGCGCATGCGGAGGAGAGGGAGGGGGAGGGCGGATGGGCGGAGGAGGAGGCTCTGATGGCACAAGCCAGGGCTGCTGCAGAGGCTTCGCGCGCTGCTGCTAGGGCGAGGCATGGTGGGCAGGGGGAGAGGGGAGAGGCGGAAGGAGGTATGGGGAGAGGGGGCGAGTGGGTGGGAGAGGTGGGAGGCAGCCCTCCGACCTTGCAACAGGGGTCGCCTCGCAGAGGGGGAGGAGGCAGGGATGTTAGCAGCAGAGAGCACGTGGCGAATGGGGGGATGAGTGCAGCAGTGAGTGTGGCAGAGGTTGTAGCTGACGTGGCACTGATGGTGGAGCAGGAGTTGGAGCGAGAGAGGAGGCGGGAGCAGGAGGCAGTGCTGTTGGGTGGGGTGACAAGCCCTCCTGGAGCGCGCCCAGCAGTGCCCGCCTCATGGCAGCAGCCGTGGTGGCTGTCGCCTGCTTCTTCACCTGCCCCTGCTGCTGTTTGTGTCTCGGCTGCTGGATGGCATGCATCAACTGGCATGAACGGTGTCATGGGCGGTGGAATGCCAGTCAAGGGAACAGCAGGGGCAGGGGGGAGTATGGAGAGACGAACAGGGGGCTTTGCTGAGTTCAGTGGGCGAAGTGGGGTGGGCTTTGCTGCCTTTGCTGCAAGCAGGGCGGTTGGTGCAAAGCAGGGTGATGGCAAGGCAGCTGGCACGCAGCAGACAGGTGCAGGTGAAGAGATCGTTATGGACACCAAGGGGGTCGCAGGCAATGCAGGCCAGTTCGCAGGGCCAGGTTTCAAGATTGACAATCCTATGAGTGCTGGAAAGCCATTATCGCCACTTTTCACACTGATGCGAAGGTAGTGCCCACTGGTGGTGCACTGATGGCTGGCATCAGCACATACCATAAGCCTCAACTATACTAACTGCACTGACAATACCGTTCCCAAGTTTTAGGTGGACGCATAGCATCTGTAGGCAGCAGCACTAAGGCCACATTCATTTATTGAACTTCAGTATTTATAGAACACCCTCATCATGAGGGATGGTTGTGATCGATCTCAACACAAGGCGATGTGGCAAGAAATGTGGTAAGAGCCATGCCACTAGCTACATTTTAAAATTGGGATGGGTTCCTGCACTGCTCCCACCTGCTCCAGACTTGTCAGTCCCATTCGCTCACATGGACACACACACCAAACGTGTGCCCACATGAGCAGGCGACGTGCACCAACGCAAAGCAAAGGAATGCTGCTCATGCATGCAATGTGTGCAAGGCTCAGAGGAACTTGGTGAGGTTGTCTTTAAGGTCCTCGATCTTGGCGCCCGTGTGGCTGTGCACCAGCTCGCCCCCGCGGAAGAAACGGAAGTTGGGCACCGCCCGCACGCCCCACTCGCGCATCAACGCCTGTTAAAAAGGGAATGGGGTTACAGACGCTTGCATTCAGGATAACATCCAGAAGCGCAAACTCGGTGCTTGTATTGGAGCGAATGGGAGGGAAGAGGGACCAGTTACGGGCTACTTTTGGGAAGAATGAGAACAAAGAAATGACAAAGTGTGGGTTGAAGGGACGGTTGAGAGGAGAAGGTGGAGGAGGGGACCTTGGTGCCGTCGTCGTGGTCGCCGTTGATCTTAAGGAAGACGGCGTTGGGGTGGTCGAGGCTGAGCTCCACCACCTTGGGGAAAATGAACTTGCACGGCCCGCACGTCCGCGTCGAGATGTCCAGCACCACCTGCGCGCCAAGCCGCGAGGGGTATGCCATGGAATAATGCTGTTGGTTAAGCAGGATGCTTCATTTACTGGTTCGTACGTGATGCGGTTTTTTACCTTTTTTAAAACAGGGATTGTGTATTCTGGGTTCTTCAGCGCGCCGAATGTGATGTTGAACAAAATGAGTAATTGCCTGTTGTAATCCCCGTGGCGTGTGTCCTCTAAGTGGGTAGCATATCAGGTCACGTCAAACGCATCTCAAAAGGCAGGAGGCAGAATCTACTCACCAGCTTATCGCCAGCCTTGGCAACTTGATCGTAGAACTCCTCTCCTGCTCAAACAAGCGCTGTCACAGCGTCAGCGATAACTGTTCACGCCTTAAGTCACGGCAAACGACGATGTCAGCAACTCACGGCTCGTAATTTCCACGACGTTGCCGTATCCATTGGGTCCGAGCCGCTCGAGATCGGCCGCTGATAGCGACGCGGAGCAGCGCAACGCTTGACGGCGAGCAATGCGGGGAAGCGACGACGGAGCGACCAGTCTGACTGTCCTCCGCACGGGAAGGACGGCGCGGCTCTGTGCTAGTTGAGGAGCCGCGACCAGCGAGCTGCGGATAGCCAAAGCATCCATGTCTGCTCTGATTTGGCGAGGTAATGCGGAGCAGTGGGATAGGTAGAAGCAAATTGCGACAAACTACCGTAGCTTTTGTGCTGGTTCTGGAGGAGTTATGGCTGCCATGGCTAATGAATGGCTGGTTTGCAGCTGTGGGGAATGCGACGTCCAATTGCCTGAAGCGCATTCCACAATGGTAACGCTTACGATTTCGCAATAAGAAATATAGCTGCGGAATTGTGTGGAGGATAGGGACTTCTGATCCGTCAGCGACGAGTTTAGCGAAGATTGCGAAGGACAAGATGCCCACCCTGTTTCCACCAACCAGCAGCTTTGGCAGAATTCCACGTGGCGGGCAGAGCCCGAGAACAAACACGGGGCACAAACCACAACACGACCAGCTGGAACGTGAGGCCCCAAAGAATATCGAGATGCACAGTTTCAACGCCCTAATGAGTTGTGTTTTAGTTCGTGTAACTTCCGCAACAGAAACCATATAGTACAACTATTTCACATTTCAGCTTCTAGAAGATCTTCAATAGCACTTCCAAATCCAGGAAGCATCACACCACAACCTCCAGGAATAGTGTCTAATGTCTCAGTAACCACCTCGTGACCTTGCCTTCTGCATATGTCCCAATGCCGAGTCACCTTACCACACGCACTCGAATTGGTACTCACATCCCCCTTTGAGCAGTCCACGTTGGAAGGTTCCTGGCATTGGTGTGGTATGTCTAGGCAAAAGAGGTCTCCGTGACAGGACGCAATCCAAAGTGACGACTGAGGAGCAAAGTCTGGAACTTGCAACAGCCGGGACTCGTCGCCGTAACGCTCAGAAAGAGGGCCAGAATTAGGCTCCGAGAGGAATGGTGGGATCCATGTGCCACAAAAAGAGACTAAGCCTTCATTCCCTGCAGCGCAAGTGCATCGCGTGCATCCATCCCCTTCCATACCCTCCGCTCCTGCAGTTCCACCAGAATAATTGTCAAATGTAGATTCCTCCCGGTGTGCCCACTGTGCGAAGTTGATAGCAGCAGCAGTACTTGCGAATGCACGTCTGCTCACAGCGGCAGTGAGTGCAGCGCCCACCCCCTCCACTGCCCTCACAACGCCTGCAGAACCCGTACGGCCCACTGTCGGCCCCCATAGGCTGAGCATGCTGCCTCTGATGCGCATGCTGGGAGCGAGCGTGGGAACAGCCAAGGGTGCTTCCAGGGAGAGGCCAAGGAGTCTCGGTATGGAGAGAGAGCAGCGGGTTGGCCGGTTGTGAGGCAGTGAGAGACGAGGGGTGGGAGGTGGATGAACGGGGGAGTGAAGCGGGAAAGGTAAGACAGGAGCCGACGGTGGGTGTAGAGAAGGTGTGTTGCTGGTGGGGGAGAGAGGAGGCGAGGGGAGGTGGAGAGAAGATGTGGGAGAGGAGGCCTGATCCGTTGGCTGCTCGCAGGTGGAAACGAGAGGCGAGGCGAAGGGGTGGATGGGGAAGAGGTGCGAGGTGCCATGGGCTGAGAGCAGGGCGAGCAGCGATGAGTCAGGGGAGAAAGCAATGGCCTGAGGTATCTGCTCCGTGCAGGGGGGGATGGGAGAGGGGCAGGGATCACCAAAGGAATTCATTCAGCCAAAGCATACAGGTTGCATCAAGAAATGGGCATTTCCCCCCATTCCACCAGCATCTCCAGAACCCAATATGACTCACCGAGTGTGTGAGCCCGCGCTGCAGGCGGTACAGCAGCACTGCTCCCCCATCCCCTGCCATCGACCCATCCCCCCACTGCTGCTGTCGCTGCTGCTGCTGCCACCCCCTGGGGCGGCCATCTATGCGCCACACGCCCACGGTGGTGCCATGCAGGGAGGCCGCTGCCAGCAGCACACCCAGCGGGTCAAACTGCAACACTGCGAGGGGCGATGCTTCGAGGGCAGGGAAGCACGCGATTGGCTGGCGGGAGACAAGGTCATGCACCATGACGTGGAGATGAGAGGGGGCGAGCACTGGTGCGGGGCGAACGGGGGAGAGCGTGGAGTGGAGTAAGGTGGGAGAGCGTGGTGGCAAGGAGGGAGTGTGTGGGGCAGCGTAGGCCAGCCAGCGAGGCCCCAGGGCAAGCGGAATGGAGGTGGGTGAGAAACTGATGGCATCTGCAGTCGAGGCGGACGCAGAGGGGCGAGAGGATGCTGGAGTAGGGAGGGTCTTGGAGTGCCCATGTGAGGGGTGATCGGCAAGAAATGGTGGGAGGAGGATTTGAGGGATGGGGTGTGTGAGGAGGGAGAAGGTGGGGGTGAGGGCAGTGGGGCTGAAGCAGAAGAGTTGCTCCCTCTGCACCACCACTATCGCCCTGCCACTCGCCCTCACTCCCACCACCGGCCCCTCCACCTCTACACTGCCCACCATGGCATGCTGTCTCAGCGAGTACAGCGCCACCCGAGTCAACACCCCCAGTCGCGGACTCATACCGTCACAGCGTGCAGCACTCCCTTCTCCAAGCCCTCTGCTTCTGTGCATGACTCCGTTGCACCTCCCACACCCCCCTGCACCGTCCTCCTGCTCCCTTGCCTGCCTTACTGCCTGTTCTTTCCCGCTTTCCACGCACTGCTGCTCCACCACTGACGCTTCTCCCCACTGAAGCTCCTGCTTTGCCTCGCATCCTTGCTCGCCCCCCTGTGCGTCCTCACTGCCTCCCTGCTGCACTCCCTCCAAGTCGGAACCACCACTGCCACTCACTTCTCCCCCCACCCCTCTGCAATACTCCCACTCGCACTCCCCTCGCATCCGCCCCGCATTCTCCCCCCTCACCCCACCACTCCCTGGCTCGTCATCCACCCCCTCCACGTCACTCCCTGATGCCTCCCCACCGCCTGCGTGCTCGCTGCACGCACATCCCGGGGCGGAATGGTCGCTAGTAGCAGGGAAGACGACGCACACGAGGGGCCGGCACGCTGCAAACCTGTCGCATTCATGGCTGGGCGTGTCACTGCCGTCCCCCTCGTGGTCGCCTGTGGATGGAATGACCGTGGATCCTAGCGTGGTTGGCGGCGACTGCATGACAGGATGCGGCACGGTGGGGTGCGATACGATGGGGTGTGGCACAGCGCACAGCATGGACACAAGCTCGCCACGCCACGACACCAGCTGAGAGGGTGACGGAACCGTAGCACTAGCTCTGCGACCACCGCTGCTGTTGCTGTTGCCGCAGCCGTCTCGCTTGCTGCCATTGGCGCTGTCTCCTCGGGGAGGGGAGGCGGCGTGCAGGTCCCACACGTGGAAGCCTGTGGAGTATGCGACGAGCAGCACGTGGCGTCGCGACGAGCGGCTCATGTGCAGCCAGTCGAAGCCCACCCACACCACCTGCCACACGCCACCACGGAGGAACGACCATCAGCGAAAGCGGTCACTGTAGCGACTCACTCCTACAGACACAACACCGATTCCACTTATGGCCCGTGGCGGGCGATTATAAGTCCGAAAAATCCACCTGTACAAAAGCTTCGTCGAAATGGTCCTCCCCCGTCACGCACCTCGTCCTTGGTTTCGAATTTTGCTTTCACCGCTTTTGCTGCCCTGACGACCGTCGACACCGTCGCGCCGGCCAGATCCATCGCCGCCTCCATGGCCGCTCGCTCGTTAGCTTGCTGCGGAAAGAGGCACGCCACTAGCCACCACCGTCCCACATCCGATCGGAAAGCAGCGAGCACGTTGCTCGCGGATCTCGTTCCAATCTGGTTGCTACAGCTTGGCGTCCGTCCTTCCTCCTGCTTTCTCGCCCATCACCACCACCGCTCCGCCCTCCACAAATCCGCATGTCGCCTCTCTCGCAGCACGCACGGAAAGTCACGCTCGCTCTCTGCTCAACCTGCTACCATGAATTCTGGAATCCTCCGTCAGCATGCAGGAATGCACGCTGTGAAACTTCTCACAGAAGCCGTCGCTTGGGCGACAAGTGAACGCTGTCGATCGAACTGAGCGACGTCGAACCACGAAAATATCGAAGACTCGGATCAGATGTCCTGCTTTGCGCGAGCTGTGATTGGCTTGAGTTGCGACAGCTTGCTGGTTGGTTCGCTTAGCGCTGAAGTTGCGTCAACTGTACGCTTTCGCCCATCAGATGTATAATTTGCAGGAACACTTGAGTCAGCAATATTTTATTTGGCATAACAAATCATGCACCAAGAGGTAGAAACACTACCACTGCCTCTCGCCCTCTCTAAGCTCGATTTGTTGGCTTGGGACCAAGGGATCTGGTCCTCTGAACCGCCTGTCTCTAGGCTCTTGAAGATTAGGTGCAACCCCTAAGCTGGAGGTAGAGGTGGAAGCAAAGGGCCACGAGGGTGACAGTGCCACGACCTGGCCGATGATGATGAGCGTGGGTGACACGAGTTGGGCCGCTGACACGGCTGCTGGCAAATCATCAAGAGTGGCGAAAACCTGCAACCCACAAGGAAATAAGTTCGTAAATGTGTACGATGCATGCAAATGCAATGCACCTCCTGAATTACATGCCCCTGATCATGTTCCCGTCCATGCATACAAACACGGTCACACAAAACGTGTAACGCACATGGCAAAACAACCCTTTTGAATGTGTATGTCCCTGCTCATGCCAAGGCACAGCAGCAATCACGCACGCCACCAGCCGTCCCGTGACTCACAGTGCGCTGAGCAGCGGTGGTGCCTCGCTCCACAGCCACAGCAGGAGTGTCAGCGGGCAGCCCATTGGCCAGCAGGCGGGCGGCAAGGGCGGGCAGCGTGGCGAGGCCCATGTAGACCACGAGGGTGGCGTCGGGGTCCGCCGCTGTGCTGGCTGCATACAGGGGGTCGCCGCCTCCCTTGCGCTTGTGGCCCGTCAGGAACCGCACACTGCAGCATGGGGGGAAGGGGACGCAGGGGAGACCAGAGAGGGATGAGGCATGGAGGTGTGGCAGACTGTAAGCACAGGGGGAGGTGGAGGCTGCAAGTGCACGGAAGCGCGGCATACATGCAGTGCAAGGGAGCTAGGCATGCATGCTGGAACAGCAGGAGCAGCAGGCGGAGGCATGCAAAGCAGAGTATGTTGGTGGGCACAGACCAACCGCACGAAAGGGCGAAGCACTGACCTGTTGGCGACGCCGCGGTGGGTGAGAGGCACGCCGAGGTCAGCAGCGATGCCAGAGGCGGCGGTGATGCCGGGCACGATCTGCACGCGGATGCCGTGCGCCTGCAGGTGCTCCATCTCCTCGCCGCCCCGCCCGAACACCAGCGGGTCGCCGCCCTTGAGGCGCACCACCACGGCGCCCGCCTCCGCGAAGGCGAGCAGCAGGTGCAGGATCTCCGCCTGCGTGCGCGTGTGGTACCCCGCCGCCTTCCCCACGTACAGCAGCCGCGCGGACGGCGCCGCCAGGCGCAGGATGGCGGGCGAGACGAGGCGGTCGTAGAGCACGAGGTCCGCGGACTGCAGCGCGCGCACCGCCTTCACTGTGAGGGGGGCGGGAGGGTTGAGAAGCGGCGGGGGAAACGCATGAGTTAAAAACGCCAGAGGACATGGGGTTGCGGCAATGTGAATCAGTCACGACCGAGGATGTAGGGCAGCATGAGAGCAGCGCGATCGAAGCGGGGGTTAGAGGAGAGGGGTAGGGTAGGGAAGAGGGGGTGAAGGAGGGAGAGGGGATGGGAGTGGGAGGAGAAGGTGGAAAAGGAGAGGGCGGTAGGGGAACTGACGAGTGAGCAGGTCGGGGTCGCCAGGCCCGGTGCCCACCAGAAACACGTTCCCAGGGCCCTCGCCCCGCGCCCCGCCATCCACTTGCGCCCGCCCCTGCTGCTGCGCCTTGGCCCGCAGCAGCTCCAGCATTTCGCGCAGCTCGGGCAGGCGATCCGCGATGTCCACCTCGGGAATGTCGCCCGCGTCGTCGTCAACGGCCTCTGCAACCAAGCTAAGACGCTCGCTCCAACTCGATTCCCCTTCCGCCGTGCGCTCCGAATCTACAGCGGAACAGGGCTCAGGGTTTATGCCTGATGCGTCTGACGTCATCGCTGCGTCAGCGTCAGCGAGCAGCTGCAGCGCGCCGTCCACTCCGGGCAGCGCTCGGGATCGGCACTCGTCGGACGACGACGACTCCTCGCCGCCTGCTGGCGCTGCTTCTCCGCTTCCGCTCTCGGCGATCCGCCAGTCCCATGGCCGCGCGTCCCTCACCTCCACGAACGGCGACTCGGCGGCGGATTGCGCGCTGCCGATCAGCCATCGGTCGGGACGGGACGGGCTACATGTGGAGGAGAGATTGGGCTGGTGGGCGTGCGGCTGGCTGCACGGACTGTGCACGGCTCGAGCTGCCGCGACCGATGCATTTGCGGATAATCCGCAAAAATGTCTTTTGCCGCGCACCGCGAAACGCGCTTCCTGGCGCGAGACGCTGTGACTAGCGAGAAAAGCATTGTAGCGCAATGTTCTAGTAGCGATCGCAGCGGGATCACTGCTCACGACAACAGCCATGGCTTTTGCGGGAGCTAACGGTGACTGGGAAAATCCCTTGGATCCAACAACCGCAGACAGGAATGACGCAATCAGGCTGGAAACTAGTTTGAACCTTCAGTGCCTAGCTCGGAAGCAGAAGTCAGCTTTGTATCGCGGACGAGTGCACGGCAAGCAAGCACGGTGACTAAAGTTAGCTGCTTGCTGCCCCTCGTCCCTCGTCCGTCATGTGCGGAGCGGACACCCTGCCCGCGTCCCTCACCAAGGGGACCAGCCACATGCCCCCTGCTGATTGCTCCTCTTCCTCTGACCCGGCAGCGCTGTCGTTTCAATCTCCAGATGGGACAGCTGTTGCTTGCGTGTAGCGGTAAAGCTGACGCTTTGTCGATGGCGCGGGCAGAAAATATGGGAATTGATCAGACTGGGGCCCCGGGTTAGCAGAAACAGTGCCAACTTGGGGCCTCGTGAGTCGCGACCCTACGAAATAGGCCCGAAGCAAATCACAAGACTGGGCAGCAGGTCCGAACCTGGCAAACTCGCCAGGTCACCACCTACTGCCTTGGGTTTGACGGAAATCGCTAGCACCCCACACCGCTGGAAGCACAACAATCCGTCAAACCAACACAGTCTGATCGAGATACAGCACAAGCAGCATGTAACAAACAACTCGGAATTATTACGGAAACATAAGACTGCCAGAACACAAAGAGCTGAAACATGAAAATTAATAAAATGAGTGGGCACAAAATGGGGAGGTTCATGACCTTTTTCTGTTAGAGAAATTTCAACCAACCTACCCACATTCTTTCAGAATATGTATACATACATATATGATTTACATGCAAGTGCTTCCCTTGTAAAATCTTCGATGAAAAATCTTCTACCGTATTCCCCCGGATATACCACCCTAGGGTGCTATGATAACTACACAAAAAAAAGGGGGGGTCTTGTCATCGGAAAAAGCTTCATTGCACCCGGGTCTTTACATAATGTGTATTTTTTTTATAGCGTAAAACGATTAGTACTAAATGTACATCTGTATTTTTGTTTTACATCTGTACTAAATCGTTTTACGCTATAAAAAAAATACACATTATGTAAAGACCCGGGTGCAATGAAGCTTTTTCCGATGACAAGACCCCCCCTTTTTTTTGTGTAGTTATCATAGCACCCTAGGGTGGTATATCCGGGGGAATACGGTAGAAGATTTTTCATCGAAGATTTTACAAGGGAAGCACTTGCATGTAAATCATATATGTATGTATACATATTCTGAAAGAATGTGGGTAGGTTGGTTGAAATTTCTCTAACAGAAAAAGGTCATGAACCTCCCCATTTTGTGCCCACTCATTTTATTAATTTTCATGTTTCAGCTCTTTGTGTTCTGGCAGTCTTATGTTTCCGTAATAATTCCGAGTTGTTTGTTACATGCTGCTTGTGCTGTATCTCGATCAGACTGTGTTGGTTTGACGGATTGTTGTGCTTCCAGCGGTGTGGGGTGCTAGCGATTTCCGTCAAACCCAAGGCAGTAGGTGGTGACCTGGCGAGTTTGCCAGGTTCGGACCTGCTGCCCAGTCTTGTGATTTGCTTCGGGCCTATTTCGTAGGGTCGCGACTCACGAGGCCCCAAGTTGGCACTGTTTCTGCTAACCCGGGGCCCCAGTCTGATCAATTCCCCAGAAAATATCGCCTGGCTTCACCAAATATACAGTTCGCCCTCCAATAGGCTGGAAATTGAAGCCTTTCGGATGCCAGGTGGCTGAATTTTGAAATTGCCGCCTGTAAACAAGCGCCATGTGGGAGTGCTCTACAAACTCCGCTGAACAGCATAAACTCGTAGTACTCTATGTGTAAATTCTGCTATTTTTGTCATGTTACGAAACCCAAACGGACCTTAGACGTTGTGCAGACACTCGTGTATCGAGTATGCCACGTGTTCTCCAATTTCCAGCTGTCGATCGGCTGAGCGCCCTCGAGATTGAGTAACAATCTGTGTGATCATCTCGAGGGGCAAAGATCATACTCGGGCCGGAAAACAGCAGGGAAGTGGCCGATTTAGGGCCGGGTGAGTCGCGCCCCTACAATGTACGCCCGAAGCAGCGCACAGACCTGCCAGGGCAGTTCGGGCCTGGCCTAGGCGCCAGGTCACACCTATCAAACTGGCCCCGACGGAGTTCGTTAAGTAGGGATGACGGAGCTGTAAAACGCATTACACAGTTTGAGCGAGATTGTGAGAGGTTCCCCACCAGTCGAGAACAGTATGTAGGAAAACGCATAAGATATTCACTTAAACTGGAAAACCATTTAGCACATGACACAACTAGTCATAAATGTAACGTTTAGATTGATAAATGGAAACATGCTTTTAGTTGAAATCCAAAAACAGAATGCGTTTACAACACACATGTCATTTTCTAAGAAAGTATCTTCACATATTACAACATCAATCTAATAAATAAAGAAATATTTCCCATCACATTTATATAGTGATATATATGTATCTATATATTTATATGACATAGATGCTAACTTTCAAAATTAGCTACAATAGATTTATCTGTGTGATACTTCTCTCACTCTCTCTTCCCATAAATATCAACTCTCTATACCTCTCCATCGCAAACAATCTTGTATTGGTTTGGAAAAAGGTACAGGCATGGCAGGTTGGAAACCTAGGGTTGCCATGCCTGTACCTTTCTCCAAACCAATACAAGATTGCTTGAAACAGAGAGGTGTAGAGAGTTGCTATTTATGGGAAGAGAGAGAGTGAGAGGAGTATCACACATGTAAATCTATTGTAAATCATTTGAAAGTTAGCATGTATATCATGTATAAATAGATACATATATATATATATCACTGTATGAATGTGATGGAAAATCTTTTTTATTTAATTTATCTATATTAATGTTGTAATATGTGAATATATGACATGTGTGCTGTAAACGCATTCTGTTTTTGGATTTTAACTAAAAGCATGTTTCCATTTATCAATCTAAACGTTACATTTATGACTATGTTAAATGGTTTCCCAGTTTATGTGAATATATTATGCGTTTTCCTACATACTGTTCTCGTTTGGTGGGGAACCTCTCACAATCTCGCTCAAACTGTGTAATGCGTTTTACAGCTCCGTCACCCCTACTTAACGAAATCCGTCAGGGCCAGTTCGATAGGTGTGACCTGGCGCCTAGGCCAGGCCCGAACTGCCCTGGCAGGTCTGTGCGCTGCTTCGGGCGTACATTGTAGGGGCGCGCCTCACCCGGCCCTAAATCGGCCACTTCCCTGCTGTTTTCCAGCCCGAGTATGATCTTTGCCCCATCTCGAGAGACCCTTTTTGCCCGGCTCCCGCTCACTCGCGCGCGACATTCTCGAAAATTTGCCCCTCCACGCTCCTGCTGCTGGCCTGGATCGCACTGCGTCACTGCACTTTTTCCTCCTGCCATCTTCACTCGACCAGCTCATTCACCAAGTTTCTCCTCACTCGTCATCCTTGCAATCGTAGCAGCCGCGCCCCGGATTTCGCTTACATTACTCGACTGACAGCTACTTGATTGGAAAACACATAATTCTTAACCAGCAAATCGAGGCGTCAGCTATGGCTGCACTGCTTCAGAGCATTGAGGTGCCTGTCGCATCCTTGAGGGCACCGCAACCGCTCCAGAAAAATCAACGGCTCTCGTCACTCGGTAGCATCTCCCTTAAGTCTTCCAGATCACTCACATCCTCACTGACCGTCAAATCCCACGTGTCTACAAAGAATTTTAGAAATTCCCGCCGAGTATCGTGCCGGGCAGCAGAGGACGAGAGTGGCGCGAAGAAGGCGAGTTTGAGCGAGCGGCGGCCGGAGGAGGTGAATGTGGTGGTGGTGGGCCCCACGGGGTACATCGGCAAGTTCGTCACGCGCGAGCTCATCAAGCGCGGCTACAACGTCACCGCTGGTGCGCGCGCGCTGAGGCTACCCATGATAAACCAGAAAAGGCCGAATTCTAAGTTGCTTCAACAATTGCGTCTGCGCTGAAGACATTCCAACCATATTATTCCACAGAATGTCGCAAAACATGTGTATTTTTCCGTCTCCCCTCCTTGTCCGATTCTGACGCGCTCCTTGTGCGGCGTGCGGTGGTGGTCGCAGTGGCGCGCGAGCGGAGCGGCATTGGCGGGAAGAAGTCGGCGGAGGATACGGCGAAGGAGCTGGAGGGCGCGACGATGGTGTTCGCCGACGTGACGAGCGAGGAGGCGCTCTCTCAAGCGCTGGCCGGCAAGCACGTCGACGTCGTCGTGTCGTGCCTCGCCAGCCGCACCGGCGGCATCAAGGTGAGCCGCGGCGGCCGCGAAGGTCTGAAGCGAGAGAAGTATGGGATTCGGTGTGTGCACAGATGCCGACTTGCGAGCAAATCATCATAGATGAAAGACAACATGCGATATCTTCATAAAGTGGAATGGTCTGGGTGGTGCGTGTGTGCGGCACGTGTTTGGCGTGCGCAGGACTCGTGGCTGATCGACTACACGGCGACGAAGAACAGCCTGGAGGCCGGCAAGAAGGCTGGCGCCACCCACTTCGTGCTGCTCTCAGGTACGCCTGCCTGCCATGCCAGCTGCTGCTGCTTCCTGGTAATTCTCGTCATGCAATCTCGTCGTCAAAATCCCTCATTGTCCCCGCGACCGTGTATGCGACCGTGTGTGTGCCCGTGTTGTGTGCGCGCAGCCATCTGCGTGCAGCGGCCGCTGCTGGAGTTTCAGCGGGCGAAGCTCAAGTTCGAGAAGGAGCTGCAGGAAGATCCGGCCGTCACGCACAGCATCGTGCGCCCCACCGCCTTCTTCAAGTCGCTCGGCGGCCAGGTGCGACGCGGTGGGATGTGGTGAGATGCGGTGCCAGGTGTACCTGGTGAGGTGATCGCATCCCCAAATGACGCGAAAGCTCGTTGTAGCAGTAGTGAGGCATGGCATGTGGGAGTGAGTCATGCCATACAGGAGGGGCGCATGCCATGCGCGAGTGAGGCATGCCGCGCAGCAGCTGACCAATGGAATCACACGTCCTTGATCATGCGGTTAATTGATCTCCGTACCCCTTGCTGCATATGGGCCTGCATGTGTGTGTGTGTGGGTGTATCTGTGTTTGTGTGTGCTGGCAGGTGGAGAGTGTGAAGGGAGGCGGGCCATACGTGATGTTTGGCGACGGGCAGCTGTGTGCGTGCAAGCCCATCAGTGAGGCGGACCTCGCTGCCTTCATTGCTGACTGCGTGCAAGGTGAGGGACACAGCCGCCCATGTGCTGTCATGCCACTCACCTATGGAAGGCAATAGAGATGAACGCACACACGGAACAAAAATCAGTTTTAGAAGACGCACCAGCCGTATCCAAGACAAGGAACACCAGGCATTACTGTCAGCCTTCCTCGCTTCCCACCCCCTTCCACCACACGCCCTTCCCTTGACCCGGCCGCCCTGCCAGGCGAGGACAAGGTGAACAAGGTGCTGCCCATCGGCGGGCCAGGGGAGGCGCTGACGCCACTGCAGCAGGGCGAGATGCTGTTCGAGGTGGTGGGCAAGGAGCCCAAGTTCATCAAGGTGCCCATTGGTGTCATGGACTTCGTCATCGGTGTGCTGGACGTGCTCGCCAAGGCCTTCCCCTCGCTGGCAGACGCCGCTGAGTTTGGCAAGATTGGAAGGTACTATGCGGCGGAGAGCATGCTCGTGTGGGACGAGCAGAAGCAGCGGTATGATGCGGATGCGACACCTAGCTATGGCAGTGACACGCTGAGAGAGTTCTTTGAGAAGGTGGTGCGCGATGGCATGGAGGGGCAGGAGCTGGGCGACCAGGCCGTGTTCAAATGAGGAGGCGACGAGGATGCACCGCGTGGTGTGTGTGAATGATTATGTATCGCGCAATAATAACGCGGAAACCACTTTCATCACTTTGTCCGAAGCTGTTTGGAAGGGGTGAGGTGGGGTGAGGGGTGAGGAGTGCAGGTGACTGGTGCTGTGTCCCAAGAGGTCCGAATGTGGCTCAATGAGGCTTGGTGGGTTATAGAGGGCTCTAAATAAAGTTTATAATGGTATGGTATGGTAATTTGCAGAACACTGCTTACGGGACACGACCACAGGGCATGTGGAGGAGATGAAGGCTGGGAGCACAGGAAGGTGGTCAGCAGTTTACACCTTGCAGCACACAGAGGGCAGGTGGCATGTGCAGGGTCCGATTTAGCATGTTGATTGGAGCTCAGCTGGAAACCAGCTGCTCCTCCCAGACACTCTGTACACCTTGTACGGTACAATGTGGTGTGACGCCATGACACTCAAGAGTGGAGCAACTCTGCTTGATTGTCAGATACAGTACGTACAAGAAAGGAATGTACACTACGGTAGCTGTCTTGACATGGCACCTACGTATCCTACGGTACTCAGAAAAGGCACCTAGAACCTGGTCCCGGCAGCAGGCATGCTCCAGGGCTACTTACTACATCCCTAAAGGTTAAATGGTATGTCAACATTCCAGAGGGTCAATGCTCACCGCTTCCCCCACATCACATGATGGTTGACATGACGGCAGCATGAGGCAGCACCTTCCCCACAAACACATACGCCCCTCCGCCCAGCAGCAGCGCGCCACTGGCAGGGTTGATCCACCCCGAGTACCGACGGACGGCTGAGATCTGTTTGAGCGCGCCCGTGCACGAGGCAGCCAGCAGCAGCGGCGTGGCGAAGCCCATCGTGTAGCTCAGCAGCAGCGCTCCGCCTGTCACCGCGTCCTGCAAGGCGGGAGATGGAGCACACAGAAGAGGGGGGGTGAGGGGGGGACTTGTGAGGAGAGCAAGGGGTGCAAAGAGGCAAGCAACGGATGGGGGGCGCTAGTGGGTGAAGCAGCTGATGTGCTTTGTCTATGGCTTTCCTTCTTCCCCCGAATGTCTGCTGTAAGAATCTGCAAGAGCCATCAACCCACCACCGGGTCAACGAGTTACACACATGAGCCCCCATACCCTCTGCCCCTCCCACCGACTCACCCTGGTGGATGCAACGAAGGCGAGCAGTGACGCGAGCACGGGCGTGCAGCAAGGCGACGCCACGAACGCGAAGGCCGCTCCGCCCGCCGCCATCTGCAGCGCCACAGGCACCCTCGCGCTCACCGCCGCGGGGCTGACTCGCGCCGCCACAGGCGCGGGCAGGCGAACGGGCAGCAGGCCGAGCAGGTGCAGTCCCGCCAGCATGGCCACCAGCGACACGGCGGCGGGCAGCGCGCCGCCCATGTCGCCCACGGCGTGCTGGCCGGCGAGCGCGGCGGCCACGCCCATGGCGGTGCGCGTGGCGGCGAGGCCGAGCGTGAAGAACAAGCAGTTGACCGGCACGCTGGCGGCGCGCGCGGACGGCGCGTCGGGGAGTGGCGGGGGGGAGTCGTCGGCGGAGCAGCAACAGGGCGGGGGAGAGGAGGGAGAGGCGGATGCGGATTGGGGGGGCGAGGGGGCGGGTGGGGGGGAGTCGAAACCGGCGATGAAGCCGACGGTGAGCGGCAGCAGGCTGAGCGTGCACGGCGCGAAGCTCGTTAACAGCCCTGCGACGTAGATGATCGCAAGAGTCGCGGGCGACAAGGCGGCAAGGTCGTGCGACTGCGCCAGGTGGCTGGCGAGGTAGAGAAACTCGTCCACGCTGTCTTGGAGAGCGAACGCAACGTCTTGCCACGTGTCCACTGCTGATTCGAAGTCGATATTGGGGAAAAGGTTGAGAATTGTTGACAAGTCGGGCAGCGAGGCGAGGAAGAATTGACTCGATGATGACGTGGCAACCATGTGATCCGCGAGCGAGTCAACCGCGTGTCGCGACTCGGAAGTAAGGGCGGAAGCAGCTGCGGGTGACGTCATAATGAGAGGAAGCAGGGCGGCGGGCAAAAGCGGCACGGGAAGTGATCGGCGCGGCGTGTCTGCAGCTGTCGTGCGACTCGTAGCGCCTAGAGAGCTCGAGCTCCTAGCTTCAAGTCTTCGCGGTTCATTTCCAGACGGCACATGCCGTCGCGGCTGTGCTGCTAGTGCGACGTTTGGCGAGCGGCGACTCGTGGCCTGAGCGCGTCGAGGCTGGATTCCGGCATGCCTTCGAGTGCATGGGAGACGTGGTTGCGCAATGCGCGCTGCTTTGAGAACGGAAAGAACGGCCATGAACGTTAACTGTGTTTTTTGTTACAAGAAGCCGAGGTCCGAAGGGCAGGGATCAACGCAATTGCAAAGGTGTATGCGCTCGCATTGGGCTAGCATGACTTACGATCGCTTTTTATAAATACTTAAGTGGTGGTAGAATAGTCTGCGTCTCGAGCGTTGGTTCGGAAGTGAAGGTCACCCCCTCCAGCTCCCCAGTACGAACGAAACGTACGCGGGAGGTGGTCGGTCAATTTGACGACAGTAGATCAACGTGTGTCGCCAGCATCGCCAGAATGTGCAATCCGCCAGGTGTCGCCTTCGAACCCGCCTGACGACCATTCAGGGAGTAGTACGACGCGATGCGATAGCGTACGAGACCAGCTTCGTCGCCCCGTCGTACGAGTTTGCTTTGGCGCAACTGGCGTGGATTTTTGCCCTGCAATTGCAGAAGCGTACGTTCCTCGGGGCCCTGGTGCAAGCGACGCGTGTCGTGTCGAGGTGTACGAGGCGCAAGTCAGATCTGCGTCGGGACGTCCACTTGGGATTCACGATTCACGACTCACGGGCTGTACAGTACGATCTGACATGCGATGACGTGTCTGTGCCAAGATGCGACGAGCACTCTCACTTGTTACCAATTCACTTGGCGTCCTGCTGTCGTAAGAGTTCGCCACTGCTACAAAACCAGTGGAAAGTTGACCTTAAAATCAAAGCCACCTTTATGCACACAAAAACACACATCACAACCACAAGCTCAACAAAACAATGTCGGTCAGATTCAGTAAGAGATAAAGGAACCTTGAGCCCTTTATCAAAGTCAACGGTTCTGGCCCAATAAGCTTGGCTGCGTGCCAGCTTGCGTGGCCATAGGAGGCCCGGACAAAAATGGGTCCATTTGGGAAGCAACCGGAGAATAAAAATATGTCCCTGCAGCATGCACGGGCAAACCTGAGGGGTTGGAGGGGACGCCTGGCAGTGCAGCGCCCCACGGGGGTGCATGCCATGCCACCCACGGCTGGATGTGTGGTGGCGGGGTCACAGGCGGTGCTGGGTGCTGGAGAAACGGTGGGGCAGCAGTGGTGGGTGCATGGTGCTGCAGATATGGGCTGGCGGAGTGCTGCTGCACCAGCCCTGCTGAGAGCGGCGCAGCAGAGTGGTGCAGAGGAGTGGCCGCGAGATGCAGTGGTGCAGTGGCAGGGGCAGATGGGTGGGCAGGTGGGGCTGCATGCATGGGCATGGGCACCGGCAGCACACCTGGTGGTGCTGCCCCGTGGGGGTTGCTGCGCACTGAAGCAGCGGTGCCAACGGCAGCAGCAGAGGCGGTGGAGGAGGCAGAGGAGGTGGAGGTGGCAGCAGCAGCTGCATGGGCGGTGGGCGGGCAGGCGGTGGGGGCAAGGCTGGAGGCAGAGGGCAGGGCATGCAGGGGGCTCACATGCGGCACAGGGGAGATGGCAGCAGACAGGGGGTAGTGGTGTAAAGTGGCATGCCCAGGGGGTGCTGCAGGTGCAGCAGGCAGTGGCAGTGCAGCAGAGGAGGGGGGGCGGGAAGGGCCAAAGAGGAGGGGCGAGCGGAAGAGCAGGTTGGCGATGGCGCGGTCGATGCGGTTCGTCCCACTCTCCTCCCCACGCCCCTCCCCTGCCCCCTCTGATGCCGACGCCACCGCTGCACCAGCACCACCTGTCCCAGGCTCCGACTGGCTCCGCCCCTCATCACTACTCATCCCAGACGACCCTGTCCCCGCCCCCACCCCTGTCCCTCCCCCTGTCTCTGTCTCCGTTGCTGTCACTGCCTGCTCGCCCCGCCCTGCATCGCCCCCACTTGACGGCGTCAATCCCCCAGTAGCGCTGCTGCTGTGGGTGGCAGCAGCGCCTGCGCCCGCTGTGCTGCGCCCCTTGGCGCTCCGTGCCAGCCGCAGCAGCGCCTCGTGAATGAACCGCCGGCTGCTCGCCGCCAGCTGTGCACACAAGGACGATGGGGAGGGGGGAAGGAGGAGAGGGGATGGTGGGTGGTTGAGGCTTGGGAACGAGCTGGGCGAGAATGAGAGCGCAGGGCATGTAGTCGAGTACAGGGACATGTTCGGGTGCAGAAGGTTGAGATGCAGGGGATGCGAAAGCATGCATGGAGCAGAGAGTAGGGCGAGTGAAGTGGCAGGAAGCAGGAGGGACTGACCTTGGCAACGGTGCTCTCCAGCTCGTGCAGAATGGCCGCCTCCATGCCCTCGCCCGCCCCCTCGCCCCCCTGCGCTCCATGCCCCATGCCACTCGCACCACCCTCCCCAGGAGCAGCACATGCGCCTTCAACCCCCACTGCATGCTCCTCCTCGTGCTCCTGGGTGGGGTGGGCCGAGCCCGCCTTGCCACAGCGCATTGCCTCACTGCCCTCACTCACACCACTCGCCTCGCTCTCCTCTCTTGCGTCTGCTGCTGCTCCCCTCTCCTCACTCCTGCCTTGCAGCGTTTCACCAGCACCACCAGCACCAGCAGCAGCACCGCCACCAGCAGCAGCACCACCAGAGTCACCGCCAGCAGCAGCGGCCGCCTCATGTGCCTCTGCCAGCCCACATGCCGTGCCCTGCCCCTGCCCCTCCCCCTCCCCCTCCCCTACCCCACTCCGCTCCTGAGCCTCCACAATCTCCTCCTTCCTCGGGCTTGCCAGTGATCGGCCCTCTGCTGCGTCAGCATTGGCCACAGCCTCATCAGCACCACCAACAGCCATGTCAGTACCGCCCACCGCCACGTCAGCACCGCCCACAGACCCACCATCGTCAGCAGGAGCAGGCAAGCTTGGGCTCTCGAGTGCCCCCCTCACAGTTCCGCCCAACGATGCAGCCCCACACACCGCTGCTGCCGGTGCCGTGGTGCAGCGCCGCTCATGCTCGCCTGCTGCCACACCCCTCCCATCTCGCCTGCTGCTGCTGCTGCTGCTGCTGCGCCTGCTGCTGCTGACTCTACTGCTGCTGCGCCTGCAACTGCTGCACCTGCTGCTGTTGAGTTTGCTGCTGCAGCAGTGTCTGCAGCCCCTAGCATGGAAGGCACGGCCCTCTGCCCGCACCCCTGCTGCTCCTCGCCCTCTGTCCCACCACCTGCCGCTCTGCTCATCCGCCCCTCCCCACCACCCATCTGTCCCTCTTGCCCTCCCTGCCACTCCCCCGCCCTTTCCTGCCTCTTCTGCACACCGCATAACAGCTGCCCCTGCTCTTGCTGCTCCTGATGCTCTTGCTGCCCCTGTTGCTCTTGTTGCCTCTGCTGCTTTTGCTGCTGCTGCTGCTGCTGCTGCTGCTGCTGTTCCTGCACACGTTGCTGTTCCTGGTGCTGCAATTTTTGCTGCTGCTGTTGCTGCTGCCGCTGCCCCAGCCCCTGCTGCCCCTGCTGTCCCTGCTGCTGCTGCTGCTGCTGCTGCTGCAGTTGCAGCAGGTACCGCTGCTGCTGTCTGGCCCACAGCTGCCGCACATCCCACTTCATCCGCTCTCCCCCGCTCCCCATCCGCTCTCCCCCCATTCTGCCCGCCTGCCCAGCCCCGACCTTCCCCTCGCCTTCCCCCTTGCCCGCGCCCGCCGCGCTGTTACTGTGCGCCAGTGGGCTGGGCGGGGGCAGGTGCGGAAGCACCCACACTCCGGGCATGGGGGGCTTGAGCGGGGAGGGGGACGATGGAGGGGGAAGGGAGGATGACGAGGGTGAGAGCGAGGGGGGAACGGAGGAACCAATGGGAAGGGCAGATGGGGAGCGGGGGGTGCACGGGCGTGACGCGGAGGCAGCGGGGAGGGGCGCGTGTGTCACGGCTTTGTCCCTCCCCGCTTGCCCTGCAGTGGGCGCAGGGGCGGTGGGCGCACGGGCTGCAGCGGGGGGGCGAAGTGGCGGAGCGGGGGAAAGGGAGATCGAGGGGGAGGCAGCAGGCGGCCTGGAGGAAGAGGAGGAAGCGAGCAGCGCGGAGCACTGCGAGTCACTGCATGGCCCCCCTCCTTGCTGTTGCCAAGCCCCCCCTGCCTGCTGCTGCCACGCGCCACTTGCTGCTGCGCTCGTCCCTGCTCGCTCCCCCCTCGCCCCTCCAAGAGGCCCACACGCCGCCTTTGCCTCCGCCCCCACGCTCCCCGCGCTCTGCTCTGCGTGCGCGTGAGCGCCGTGCTGCTGTTGGCGCAGCACGGAGCGGTGGTGGTGCAGGGCGAACATGGCTTGCCCCAGCGCCTGCTGCTGCTTCTGCTGCTCCGCTGCTGCCCTCAGTGCACTCGTGCTTCCCGTCCCTGCCGTCCCCGCCGTCCCTGCCGTCCCCGCCGTCCCCGCTGCCCCCCCTGTGCGTGCACCAGGCTCGCCCACGGCGCCTGTGCCAGCGTGGGGCGACGCAGCAGCTGCAGCAGCGCGGGGGGCAGTGGCGGGTGGTGATGGCGTGGCGCGCACTGGGGGGCGCTGAGGCGGCGCGCAGGGGTGCGCGGGAGGCAGGAGGCGGGAAGGGAAGGCGGGGAGCAGCGGCTGCGAGGTGAGCGGGTAGTTGGGGAAGTGGGGGAGGCGGGGCAGGTGCGCGGGGGGGAAGTAGCGGAAGAGATGCGTGGGCGCAGGGCAGGGGGGAATGGGGAGGGCGTGGGAGGGCGGGCGAGGGTAGAGGTAAGGCGCGGGCGAGGGAGTGGGAGCGGCGGAGGCAGCGCGAGCAGTGGCGGGCTGGCTTGAGGCGAGTGGCAGGAGCGGTGCAGCGGACATGTGGGGGGCGTGCGGAGCGAAGAAGGGCGGGCAGTAGTTGGGGAAGTGGTGCGGCAGCGAGGGGAAGGGCATGGCGTGCTGGCCCAGAGGCAGCTTTCTGGACGCCGTGGTGCGCTGCTCGCCCTCCCTCCTCCTGCGCACCGCTGCTCTCCGCCTCGCCTGGGGTGGGCACAAAGGAGGTTGTGTGTGATTGGGTCACTGAGTCGGAGAGCGAGTGAGTGAGTGGGTAAGCGACTGAGTGAGTTGGTCAGTGAGTGAGTGAGTGAGTGTGTGAGTGAGCGAGCGAGCGAGTAAGTGGTAAGTGAGTGGAGGAGTGAGTGAGGGAGGGAGGGGCGGCGGTGTACCTGTGAGAGGCAGCGCGAGGAGCCACCGGGGCTGGAGCTTCTGGGAGTGCCAGCCTCAGCTGCCGCGCCCGCGCTCACGCTCACAGCAGGCGCAGCGCTGGAGCCACCCTCCCATGACGGCGCGCCGTCCGCCACTGCCGTGTGCGGGGCGGAGCTGTGGGCCTGGCAGCACAACACGGACGACGGTGGGGTAAAGAGCAGCAAGGAGCGGCAATCAGTACACGTACCCCCGGAGAGAGCCCCCCCTCAGCACCCGCCATCCTGCCGTGCGTGGCGTGGTGTGCGCCGTGCCAGCATGCATGTGAGGGAGTAAGGTAACGGCGCGCGCGACACTCGCAGCATGGAAGCATGAATTGCAAGCACGCACCTGTGCCACACACGCAGCAGCAGCACCACCATTGCTCGCAAGCCCTGCTCTCGCGGCCCCCTTGCTGTCCGCGTCTGAGGCAACAGCGCCTTCCGCCTTCGCCCCTCCATCGCCCTCCGCGCGCTCCCCCCATTCCGCGTGGTCGCCCCCCTCCTCCTGCTCCGCCTCCAGCTCCTCCACCGCCCACACCTGCGCCGCCCGCCGCTCCTCCTCGCGGCAGCGCTCGTCGGCGGCGCCGGCGGAGGGGAAGGCGCAAGCGGCATCGAGCAGCGCGGGGGCGGGCGGCAGCGGCACGGAGGGGTCGGAGGCGGGGCCCCACCACGAGTGCAGGTCGGCGCGCGTGAGATGGGGGAGCGCGTCCGCGGAAGACGGGGAGGGAGGGTCCGCGCTGGGGAGGGGAAGAAGGTCCGCGGAGGGAAAAGAAAGCGCGTCCGTGGCATAGGCGGACCTGCGGGCAGCGCGGAGCAGACGGGAGGGCGAGATCATGTGGGACATGCGGACAGGTGGACGGATATTCGGGTAAGCAATGCTGACACCGAGAGCGCAATGCATCAGTGCCACGTAGGCGTTGACCCACCTCATCAGCTCATCCACGTGGCTCGCGTGCTCGTGACCCCACGGCTCACTTGCCATGCCGTCCGCCATCGCGTCCGCGCAAGCCCCGCCTCGCCTGTCCGGGGAGCTTGGTAGCTCGGCGCGCGGGAAGGCGCAAGCGGCGCTATGGTCCGCGCGCGCATGAGGACTGTGTCTGCCCATGCCGACGCCATCCCCAGCGCCATTCCCGGCCCCATCCTCCTGCTGCTCCCCCCACCCGTTCCCGCCACGCGCGTCCCCTCGTGCTCCCTCGCAGCCTGCCAACTCGCGCGCCCCTCGCGGGTCGTCAACCAGGCGGCCAGAAGACAGGCCCTCGCGGCCGCCGTCAGATTCTCCACCCTCGACCTGTCGCAATCTCGCAGCGTGCGACGCGTCGCAGCTGGCGCCAACGACACCCGCGGCGTCCCTGTGAGCGTGCGGCGCGGCGAGTTCGTCGTAGTCCTCGAATTGCTCCCACACCTGATCGTCGAACTGCGCGCCATGCACGCCAGGGGACAACACGCACACACGCCCGTCAGCCATCGCTATCAGCCGAGCTCGAAAGCTATTAGAATGCAGGAAGTCTAGGTCATACATAATAATTTCGAGGCGAAATTATTGTAATGCAAGTTGGCTCATGTATTTCACCAAAAGAGATCAGAAAACATATACTGCGTTCCAAACCATCTAGTGGTGAAAACCTGCAGATTTTAGAAGGTGGTAAGTCGAGCAAGAACGAAGAGAAGGAGATTTGGGGAGCAAATGGATGTGAGAGGAGATCACCATGGGCCAACTGTTGACCGCGCAGTCGCCATCCTCCATTTCCCATGCCGATGCCGACATCGTCGTCGAGCCAACTCGGAATATTCACTACGTATGATACACAAAACAAAACGACGCTTATAACTTACAACCTGGATAAGACTACCACTCGAATCGCATGGAAAAAAATATTGGATCAGAAGAGCCGACTATTGCATGAAAATGTAGGAATCGTAGTAGCTAAGTCGATCGGACTGGAGGCGAGGTGTGAGCTAAGGTGTGAGCTGTGTGATCCAAGCCAACACATTCCCTGTGCTTCCCTCGCTCTGTTCCCAAGATTGGCTTCTGGAAGCTGGGGATGGCCGACAGGCTTCATCGGCTGCCCGACACAAGACAGAATCTTGCCCGATAACAAACGCTGCAGGAAAGAGCACGAAATTGTTCTTATCCCGTGTGAAATGAACTCCCGGGTCACACAAACAAACCGCGTAACGATCTGAATCGCCATTCTGACGACATCGCCAGATTTTTGCGACGTGCTGTCGTCGGCAGTTCTTTACCGAGAAAAAATCTTCCGACCGGCGGTCCTCAGCCACAGGATGGATTCCCTCCAAAGCGAAGCTGCTCTGCTTTGTCGCTCGCTCGGTTCAGTCAGACTCGCCCAGATCCACCGCGTGCGACCGGAGCCACTCGATAATCCCAAAGGTGCTTTACGAAAAAAATCTCGAGAGTGGACTTGATTTTTGGCCGTGGCTTTGTGGGTTTGGGCAGATGGGTGTATGTCCGTGTTTACAGCTGCCCACACCATGTGGGTGCTGTTGGAGCTAATAAAGAAGCTTATGAACCAAACATCAGTTGAGTACCAGCTTAGGAAACATAAAAATATGCTTTTTGTACGCCTGACTGATTCCAGCACTCAAGCAAGCCAGAGAAATTAGAGATGCCAGTTCTTACCACATCTTAAGAAACACTAGAATACCATGGAACATTCCGATTCAGCTCTCAAATTTATTTTGGCCAGTCGGGTTCAAGAATCACGAATCTCGCTGTGCTGTTGGTCATATAACAGCCCCACATCTCCTTTGGTCACCTCAGTGCCATATTGATCAAACTGGTCTGTCCACGACTCCCCTTCTTCCTCCACCTCCCCGTCACTCCCAGTGCCTTCCACGCCATCAGCACCCTCCACAGCGTGCATGCCCAGGTCACTGCCAGCCTCGCTCTGCATGGCGGCCACCATCTGCGGCGTCACCTGCATGACGCGCGGCCCCTCCCAGGGGGCGGGGTGGCCGTCCTCCCACCCGCGGTACAGCACCACCTTGGACGGCTCCCGTGACACAAACACACCCCCAGTCGCCTCCTGCGCACGCCACACACCACAACCACATGCCACCCCAGTCAGGGCCACAGACGTTCAAATCAAACCCAGGCAAGAAGCAGCACACACCCGCGAGGCAGCATTAGCGAACACAGCACAGCCATGCTCCCCCCACCCCGCATCCTCACCTCGAGCTGCGTGACGATCTCGTCCACTGGCGTGCCCGCCGCCCGGCCTCGGATGCCCACCATCACTAGCGCATGGCGTGTGAAGTGCAGGCGGATGGCGCGAGCCAGCCCCTCCACCACGTTGCTGCGCCCTGTGGCCGTGCGGCCGTGCCAGCCAGGGACAGCATGAGTGACACACACCATGCATTTGCAGGCACAGTTATGTATAGGATACAGCATATAACACAACAAAGAGGCAATGAGAGAGTGAGAGAGTGGAGGAAGGGGGGAAAGGAATAGGCGGAGAGCAGTGGGTAAATGATTGCAAGTGAGAGTGAGGCGGGGGAACCCAACAGGTGGGAAGAGTGAGAGAGGGCCGGCAGGGGTGGTGGTGGGTGCACTGACCAACTTGGAAGGCGGCGGTGGAGTCGAGGGTGAGAGCCCTGCGCCGGAGCTCAAGGCGCTGGGAGCGCGAGAGGGGAGGCGCCCTGAAGAGAGGGCCCACTAGCGCCCGCTCCCTCACCTCCCCCCTGCCCACTCGCTGCCTCTCCCGCACTGCCTCCCTCTCCTGCTGCTGCCGCTGCCTCTCCTCCTCGTCCTCCTGCTGCTGCAGCTCTGGCTGCACGCTGGCAGCAATGAGCGCGTCGATCTCAGCCGCCTCCGCCTCCGCAGCGGGCGACAGTGGGGAAGGCCCCTCCATACCTGCCTCACTGCCCTCATCCCATGTCTCGCTCCCTGCTGCTGCTGCTGCTGCTGCCGCTGGTGCTGCCGCTGGCGCTGCTGCTAGTACTGGTGGCGGAGTCGAGAGATGGAGGCGAGGAAGGCAGGGAGGCGCGGGAAAGAGGCGCTATCTCGCCAGGCTTCACCTGCGCCCCTCTCTCTGCCTCTGCCTGCCCTCACACACACACATCCACCCGTGTACACAGCCACACACGCACGGCATGGTGCGAACAGAAGGAGAGGAGGTGATGTCACCACATCAGAAGAGGAGCAGATGAGCATAAAAGCGGAGGGCGAGAAGAAGGGCAGGAGAGTGGAAGGGAGAAGTAGGGCAGGAGAGTGGAGGGGAGAAGAAGCGCAGAAGAGTGGAGGGGAGAAGAAGGGCAGGAGAGTGGAGGGGAGAAGAAGGGCGGGAGAGTGGAGGGGAGAAGAAGGGCAGGAGAGTGGAGGGGAGGAGAAGGGCAGGAGAGTGGAGGGGAGAAGAAGGGCAGGAGAGTGGAGGGGAGAAGAAGGGCAGGAGAGTGGAGGGGAGAAGAAGGGCGGGAGAGTGGAGGGGAGAAGAAGGGCAGGAGAGTGGAGGGGAGAAGAAGGGCGGGAGAGTGGAGGGGAGAAGAAGGGCAGGAGAGTGGAGGGGAGGAGAAGGGCAGGAGAGTAGAGGGGAGAAGAAGGGCAGGAGAGTGGAGGGGAGAAGAAGGGCAGGAGAGTGGAGGGGAGAAGAAGGGCGGGAGAGTGGAGGGGAGAAGAAGGGCAGGAGAGTGGAGGGGAGGAGAAGGGCAGGAGAGTGGAGGGGAGAAGAAGGGCAGGAGAGTGGAGGGGAGAAGAAGGGCAGGAGAGTGGAGGGGAGAAGAAGCGCAGAAGAGTGGAGGGGAGAAGAAGGGCAGGAGAGTGGAGGGGAGAAGAAGGGCGGGAGAGTGGAGGGGAGAAGAAGGGCAGGAGAGTGGAGGGGAGGAGAAGGGCAGGAGAGTGGAGGGGAGAAGAAGGGCAGGAGAGTGGAGGGGAGAAGAAGGGCAGGAGAGTGGAGGGGAGAAGAAGGGCGGGAGAGTGGAGGGGAGAAGAAGGGCAGGAGAGTGGAGGGGAGAAGAAGGGCGGGAGAGTGGAGGTGAGAAGAAGGGCAGGAGAGTGGAGGGGAGAAGAAGGGCAGGAGAGTGGAGGGGAGAAGAAGGGCAGGAGAGTGGAGGGGAGGAGAAGGGCAGGAGAGTGGAGGGGAGGAGAAGGGCAGGAGAGTGGAGGGGAGAAGAAGGGCAGGAGAGTGGAGGGGAGAAGAAGGGCGGGAGAGTGGAGGGGAGAAGAAGGGCAGGAGAGTGGAGGGGAGAAGAAGGGCGGGAGAGTGGAGGGGAGAAGAAGGGCAGGAGAGTGGAGGGGAGAAGAAGGGCGGGAGAGTGGAGGGGAGAAGAAGGGCGGGAGAGTGGAGGGGAGAAGAAGGGCAGGAGAGTGGAGGGGAGAAGAAGGGCGGGAGAGTGGAGGGGAGAAGAAGGGCGGGAGAGTGGAGGGGAGAAGAAGGGCGGGAGAGTGGAGGGGAGAAGAAGGGCGGGAGAGTGGAGGGGAGAAGAAGGGCAGGAGAGTGGAGGGGAGAAGAAGGGCGGGAGAGTGGAGGGGAGAAGAAGGGCGGGAGAGTGGAGGGGAGAAGAAGGGCAGGAGAGTGGAGGGGAGAAGAAGGGCGGGAGAGTGGAGGGGAGAAGAAGGGCGGGAGAGTGGAGGGGAGAAGAAGGGCAGGAGAGTGGAGGGGAGAAGAAGGGCGGGAGAGTGGAGGGGAGAAGAAGGGCGGGAGAGTGGAGGGGAGAAGAAGGGCGGGAGAGTGGAGGAGAGAAGAAGGGCGGGAGAGTGGAGGGGAGAAGAAGGGCAGGAGAGTGGAGGGGAGGAGAAGGAGAGCACTGACCAGTCCTTGTGAGAGGCGCGCGATGGCAGCATCGAGCTCCCTCATGTGTGCCTCCAGTGACTGCAGGGCGGGCATGGTGGGGCATGGTGGGGCATGGTGGGGCATGGTGGGGCATGGCATAGCCGTTACACCCAGAGCATGCGATTTATAGGGGAATAAGTCACAAGCGAACAGACCCACTGAAAGCATCAGGGTTTGCAAGGCAGACACAACACAATCTTGTCAACCACGGCCCACCACCCCCACCGCCCCGACCACCCCCACTGGCCCCACCACCCCCCCCACCACCCCCCGCCCCCCCTCCACCCCCACACCTCCATCCCCCCTCCTCCCCCTCCCCCTTCCCCCCCTCAGCTCACCGCACGGCGCTGCTCCTCGGTGGCGCGTGTGAGCGCCTGGCGCTTGGTGAGGAGCCCCTTGGGGCGCAGCAGGGCGGGGCGAGAGTAGTTCTTGCCGCGGTACACAATGATGGCGTGGTGCTTCTTCACCGGCACCACGCCCACCAGCACGCCCCCGCTCTCCACCGCCAGCATGGCCGCCACGTCCTCCGCTCGGCGCCGGTCGCGGTCCTTGCAGATGATCTTGACGAGCTCGCGGTGCTTCCAGTGCAGATGCATGTTCTCCACCAGCCCTGCAAACACGCCCCGCTTGCCTGCACGCCCCGGGGAGGAGGGAGGGAGAGGAGGGGAGAGACGGTGCAAGAATGTGCTGGGCGGAAACGAGACTAGGAAAAACGTGCATTTCAACTAGCAATTGTCAGCATTGGGTGTCAAACGGCAGGAAGGAGAGGCAGGTGGGTGGGTGGCATGGTGCAGCACGGACCCATTTCAAGGTAGGCACGCATTTTCTGGCCGAGCTTGCGGAACATGTGCCTCTCCTCCTCCGTGAGCGTCTCACTGTCCGCCGGCACCTCCACTGGCCGCAGCACCGCCCGCAGCTTCTCCAACTGCTCCTCCGCCCGCCCCTTCTTGCGCAGCGCCTGCTCCATGCTCACAGAGAGGGAGGCACAAGGGAGGCAGTCAGCATTTGCTGCAGCAGAGGCGCAGAGCAGCTGCTGCAATGGCAGGCAGAAAGCCGCAGCTTAGGGGGTGACATGAAGGTAAGATGACACCATCAGCTTGAGTTCTATCTGCCATCCCACCTGAGCCAGCTTCTGCTCTATCTGCCATCCCACCTGAGCCAGCTTCTGCTCTATCTGTCGTGCCAGTGCCAGTCGCCTGGACGCCTCTATGGCCTCCCGCCGCCGCCGCCGCTCCTCCTCCACCAGCTGCCCCTCCACCAGCTGCCCCTCCACCAGCTGCCCCTCCACCAGCTGCCCCTCCACCAGCTGCCCCTCCACCAGCTGCCCCTCCACCTCCTCCTCCTCCCCGCCCTCCGCGTCTCCCCTGCCCTCAGACGAGTGCACTGCGCTCCCAGGAGAGGCTGCACGATGATGGGCGTGCAGCAAGGAGAAAACACACGGAGGCACAGAGTGGAGAGAGTGAGGGAATGGAGCACGCACGAAGGTGTTGTGCCTGAGACAATGCCGAAGTCGTGCAAACCCATGCATGCACTAGTCACCACTGACTGCTGGCCATACCTCCCCATGCGCCCTCCTCGCCGTGTGCGGGGCCGGAGGGCGAGGGCAGCAGCAGCGAGGGCAGGGCGAGCAGGCGCTCCCTCTCCTCCTCGTCCGCACTCTGCCTCGCCTGCTGCTGCCGTGCTGCGAGTGTGGCGGCGAGCGCAGCGGGCAGGAAGTCCTTGCCGCGGTACAACGAGATGAAGAACTTGTCGCGCGCCAACAGCACCCCGCCCGTCAGCCTCTGGAGGGAGGGCAGTGGGGGGGGGAGGAAAAGGGGAGAGGCGGAGAGGTTGAGATGCAGAGAGGAGGTGATGGGAGAAGGAGCGTGTGTGGGGTGTGGCAGGCGCTGAAACTGCAGGAACCTGCCATGCGCTCATTGCTCACCACTGCAAGCACCTGACACGCCCCTTGCTGCTCACCTTGAGCTCGTCCGCCATGCACCTCACCTTGAGCTCCTGCGCCATGCACCTCACCTTGAGCTCCTGCGCCATGCACCTCACCTTGAGCTCCTGCGCCATGCACCTCACCTTGAGCTCCTGCGCCATGCACCTCACCTTGAGCTCCTGCGCCATGCACCTCACCTTGAGTTCCTCCGCCATGCACCTCACCTTGAGTTCCTCCGCCATGCACCTCACCTTGAGCTCCTGCGCCATGCACCTCACCTTGAGCTCCTCTGCCATGCACCTCACCTTGAGCTCCTCCGCCATGCACCTCACCTTGAGTTCCTCCGCCATGCACCTCACCTTGAGCTCCTGCGCCATGCACCTCACCTTGAGCTCCTGCGCCATGCACCTCACCTTGAGCTCCTGCGCCATGCACCTCACCTTGAGCTCCTGCGCCATGCACCTCACCTTGAGCTCCTGCGCCATGCACCTCACCTTGAGCTCCTGCGCCATGCACCTCACCTTGAGCTCCTGCGCCATGCACCTCACCTTGAGCTCCTGCGCCATGCACCTCACCTTGAGCTCCTGCGCCATGCACCTCACCTTGAGTTCCTCCGCCATGCACCTCACCTTGAGTTCCTCCGCCATGCACCTCACCTTGAGCTCCTGCGCCATGCACCTCACCTTGAGCTCCTCTGCCATGCACCTCACCTTGAGCTCCTCCGCCATGCACCTCACCTTGAGTTCCTCCGCCATGCACCTCACCTTGAGCTCCTGCGCCATGCACCTCACCTTGAGCTCCTGCGCCATGCACCTCACCTTGAGCTCCTGCGCCATGCACCTCACCTTGAGCTCCTGCGCCATGCACCTCACCTTGAGCTCCTGCGCCATGCACCTCACCTTGAGCTCCTGCGCCATGCACCTCACCTTGAGCTCCTGCGCCATGCACCTCACCTTGAGTTCCTCCGCCATGCACCTCACCTTGAGTTCCTCCGCCATGCACCTCACCTTGAGCTCCTGCGCCATGCACCTCACCTTGAGCTCCTCTGCCATGCACCTCACCTTGAGCTCCTCCGCCATGCACCTCACCTTGAGTTCCTCCGCCATGCACCTCACCTTGAGCTCCTGCGCCATGCACCTCACCTTGAGCTCCTGCGCCATGCACCTCACCTTGAGCTCCTGCGCCATGCACCTCACCTTGAGCTCCTGCGCCATGCACCTCACCTTGAGCTCCTCTGCCATGCGCTCGTTGCTGGTGTTCTGCACGCCGCGCTTGACGCCAATCTTGGCCACCTCGCTGCGCTCCCACAGCGCCACCACCGCCGCCGCCAGCCCCTCCAACCCCCTGTTGCGCCCTGCGAGGCCCCCCCGCAGCACACCCCGCCCACCATACAAGGTCGACAGTGCAGAGGGACGAGTGAGGTTTAATGGTGGAATGGGAGAGAGAAGGGGGAATCAGAGACTGAAATTAATGGGGCGCGCATCACCTAGCATGAAGTGGGGCGCGCATCACCTAGCATGAAGTGGGGCGCGCATCACCTAGCATGAAGTGGGGCGGCAGCTTCCTGGCAAGGTGGCGCAGGCGGGTCATCTCATCGTTGCTCAGCTTGCTGCTCACACCATACGGCACCAGCCTGAACGGCGCGCGGTACCCCACCGCGGCCGCTCCCCCCAGCAGCTGGTCGGCGTCCACGGGGGCATGGCCAGGCCGCTCCCACCCCGCCACCTTGGGACCCAACCCCACCGTCACGTCCTCCTCGCCTGCTGCTGCTGCTGCTGCTGCTGCTGCTGCTGCTGCTGCTGCTGCCACGCCGCCTTCCCCACCCTGCCCTCCCCACTCCTGCTGCCCCTCACCGCTGCTTGCCCCGCTCACCAGCGCTGCCCCTTGCTGCTCGCCCTGCCCCCCCTCTCCCTCTCCCTCGCCCTCTAATTCCCCATCACTCATCTCTCCCTCTCCCCACCCCCTCGCACCAACACTCCCCATCTCCTCCAACCCCGCCTCCCCATCTCCCCATCTCATCTCCCCCTCTTCCGCCTCCCCCCGTTGCCCCTGCGCCCGCTGCCCCTCCCCCCCCTGGCCGTACTGCGGGCCACGGTACACTGCCAGCGCTGCCCCCGCCCGCCACACCACCATGCCGCCCGTCAGACGCTGGGGGGGGTAAGAAGGGGGGTCCGGGGGGGTGGGAGAGTGGGAAGAGCGCAGGGAAGAGTTGGGGAAAAAAAGAAGGCAGCTTGGGATGGGGGCAGTGGAGTGTAGTGGTGGGGCAGGGGCAGGGGCATGGGGAGGGGCACGGGGAGGGGCATGGGGAGGGGCAGGGGGAGGGGCAAGGGGAGGGGCAGGGGGAGGGCGTCACCTCGATGTGGTCGTGTGTGTGGCGCATGTTGAAGGCGGGCGCGCCCTCGCACCTGAGCTTCACCACCTCGTGCCCGGCGCGCCACCGCGCCTGCACCGCTGCCACTATGCCCTCCGTCACGCCCTGCCGCCCCACCTTCACCGGCTGCCGCAGCACCATCACTGCGGCCCGCAGCCGCCTCAGCTCACCGGCCGGCAGACTCACCTCCGCCACCCACGCCTGCCGCACCCGCCTTTCCCGCACACCCGCCGCCTCCCCTTGCACCCCGCCGCCTGCCCCTCCGCCCCTCCCCCTCCCCAGCCACGGGAACTCCTCCCCCTGCTGCTCCCCCCCTGCCACGCCCCGCCACCCATCCTCTGCGCCCACGCGCGCCCCTGCTGCCCGCCCCTCGCCCCTCCTCCCCTCTCCGCCATGCGCCCATCCCTCGCCCCTTCCAGCGCCCTCCTCCCACGGAAAGCGCGCGCCCCCATCTTGCATTGCTGGCGAATCATAGAGCTCCACGTCATCAGCTGATCTGAAAGCGTCACCATTCCCCCGAGGCAGGTGCGCGCCTCTAGCCCATGCAGGCGCGCCACTTGCGCCTCCCCTCGCTTCCTGCGCGCTCCCCCTCCATCGCCCCCTGCCCCCCTCCCTCCACCCATCCGCCCCTGACCTCTCGTCTCCCCCCCTGAAACCAAAATCGCTTCCTCTCCTCCCGTTGCCCATCCCCCGATCAACCCTCCCGCCTCTCGACTCCCCCCACGTGTCCACCCGCCCACCACCTCGCCCGCCTGCCCTCGCCCGCTCTCCCTCCGCGCCAATCGCACGGCCCGCCACGCCATGTCCCCCGCTCCTTGCAACTTTTCCCCCTTCTCCACCCGCCGCCCAGCGCTCCCTGCTCTCCCCGCGGGGCCCTCGCCATCCTCCGCGCACGTGCGCTCCCCCCGCCCCACTCCCGCCCCGCTCCCTGAACCCCACGCTGCTGCCCGCTCCCTGCCTCCCGCCTGCCCGCCCCCCTTCCCCCGCCTGTCGTGACTGCTCGCCCTGCGATCCGGCCGCCGCAGCCGCCGAAGTGGAGAGCCGCACAGGGTTCGGCGCGCCGTGGGAGGCCTTAGGCGAGTGGCGCAGCGCTAGTCCCAGCCCCGCGTGCGCGGGAGCCGCCGCTAAACCCCGCCCCGCGAAGAGCGAGCGTCGGAAACCCAAGGCTTGCATGGCGGGTCGTCTTTCTAGGGTTCGCGAAAGCACATGAAGGGACGTCAATGGGCCGGCGTTGTGAGCGAAACGGTTACCAGTCGCTCCTCGCACAGTGGCGTGCGACGATAGCAGCGCCGCAGCACGACACGAGACGAGCGGCGACGAAGATACTGCGAGCACCGCCGGAATGGCGGCGGCGTTGAGCATAGCGGCGAGCGGGGGAGCCTCGGGTTGTGGATTACCAACAGGAGTTGTGAGGGAAGCGAACTCGATGCGAAGGCACGGTACTGTAACGCACGTGGCGAAACTTGACCCTCGCTCGAAACAGGTCCGCCGCTAGCGCATTCTGCGGGGTGTGTATGGCTGAAAGAAGCGCTGCGGTGGCGGAAAATGGGGTAGTGGGTGGCTGCGGGATGAAGCAACTGCTCTTCGGGGTGGTCTCTCACAATTTAGAAGCCACACTCAATACACTCCAGAACAAAACATCTTATCCTTGTTAGACTACTACAGAAACGAAAACACAATTTCCTTCCAGTCTAGAAGGATAAAAGTCCCTCCGTTGAATTCCTGAACACTCTGACTGTCGCATGATTTTACTAAGTAGTACTCTCTGTCAGTAGATCTGCACTGTGGATCCCCAATTGATCCTAGGGGGAATTACATGCGCATTCGCCAGCACCAACGACCAATCATGCTCGCCACCCTCCCACGCTCTTGCTGGCTTGGTAATAGGCCCAAACGCACACAGCCGCGTGACCGAACGGAAGAAAAACGCTCGGAAAGAGCGCTTTCATCCCCAAAACACGGAAGGATCCGCACATGTGCAAAAAATGCACCAGGCATGGTGCATTCGCGACCACCAATGACCGATGATGCTCGAAACCCTCCCACGCCCTTGCTGGCTTGCTAATAGGCCCAGACGAGCGCAACCACGACCCCGTGGAAGAAAAACGCTCGGGACGAGCGCTTCCAGCCAGAAAACGCGGAAGGATCCGCACATGTGCAGGAAGTGCAGCGAGCGCTCTTCTTTCGCAAACGCCGATGACCGATGATGCTTGTCACCCTCCCACACCCTTGCTGGCTTGGCAATAGGATCAGACAAGTGCAACCATGTGACCCGGTGGAAGAAAAACGCTCGAAACGAGCGCTTCTAGCCTCAAAACGTGGAAGGATCCACACATGTGCAGGACGTGCAGCGGGCGCTCTTCATTCGCGAGCGTCAATGAACGATGATGCTCGCAACCCTCCCACGCCCTTGCTGGCTTGGCAATAGGACCAGACAAGCGCATTCATGTGACCCGGCGGAAGAAACACGCTCGGAACGAGCGCTAGCAGTCCACAAAAAACGGAAGGATCCGCACATGTGCAGGAAATGCAGCGGGCGCTCTTCATTCGCGAGCGCTGATGACCGATGATGCTCGCAACCCTCCCACGCCCTTGCTGGCTTGGCAATAGGCCCAGACAAGCGCAACCATGTGACTTGTCGGAAGAAAAAACGCTCGGAACGAGCGCTTCTAGCCTCATATCGCGGAAGGAAGTGCAGCGGGCGCTCTTCATTCGCAAGCGCCGATGACCGATGATGCTCACAACTCTCCCACGCCCTTGGTGGCTAAGCAATTGGCCCATAGACAAGCGCAGCCACGTGACCCGGCAGAAGAAAAACGCTCGGAACGAGCGATTCTAGCCTGAAAACGCGGAAGGATCCACACATATGCAGGAAGTGCAGCGGGCGCTCTTTATTCCCGAGCGCAGATGATGCTCGCAACCCTCCCACGTCCTTGCTGGCTTGGCAATTGGTCCAGACGAGCGCAGCCACGTGACCCGGCGGAAGAAAAACGCTCGGAACGAGTGATTTTAGCCCCAAAACGCGGAAGGATCCGCACATGTGCAGGAAGTGCAACGGGCGCTCTTCATTCGCGAGCGCCGATGACCGATGATGCTAGAAACTCTCCCACACCCTTGCTGGCTTGGCAATAGGCCCAGACAAGCGCAGCCATGTGACCCGGTGGAAGAAAAACGCTCGGAACGAGCGCTTCCAACCTCAAAACGCGGAAGGATCTGCACATGTGCAGGAAGTGCAGCGGACGCTCTTCATTCGCGAGCGCCGATGACTGATGATGCTCGCAACCCTCACACGCCCTTGCTGGTTTGGAAATAGGCCCAAAAAAGCGCAGCCACATGACCCGACGGAAGAAAAACGCTCGGAATGAACGCTTCCAACCCCAAACTCTGAAGGATCCGCACATGTGTAGGAAGTGCAGCGGGCGCTCTTCATTCGCGAGCGCCGATGACCAATGATGCTCGCAACCCTCCCACGCCCTTGCTGGCTTGGCAATAGGCCCAGACAAGCGCGGCTGTGTGACCCGACGGAAGAAAAACGCTCGGATCGAACGCTTTTAGCCTAAAACGCGGAAGGATCCGCACATGTGCAGGAAGTCCAACAGACGCTCTTCATTCGCGAGCGCCGATGACCGATGATGCTCGCAACCCATCCACGCCCTTGCTGGCTTGGCAATAGGCCCAGACAAGCGCAGCCACGTGACTCGGCGGAAGAAAAACGCTCGGAACGAGCGCTTCCAGCCCCAAAACGCGGAAGGATCCGCACATGTGTAGGAAGTGCAGCGGACGCTCTTCATTCGCGAGCGCCGATGACTGATGATGCTTACAACCCACCCACTGGCTTGGAAGTAGGTCCAGACAAGCGCAGCCACGTGGCCCATGCTCAAATACACCTACCAGAGCAATTCTAGCTTGTTTCGTGCGCACCAAAAAGTTCGGCGCCTGCGATGACGGCCGGGTCTGCCGACAAATGGTAATGAAGTGCATGAACCTCATAGGCATAGGGAAAAGCATCGAACAACCTGAATGTTGTTGCATATTCGGGTGGCCCATGCTGTATTACACCAACCAGAGCAATTCCGGCTTGGTTCGTGCGACACAAAAAAGTTCGGCGCCTGCGATGACGGCTGTGCCTGCTGACAAATGGTAACGAAGTGCATGAATCCTCAAAGGCGTAGGGAAAAGCATCGAATGACCTGAATGCTGTTGCATATTTGGGTGGCTCATGTTTAAATACACCTAACAAAGCAATCCCAGCTTGGTTCGTGCGCACCAAAAAGTTTGACGCATGCGATGACGGCTGTGCCTGCCGATAAATGATAACGAAGTGCATGAATCCTCATAGGCGTAGGGAAAAGCACCGAACACTAGATTAGGCCTTCTACTTCAACAACACTAGCTTATAACCTTTCCGATCCACATAATTTGGGAGATTTCAGAGTTTGATCTCCGTCGGCCTTGTACCTACACACAAGTGTGCATTCTGACCAAACCGACCGACGCATTATTCTCTTTGTACAAATACAATGAATACCATATGTATTCCTATTTCCTTATTCCATTCCTCACCCCTTGACCATGTTTTAACCTATCAAATCTATGAAATCTAGCAGATATAGACATTTCAGTCGTACATGGTACATGAACTACATGCGCGCATATTGACCAAACTGACGAGCACATTACTGATGTTTTTAGAGATGCAGTTAGTACCATATTCTTACCAGTCTACTAGATTAGGCCTTCTACTACAACAACACTAGCTTATAATATTTCCAATCCACAAAATTTGGGAGATTTCTAAGTTTGATATCCGCCTTGTACCTACACACAAGTGTGCCATCTGATTAAACCGACCAACACATTATTCTCTTTGTACAAATACAATGAATACCATATGTATTCACATTTCTTATAAAATTATACCATTCCTCACCCCTCAACCATGTTTTAACCTATCGGATCTATGTAATTTAGCAAATATAGACAGTTTAGTCGTACATGGTACATGCACTACAGGCGCGCATACCGACCAAACTGACGAGCACATTACTGATGTTTTTAGAGATGCAGTTAGTACCATATTCTTACCAGTCTACTAGATTAGGCCTTCTACTTCAACAACACTAGCTTATAACCTTTCCAATCCACATAATTTGGGAGATTTCAGAGTTTGATCTTCGCCTTGTACCTACACACAAGTGTGCATTCTGACCAAACTGACCGAAGCATTATTCTCTTTGTACAAATACAATGAATACCATATGTATTTCCATTTCCTTATTCCATTCCTCACCCCTCGACCTTGTTTTATCCTCTCGGATCTTTGTAATTTAGCAAATATAGACATTTCAGTTGTAAATGGTACATGCATTACAGGCGTGCATACCGACCAAACTGACGAATGCATTACTGATGTTTTTAGAGATGCAGTTAGTACCATATTCTTACCAGTCTACTAGATTAGGCCTTCTACTTCAACAACACTAGCTTATAACCTTTCCAATCCACATAATTTGGGAGATTTCAAAGTTTCATCTCCGACTTGTACCTATACACAAGTGTGCATTTTGATCAAACCGACCGACGCCTTATTCTCTTTGTACAAGTACAATGAATTCCATTTGTATTCCCATTTCCTTATACCATTCCTCACCCCTCGACCATGTTTTAACCTATCAGATCTACGAAATTTAGCAGATATAGACATTTCAGTCGTACATGGTACATGCACTACAGGCGCGCATACCGACCAAACTGACGAGCGCATTACTGATGTTTTTAGAGATGCAGTTAGTACCATATTCTTACCAGTCTACTAGATTAGGCCTTCTACTACAACAACACTAGCTTATATTTTTTCCAATTCACAAAATTTGGGAGATCTCTAAGTTTGATATCCGCCTTGTACCTACACACAAGTGTGCCCTCTGATTAAACCGACCGACACAATATTCTCTTTGTACAGATATGTTGATATCCGGCACTACATGCGCGCATGCCGACCAAACTAACCTGCGCATTAATTATATTTGTAGAGACAGTTGGTACCATTTTCTTGCAAGTTTACTAGATTAGGCCTTGTACTTTAATATAACTAGGTTCTAACCTTTTCGATCCACATAATTTTGGAGATTTCAGAGTTTCAGCTACGCCTTGTACCTGCACACAAGCGTGCATAGTGACCGAACCGACCAACGCATTATTTTCTATGTAGAAATACAACGAGTATCACATATGTTTCCGTTTTCCAATATAATATACCATTCCCCACCCCCCCACCACGTTCTAACCTTTTAGATCCACATAATTTGACAGATTTAGACATTCCAAATGCACATGGTACCTGTACTACAGGCGCGCATGCT